ACACTACAACCTCCATATCCTTAGACTTTGCAACTACAATGGTGAAGATCCATGTCGAAACTAAATCTGCATTAAAAAAAGCAGCATCTACAATGAAAGCATAATATGACAAATATCACAGAACAGCATACACATATACTGCAAATGATAAGATCTGGTTAGATATCACCAACCTTCATTTCCCACATCCAAAGTGAAAGCTGTCTGATAAAAGGACAGATCCATTCTCTATACTTAAGAAAGTCAGTGAATCTGCATATAAACTGCAATTACCCACTACTTGAAAAATCCACAATGTCTTCAACAAGTCACTGTTAACACTATATGTCACACCCACCTTTTCTAATCAAGAACAACTGCCACCATCACCATCAGATCTGATCAACAACAAGAAATATTATGAAGTTGATCAGATACTGAACTATAAACTATGAAAAATTCAAGCAAAAGAGGGTGATATAATGATAATTATTGACTACTTGGTTAATTGGAAGGGCTACAGACTGGAGTCCAATCAATGAGTTAATGAAAAATTGATAAATGCTGATAATGCCATACATGACTATGAATTATCTCTAAATTAAGCTATTGAGATGATAGTCTTAAGAAGGGGGTAATATTATGATTTTCTCACTTTATTCCTTGATTAACCTCTATTTATGCTTAGTCAGAGTGCTAAAGACAAGTGCTTAAGACTGTGAGACAAAGCTTAGTCATCACAACTGGCTAAGTCCATTATTGTCTTTTGACATGATAGTATTGCTCAATGACACACAATCAACCTTTTATATATGGTAACAATGCTCAAGGACAACAAGCATAAAAGACTTAACAACACATAATAGGTAGTATTATTATTAGTTACAACTTGTACAGTATTTAAAACAGCTTGCTCTTGCTGGTAATCTTCAGCTTTGAGCTAAAGTTTATTATCATACCATCTTCTCTCAAGCCAATCTAAAGGCCTTGAAGCATCATGACTATTATTTACAATCAGTGAACTCTGATGTTCCACTCAAAGTGCAAAGTGATGTCAGTTTATCATGTGTTTATAGTCACATGCAACTTGGGTCTAACAGATACAGGTGTTGGCTGAGTAGTAGATGAGTCCTTCTCAGGCATATGAATATTTGCATAATAGTGGGTCAATCTCTTATCAAAAATAATATCACAGAAAACAAAAACTCAGTCTGATTGATTGATTATCCAGTAGTTCAATTTAGTGTATCTTAAAAATATATATTTAACTGATCAATCAGTAAGCTTGCTACTGCTGTCTACAAGATGGCCATTTGTCATTGACTTCTTAGTCCAACAGGTGAATCTGAATATGCACAGAAGGGAGAGGTCTTGGTGACAATCAGTGAATAACTCAGCAGAGATCTTTTTGGGATGATAACATGATGGAGCTAAGTTCTGGATGAAGATGGACATAGATGCAGCCTCTGCTCAGAAACAGTCAAGAAGCCCTGAGTCACTGAGCAGAGCATATGTGTCTTCCATCTTCATATGTATCACTCATTCTGCTAACTCATTCTGTACAGAGGAATGTGGAGTAGTCAGCTTCAGAATAATACTATAGTCACTACAATATTTGGCCTACTTTGCTCTTATAAGCACTCTGTCAGCACAAACTTGCTTGATCTTCTTTCCAGTTTGGGTCTCTGCCATCTTCTGGAATCTATCAAAGGCTGCCAGCATTGATTTATCTGCCAAAAACTCTCTTGCTTTGTATAAAGTCTCACTGTCAACAAAGATCATCAAGTAGATTTTGCTTCTCACCAATATAGTCCTCAATAGTCCCCATAAATTAGTTGCAACAAGCTCAAATAGATCCACTATGGAGTCTGTAGTTTCATTGAAAGGATGACATATATGATAAGCAAGTATACAATCTTTGCAATAGCCAGTGAGTTCACTGAATGTGATTATTAAACCATCTACAAGTTGTTTAGATGCTATCTCCATGATTTTGGATAGGTCTATGTGTGTGAGACAATAGTACCAGTCTACAAGAGACATAGATGACAAGCAGGATGCTATTGCTTTTGGCACAGCAGCATTAAGAACATACATGCTATCTGACTCTCTCCTGATAACTATTTCATTGCTGTTTTTATCACTGACAATAGCTTGCCCTTTAGAAAAGACAGTGAACAGACCAACCTTGTCAAGAGAGCTGATAGAGATGAGATTTGCAGTGAGAGAGGGTGAGTGCAGTGTATTTTTGAAAGTTAGTCTGATCTCCTTTTCATTGATATTGAAAACCTTTGATATAGTTTCTATTCCAAGGATGTCAAATAAACTCTTCCTCTTGATTGCAGATGAGTCTGTATGATAGACAAAAGGCTTATAGTCTGTGAAATCCTCTCAGTCTTTGAAAAAGTAGTCACTTGCACTTAAGTCTATAAAGGTGAGCATCATATTGAGTTTGCAGCCAGCAAAAGTAGTGGTAACATATGCCTTCTCTGCAGATTTAATGTCACAGACTATATTTCCAGCATTATCATCACTCTCCTCCTCTTTGTCATCACTCTCAATGTTGACAAGAGCAGGCATGTTGTCATAATTACTCTCAAACTCAAATGGCAAATCTCCATTAAACAACTGTTTACCTGTCATGCCATTCTTAGCAATGATTCTATTTCTGAATGTCCCATTCCCATTTCTGAGATTGGTGGCTGTGGCTGCTAACACAAAGTGCCTAGTCAAATTGGCTATGAGAGTGGATGCAACCTAATATACACATTTTTGTTAGCTAAAATTTAGCAGAAACTGACTCTTCTTGCTTCTATTAGACCAATAGTAATTTTTGAGAATGTGTTTTGATCAGTCATATGCCTTACAGCCTAGATTGGAATATAGAGCATGGCTGTTTACAAAGATGGAAACATTAGCTGCAAGAGCCTGAGACTGTGAGAGACTCTTACTACTGGCATATAGCACAGCAGCATGGGTTTGAAGATGCAAGAATATATCTAAGGATGTGGCCATCTGATAAAGACTGGGTAAGATGATTAATCAGTTCTTAGTCAGGAGAATGAAGCATATGATGACTCCATGAAATTTCTGATCTGTGAGTGGAGTTTTTTAGAGGTCATTAATTGCATGTGCCTTAATATGTAGTTCAGTAATATAAATATAAATATCAGTGGTTCTATCAAATTTGATGATGTTCAGTGAAACTTCTGTCTCTGACAATGCTGTAGAGGATTTCATGCTGCTGCATGTACCCATTGTCTTTCACAAGAAGTCTTAGCTGAGTCTATTACATTGTCTTTATCATCATTACCTTTATCATTTGTCTTACTCACATATGCCATTCATTAGAATACTAGTATATAAGTACCTACTGTACATAAACTAGAACCTATCTTCCACCTCTCTCTTTCTGAATATGACTTTCTATTCTACTGTCAACAGCTATTGAATACCTACAATGTCATGTCAGTTTTCTTTGCATGTTTAGAGCATATTTATTCTTAGCATTCCTTTATAGTTTCATCAATCTGCACATCTAATCCAATAGGGTTTAGAACATTGAGAATAATCTGAGAGAGTGTGAGCTGGTCTCAAAAAAGCCACTCATCATGAGATGGAGCAGAAGAGTAGACAGGGGTTGAGTCTGATGGTAAAGATGTAGTAGTAGATCTACTTGCAGGAGCAGCAGGGACAGTAGAGCATAATATCATTCTATCTATGTAGTCTCACAGACTTTTACTTTTCAGCAATGCAGATATCTGAAGTGTCCATGAAGCATAGTTCTTCCTATTAAAGTGTTTAATGGTGTCAGAAAGTATGGTAACTCTAGATATGGTTGTCAACATCGTGGAGAGTGTTTACTGATTGTGTAATTGGTAGGTGTCAGAGAGTATATTGTTTCAATGAATGTTTTTGAGTTGAAAATAATGCTGTGTAGTCTTTTGAATCAGTTATAGGCCACAGGGCCTTATAACCTAATGACAAAAGATACTTTGTAAGAACTATGAAAGACAAAAGTAAGCAAGTGGCTAATGGTCAGGATAAGTAGACATACCTCAGTCATATGCAGCAAGAGTAGAATGACTGATGTATCATGTAAACTACAGCAAGGCTTTTATATGAAAAACTGTAAGAACTGGAGTATGTATATAAAAGATAAATAATAAGTAGGAAAAATATGGAATGGCAGAAACTCAACATCAAGATGTGGATAACCTCCAATAGATTTTGCAGTGCAAGGTAGTACAGACCTCTAAAGGCCACAGCAACAACATGTCAGTGCTTGTTCACACATCATTGGAGACAAGCAAACAGGTGATCCTTAACAGAACCAAAATGAAGAGCAGCTGAATCTTATCTGGCACAAGTATTGGTGTGCCAACAGGAGGGAGCTATGCCAACTCAAAGGCTACATCAAGACTGCAATGACTTTACAAAGGCAGGAAGCATGTTCAAGTAGTGTTTGCAGATGTTGGCACACCTCTTAGCAAAGTTTGGCATTCAAATGTCTTGTCTATGGCTCTGGTTGATGCACTGAAAGGTAACATGATTACTGCAGTGTTATTATCATCATTAACTTAATCCTTGCAGGTCTTCATTACATGTTTACTGGACATTATGTTCACTGGGACATTTTTATCAGCAATATTCTCCTCTGTCATAGAACAGCAAAGATATCTGATCTTCAATACTTGAAAAAGTTCCTATCTGAGGGCCCAAAAAACAACCTGAAAACAGTGCACATCTATTTCTCCACTGTTTGTGCTTCAAATTCAAAGCTGTTGACAGGGAACTCCAGTCTACATGGCCATAGAAGTGCAAGATACAGAATACAAGTTCTTGCCTGTCAAAGAGGTGAAGGCAGTGCATGGGAAGTCTCTGCAGGGCTCAGTGAAACCAATCTTTCTGCACAATTACCTTCATGATGTCAAATCTCCTTTCTGGATCAATTTGCATGCACTGTTCTCAACTATACCTGCAACATACACTGAAGCACAGTTCACATCACATGAACCACAATGCAAGTTATTCAATTGATCTTTCCACACCACCTTGTCTCTGCAGATTTCCAAGGTGTGGAGGATATCCTGCCTGTGGAATACAAGCCTGCTATGGAGCAGTTTCTATACCTGCAGAATGCTCTGGCCTACAAGTATAGCAAAGTGTACAAAAAGCCAAATTTTCCTCAGAATGAGAATTTTAACTGGGTCTATGCCACAGAGGATCCTGATGATGATCTGTTCTTTGCCTTTCAAGGTGTAGCCGACACAGCATATAGTGATGATACCCGACTATTACCTGATGAAGACATCAGTATCACTGTACCAAGGCAGGTGCTGGTCTTTAGAGAGGAGGATGGTAATAATGATGAATGGGTTGACAATCCAACCTATGCTACTGATGGTTTGGAGTGTTCAGATTGCAAAGATGATGAAAAACTGCCCCACAAGATGCAATGAACAGGAGGGAATGCAAAGAGGAAGAAGGCCAGCAGCTGTGCTACCATTGTAGAAAGGACCAGTGGACAGCATCCACAGCGCAGGAAAAATAAAGAGACCTTAGGGAGTATGTAGAGTGTCGCAGACGTATAGGCGTTTGTTTGTAGATCGAATGAATTTTATCAACTCAAGTCACAAGCCGCAGACAGCAAATAGTTCACACGAACGATATCAGTTCATTCGCAGGAATCCCAGTACATATATGAATCTAAATTCTTTCCCCCTATGTCTATCTGTACAATGATTACGAGTACCTACAACAGCTAACGTGTACAAGAGGGGGTTACGACGCCGTATCAAACAAATAAGCTTTACAAATAGCATACTATTCCACCAAAAGCAAAAATGACGAAGCATAATTGACAGATATCTGAGTATGACTTAAAAGAGTTGCCACCATCTTTTTGGCCTTTGCATTTTATCCATTTGCCTAGCCAGGTCAGGGGCAGTATACAAGGGAGCCTGAATAGGATGGGCAGAACCTTTATTCGGAGCTGGTTTCGAGGGTATTCTACACATGTTCTGGTGAGGAACCAGGAAAATAAGGATGAACGAGTTCATACTCACTCGTCTACATGAACAAGGTATTCCTTGTCTTTCCTCAAGCCCGTTAATACCAGGCTAATCTCAGCCTGCAGCATCAGTCGTATATTGTTGGGAACATTGATCTTTCGGCGCCACATTGCGACACTGTTACCGGATGGGGAAGGTAAAAAGATGAAGACAATAACCTGAACAGCGGGATCGTAGAAGGCCACAGACTCTTGAAGTATCTTGTCTCGGGTTTTTTGTAGTTGATCAAACGTCAACCAGTCAAAAGCCGGCTCGTTAGGATTTTTTGGAGACCTGAAATCCGCATTAACGAACAGAGCACCTCTTTCTTGACTTTGAAGAAATCTATGAAGCTAAGTTATGTTTTAGCGCGGCTTTCACGTGTGAACAGTGTTCGAACGCACTCCGTATGAGCCCAAAGAATAATTCACAACCTGTACCCACGAAATGACAGACGAGACGCGCTCGTCAATGTCTGGCGAAAACCCCCAGTATATCCTCTCTTTCGCCTTCCGCATCCTTCCAAAGAGCGCGTTCTTGACGGCGTCCAATGCGGCACCGCGTGAATCAATGAACTTGACGTTAGTATATTCATTCATCTTGTTATGCGGTATTCCGTAATCAAGAGCAGCGGTAGTTCCTTTATACGCGTGAGTGAGGGTCTTGGAAGGTAGAGAATAGCTGGTATTCTGCGTAGGCGGTATTGGAGTACGGCGTCCAATTCCCATCATCCTCTTCAAAGCTGCCTTGGGAGAAAAATGAACACGCCGAGGATCATCATAGTCGTCTTCTTCATCTTCTTCCGAAATGGGACTGAAGCCAGTACCACTCATTCCCGACTCTCCCCAGTTTCCTCCTCCTCCTCCTCCGGCACCCCAGCCATCTTTTCCACCAACCCCATTATTACCCCAGCTACCGTCACCCCAGCCATCGTTTCCACCACCGCCGGCACCCCAGCCATCATTACCACCACCACCAGTACCCCACCCATCATTACCGCCGCTGCCAGTACCCCAAGCGTCTTTCTTGCCACCTCCACCGCCTCCTCCAGCTACCGGAACACCCCACGGATCTTTACCTCCGGCACTTGCACCAAAACCATCCTTTCCGCCTCCACCGCCCCAATCGCTACCTCCTCCTCCAACGCCCCACGAGTCCCCCCAGTCACCACCGCCACCGCCACCGCCCCATTCACCACCATCGCCCCAAGTACCACCGCCATCACCCCATTCGTTGCCTCCGCCGCTGCCCCAATTGTCTGCCTCAGATTTATGCCGTCGGTGTTTGCTATCCTGCGCCTGATACTTATCATTGTGCTTTTCCTTCTTGTCCTTCTTCTTGTCTTTCTTTGCCTCCTGGGCTGGTGGAGGCGGCGGTGGAGGAGGAGGCGGGGGAACCCTCTTCTGCTGAGCAGCTCCAGGATAAGGATTGGCCTGCCCAGGGTAAGGATTTCCCTGCTTCATCATGTGCGCTTGAGCATTCGCCAGCCCCGGAAACCCCTTGGGAAGGGCGGCAGGACTTTGGGTAGCAAATCGAGCATAATTGTTTGGCTGTGATGTATTGAGCAAAGAATTCAAGATCTGAGAGTGCTGTTGGGTCGACAGGATGTTTCTGGTCCCAGCCGGCCCTGTAGGCAAAGAAGATGGGTTGGTTACCTTGGAAAGCCGTTTCGCTTCCTCGCTCCAGCCTCTCCAGCTGGCCACGGGAAGTGCCCCAGGTTTTGGTGGCGGTGGTGGAGGCTGACGATGATTGGGTACCGGCTCTTCCTCGTAGTCGTCTTCGCTATCGTAGTTCTCAGAATCCTCGTCTCCCCAGTCCCCACCACCGCCAGCACCACCGCCCCAGCCACCATCATCGAATGCTTGACCGCCAGCATCAGGCCAAGCAGCCGCAAAGTCGTTTGGCTGCACGGGACCCTTTCCTGCGGGCGGGACCTGCTTCCAGGCTGATCCAGTAGATGCTGCGACTGAGTTTCGCCTATTTTGTGCAGCGCCTAGAGGTCTATGCGTTGGCTGAGCTCCCCAATGACCTCCATGCATCTGAGTGTCGAAGTTTTCAAGCCAAGGATCACTACCAGCACCGCCGCCAGTTTTGGCAGGATCGCCACCACCCCATTGGTCCGGACGATCGTCCAGGAGACCACCTGTATATCGATGGATTGGATGGTGAGCCATCTATGTTTAGCGCCCATCCATCCATCACTGATTCAAAACATGCAATTGCCGAAAAATCAAGTGACGACAGATGATGTACAGGAGAGCTCACCACCTAGGTCCATCAGCCCACCGGCGTCATTGTCCTTGGCATCGAAAGCAGGTACTGGCGTCGGTACCGGAACAGGCTCCTGTTGCTTTTCATGCATTTGTTCGTCCGGCTGCTTCTGCTTTCCTTTCTTGTTCTTGGCCATACTGACAGAATCGCGCTAACTTGTCAGAGTTGTATCCGAAAGGCTTGGAGCGAGCAGTGGAGTAGCATATACCAAAAAATAGAAATCTTTCCCAAGGTGGGACAGGCAGAATGCAAATAAGTTTAGCGCCCTGGGTATGATGAGGACAATGGGTACCAACATCACAGCGGCATCGAGAAGTAAAAGATCGCATCGCGACACGAGGCAGATCCCGGCCACGTGGTGACCCCGATCAAAAGTTTTGCACTGTAACCGCCATGTCTGCCTCATATTCTTACTGAGAGAAAGCCCTCACTCATTAGATTTCTCTCGTAGAGGCCAGATGTCCACTATTACCCAGAATCTACCATGGTTCATCCGTGATCTCGGTGTTTCCGTCGTTGGACAGGAATGCTACGCGTCGTTGGTTGAGAATCTCGCCGTCACTGACATTCACTGTCTCAAATATGCTCTATCCAAAACCCTTGGGGTCGGAATTGTTATTGGAGGATCTATCATGAAGGTTCCTCAATTATTACTGATTCTGCGCGCCCATTCTGCCAGAGGCCTTTCCCTGACCGCGTTTTTCTTCGAAACATTTGCCTACTCCATAAACCTCTTCTATTCGTTTCGAAACGAGTTCCCTTTCTCCACATATGGCGAGAACCTGTTTTTAACCATTCAAAATGCACTCATCACCTGTCTCATCATTTATTACTCCCCTCGGTCTCCCAGACGCAACACCAACCTCGCAACGGTATCCCTGGGGATGCTCCTCATTGCAGTATTACTGGACATTGTCCCAGAAGGAATTCTATCCTTCCTGCAACTTTCTACCCTTCCCTTGTCTATCTTCTCCAAACTGCCGCAAATACGGCAAAACTACCGCGCCCACTCAACCGGACAACTTTCCGCATTTGCTGTCTGGTCACAGATCATGGGATGCTTGGCGAGACTGTTTACGACGTTGCAGGAGGTGGGGGATTGGCTAGTTTTGGGTAGCTTTCTTCTGGCATTGGCGTTGAATGGCATCCTTGGTTTTCAGTTATGGTTGTATTGGGGCAAAACAGAAGTCGGGGAGAAGGGTTTTGAGATTCACACTGGCATATCGAGAGCGGTGACTCCACCGCTTCCATCTCCAGCTGTGTCAAGTAGGAGAGGACGGAAGCCTCGAGACGACACCTGACCTCGCAAAGCTTCTCCGCAGTTGCTGCGAGCCATTTCTCGTTGCGTGGCTGCATGTATACCTTGGTCATGGCTTGCTTTTGACTGTTTTCTCGTATCATGGACCCTTGATTTAGCCAACTCAATTGTGTCGCATATCTGATATTTCCTCTGGGTAGAGCTTGCCGAGTCTGAATATATATCTTGGATTTCTATAAAAATGTTCATTGTCGACGAGAGGCTCAGTAAGGAGAACGTGGAATGGGTACGTGGACGACTACCCAAAATATTAATTATGATACAGGTCAGTTTAGGTTTTCTGTGTAATGGAGTAATTATTCCTTGCAGTACCCTTCACTGTCGGTGATGTAGTCAATGGAGCCGTCGGTCTGCGTTTGTCCACCAACGTTGGTGGCATCAGCAATGCTATGACATTTGCTGAACAAAGAACATGTCAAGAGAGGACTGCCGCCCTATGGCGAAGTCAGCCTCTTTTGCCAGTATTGTGATTTTTGGTACGGACCTTTCCATTAACATCATGGTAGGCTGTGCGAAATAAAATCAGCTTGTGGATAGACGCAGAAAGAAAACCACCTACAATTAATATAGACACATCCATCGACGCTGTCGCACATGTCCTTGCAATCTAAAATAAGGTATACTGAGAAACACTCTTCCGATATTGAACATTCACTTTACTCGCCCTGAACAGTGTCGACCAATCCGTAGGTCAAGTAGTCGCTTCCTTCAACAGCCCCGGTATAGTTGGAGAATACCTCTGTGTAGCCGTCATCGGCGGCAGAGCCTTCAGGCTCGGGGCACTCATAGTCGGATAGTGACTGGAATAAATCAAGAAACCAGCAGACGATCTGTGACAAGACTTGTATCAGTGTTATGTGAAAGAAACTCGAAGCAGCAAAACTGACCCCGTCCTTAAGCCAAGGTATGGTGAGGTTGGCCACGTATTCAGGGTAGTCACCATAGTACCATCCGGGCGTGCAATCATCATCCCAAGGCGGGATGGCAGCGCCATAGTATTCCTCTGCCGTGAGATTAGTGGTAACCCCGGCCAAAATTTGAATTTCCGTAGCATTCAACGATACAGTGGTGCTGTCGGCAGTGGTGTCGTTGTCTGCACCACGGACTAGCAGGGCGACCGTAGTGGTTACGAGGATAGAGGAGAGATGCATTGTATGAACTGAAGCCCTGGAATGGAACTCAAGAAGCTGGAGAACAAGAGGTATTCTGGTCGACTTTATACTGTAGAGAAAGATTCTGGTGACAGCATAAGTCTGACTATTCAAGGATTCACCATCTGCCGGCGCAGCCAGTACCTGAGTACGGAACATGAAAGCAATTTATGTAAAGCAAAAGGTATTGGCGGGCAAAAGCAGCCAGTGACATAAGTTCTGAAGTCCCTGGCCGGTGAAACTGAACTTGAAACTCGCTGGCCTCCAGGATCCATTGTTCCTCAGACACTAGAACGCCACACAGACAGAAGATCGATTCAAGTGTAGGCTTGAAAGATCGTCCTAGGAAGAAGGATCCGTTCCTCTTCTACGTTATATGAGTGGCTGAGCCGAGCATACGCATACGCTTAGTAGGGCGGAGCGGCCGTAGGAAAAGAAATGGTACGCGTATCTCCTCATCAGAACCTGTCAACTTCAATGAGCTTAGGGCCGCGTCCAGTCCATGCGACATATCAGGTACGAAAGCCAGCTCTATCGTGGTTCGCTCGAACATGGAGGCTGTACAGTAGACGGGTGAGATACCCCGCCGAGCGGAAAAGTAGAATGAAGACGAAGAAAAGCCTCAAGATACGGTATTGTGATCTTTAGCGCTCCAAACATTGACGAAGGCAGATCGGCAGATGGCCAGGGCAGCGAGTGTGGGGTAAGAAACTGGAAGTACCTACTATCGTTCTGAGTTCTACTGCGAGATTTGTTATTAAATTCAACTGGAAAAAGGGTTGACCCTTCAAAACATCTCTGATGTCTTTTTGGTGCTGATTTGTCCCGGCATCAACAATTGTTGTCAGCTGTTACGAAGTCGTTGTGAACCGTTCAACCGGCGATGGCCTCTGTATCGAACAATTCCACAAGCTAAGGGCACAGAAAATAATTTCTAGACCGAAAAAAGAATTGTCTGGACAGCGACCGGAAGATATTAACATCATGGTCAAGAACAGAGCGCCGAAATTCTCGAATTCTTGATCATATGGGTCGGGGCCGATCAACGACGACGGAGACGTTCCCCTAGCGCTTTATCCTCGACACACCGATGCCGCCTCGCGACTTGGACACGGGGACCTCTGTCAGGGAGTGAAGTCCGATACTGTCGCGTTACAGCAGCCCACCTGGGACGGTTTCGGTCGTTTGATTGGCGGGCTTTCAATCCGAGTATGTTCATAAAAGACTCGAGACGTCGCGGCTAGCTGTTCAGGCATAGTCGGAATACCTCGCTATTAGTTCGCCGGACTTTGATTATGTCATCATCACTTTACAAAACAAACTGTGAAGTCTTTCTCTTTTGATGCCACTGGTCTACAGCAAGCCCCAGCATACTATCACAGTAAAGAACATGGACGCATCGGTTGATATCGACTGTGTGCATAAACTTTCTCGTTATTCACAGATTCTTGAGCTCCACGTACACCAACAGATTCGTTGGTGCAGTTCGTCATCTCTCCTCTATTTTATCCTCTTCGATTTATCAAGCTACAGCTCCACGTCTCAAGCTGGGGCATCAGTCAATTACACTTTCTCAGTAAGCCTGCCTTGTTTCTAAATACGATGATTCAATGTCATCCTCCCAGGGTGCATATAATTATGCATATACGTCTCGGCAACTGATAATGCTTCCCAGGTGATGCTGTATCCGTTTTCGGTACTTGAGGCCCTCAGAATAGGAACTATACCGTTCGAATTGACGACATAGTTTCTCCACCTTTTTCTGCAGAGAGAGACACCTATGAAACCCGTGTATCATTGTTTCAGGCAGATAACTTGGGAGGCGGAGATCATATGTTGTCGTTGGTTAACAGTGCCGAAGGAGGGCTATTACAAATTGATTACGCGCTATCTTTTACCGACAATGCCACCGTAACTACAGATACGTCAGGGGTACCGAGCTCCATGGCCTTATCCTCCACTTCATCTTCAGGCTCTTCGGATACACCTCCACAATCTTCGTGAGTCTATCAATCCATGCATCAAAAATTCTTCGCTTAATTTCATGGCAGTCTAAAAGCAGGCTGCTGCAATCGCAGTGGCTTTAGTTGTCTTCATTTCTCTTCCGGTCGCCATCTGGGTAAGTTTCAGTCTATAGAGAAACTTTTTAAGCCGGCTTGATTGACATGACATCAGTTACTCCTTCGACGGAATAAGACACTCTGGATGCGATTGCAAAGCGGATACATGGTCCAGTCCCAATTCGATTGGGCTTACCCATCTACGAACGCTATAAACGCTTCTTTTTGCACTCCTTTTTTACGTCTTCTGGATACGGGCAAGAGACTGCGGTAGGATTGAGGACGTGGTCGAACATGGGGTCAAAGATGAATCCTTCAACTCATCTTCGTCTAATGATGGTCCTCAAGCGTCATGGTTTTCGCGGATGCATTCGACCCTCTCCTTGACAAAGGAGTCTAATCCAGATTTACGATGGGTTGTGGTGGGCTCGGAGAAAAAACCCTATTCACCATTTGCAAGGATACTCCAACGTGCGGACGTTATCAGCATCTCCCGCCCTGCTCCAGCCGCCCGCGTTCCTTCACTAAACCTGACCTCAAAGGGGTCCGGAAACCCAGATCTGCCATTTCTCATCATCCCTTCGTCTACGCCCAACCAAAGAGACTCCTTCATGATCCCAGTCAATGACAGAGACCGTTCCAGTCGAAGGAAGATTCAAATTCCACCACAAGCCGTTATTGTCGGTCCTTCCTCAGTCTCTCGCCAGGAGACGGTGAAAGTGAGCATCTCAGATTGCTCAAGGTCATTGAATAGCCCGAAATCAGAGAAGCTCAGCAAATTGCCAAGACTGTCGAAGATCCTCCCACCACTTCCCGCTTCCAAAACCGGTAGCAGAGGCTATCCCAGCACAGGTACTCGCCGTCCTCTTCCGGTGCCTCCGTACGATGCTGAAAGATTCCCACGTAGGGTGGAGAGGCAGGCTGCTTTCGCGGGCATTGAGACAGTAGGGGATGCCGGTCTACGGCCAAAACAGAGAAGGGACACTAACTCTGGATCGCCTTGTTCTCATCAAGGCTCCTTGGAAGATCGCTCAGGGCTGCCGGTAGGGCTGCACGTGTAGCAAGAGATAGAGGAACTTCGGAGAGAAGTTCACTTACTTCATAAATACCTGCGCCAGAATGACAAGGTCGACGGTCCATCCCCGCCGCTTTACACTACTACGGCGTAGGGCCAACTATAGACCCTTTCATTTGACATATTTAAGCCATAATTCATTAGAATACTGCAGACGTTTGATAATCAAGATGAAAAACAGAACCTCAGATCCGCTTGACAATTTCGTTGACAACGTCTTCAGTTCTAGCAGTCCCGCCCAAGTCTGGTGTCAGATAAGCAGCTTCACGGACGACGGAATCCACAGCGGTGTCAATTCGATTGGCACCCTTGATGTAACCAAGGTGATGAAGCATGAGAGCGGCTGAGCGGATGGAAGCGACGGGGTTGGCAATGCCTTGGCCTACAATATCAGGAGCGGACCCATGTACACTAAACCAGAGCTGAGTGCAAGCCATGCTAGAGATAATTAGACGTACGGTTCACCCATCACAAAGTTGTCGCCAGCATTGACGGAGGGAACGACACCCAGAGACCCCACAAGTGCGGCGGCGGCGTCCCTGTGAGAGCGTCAACCAGAGACATCGACAACTGGTACTCATTTACGCACGAAAGAATATCGCCATATAGGTTTGGTGCTACCATGACATCGAAGACTCTGTAAATCCGATGAGAAAAGGAAGTCGGGAATGAGAAATTTCTTTACTTGGGTTCACGGAATAACCTGGCAATAACTCAGTTAAGGATATAGATATAAGTTTGCACATACCGATAGACTGCGCTGTCAACTAATTGTTCCATGACAGTAACCTTTTGATACTTCGGCTCGATATCTGGGACGGCGCGAACGGTTTCCCGGAAGAGGCCATCAGTGACAGACAGCACATTTGATTTGTGTATCACTGTAAGATGCTTTAAATAACTTCAGCCGTGGGGCAACAGGCTAAATAATCAAGAACTAGCCTGACGGGGACGATTCAACGCAATGTCAAAGGCCATTTGACCGATGCGTCTTGATGCACGCTCAGTAATCAGCCGTGTTGCACGCGCCTCCTTCCCGTGGTCGGTGACTCGGAGTTCCTCTTGTTTGATATACTGCAAGAATTGTCGCAACCGTCGGCGAAATTGTGGTAGACCAGGCGGAATGGAACGTACTAGACATTCTGTGTTTTCCCTGACGACTACCAGGTCGACGTCAGGAGGGACACCGACAACCGGGGACACCTGTTCTGGCATTAGCATCGGAATTCGGGTAAAGCGGAAAGGACAACTTGCCGAAACAACGGGTCGTATGTTGGCGTACAGGTCCAAGATCTTACGGAGCGCAACAATGGGTGATGAATACCCCACGACCTTGCGTGAAGGAGAACTGATAATATACGTAAGACTAAGATCGACTAAGAAAATGCTGGAAACACCTGACAGATCCGAAAAGAGCGCAGTCACATTCCTCCTTAAGAGACCTGGCGATGAATGAATACTCTATAGTATCGTAAGTGTGAAGTGGTCTACTGACTCCACAGTTTCGGGAGGTAGCGCAGTGCCTGTTCGTGTAAAGGTCTCGAACCCAGCCACCAAATCAACGAATTTGAGTGAAGGAATGTCAGATCCAACCGCTTCAATGGCGGTTCTTGCGGCCTGTTATGCCTAGGTCATCGGAGCGAATCCTGTAATTGCAGACTGACGAACTGGGATAACTTCCTGACCAATACCATCAGCAGGGATGAGACCAATGGTGAGATTCTTCCTGGCCAACGTAGCCATCGAGCGTAACGGTGTGCGAAACATAGCGGTCAAAAGAGCAGTCGTCAACAGTGGAAGGAAATTTTTGCAAGCGGAACCCGATAAAGCCGATATACATAGCACGTGATACAAACGCGACGCGCTGGTTACGAAATTTCCAAACGCGAGGCTGTTGAACGCCATGGCATCGGACCACCCGCTTTCTTCACCTGCCACCATGATTCCGAGCCCAAGCTCTTCGCCGCGACCCGTATTTCAAAACCGAACAAATTTTAATGAATCTAGTCGACCTAGAGCGAAATATCAACAGAGGCTTTCCTTCGCGCTACCCACACCCCCGAAATGTAGTGAATTGAAGAGATCCGTGCAAGGGCCAAACTCTCTGCAAAGTCGTAAAAGGGCTAGACCTCTTGAAGATGAGAATGTCTGTGAAGAAGATGGAATGCCGCATGTTCCCTTTCGTAGGGAAAGGATTCGTGGGACCACTCACTCTCGTGGATATCTCGCGATACATGCAGGAAGTAGACCACACGATGGTGTGCTTGTCTTGATTGTTGACGTGACACTCTCTAACCGGGAACATTTTAGTATCTACGCGACATATTCTTGAATCATTTGTCTCGCATAACAAACGCGATGTCTACAAATGTCAGTCCGCGGGCATCGATTACCATTTGACGCTACCCTATTCATGCTCATATTCACATGGTCAGCTTTAATACTTTCATCTTCTACATTTTGCTTACTATTTTGGTATAGCGGCGCAGCGTGGCGAGTCCACATTATTGGCAGTTTCTACAGAACAAGGGACCATTCACATCATAAACACAACTAAGGGAGATCCTTGGGACCCTGGTAGACGCTACACGTGTGTACTGCATCTTGTTTTTCGCTGACGTCCAACTCTTAGAGCCTCTTCACACGACAATACAAGCCCACGATAACGGCGTCTTCGACGTCAAATGGGACGAATCTGATAAACGCCTTGCCACCGCTTCTGCCGACCAGTCAGCCCGGATTCTCTGCCTTTCTACCAACACTGTCCTTCATCGTTTACGTGGCCATACCAGTGCCGTAAAATCCATATCATGGGATCCTTCTAACCCAAATTTGCTCAGCACCGGCGGCAAAGATGGGACCATATGCCTTTGGGACCTTCGAGTCGGTGAAGGTCGTATAGACGGCGAGTCGCTTCCACCTATCTTATCCATTCACGGAGCGCATGAAGAACCGGCTCCCTTGGGAAAGAGCAAGACGCGGCGAAAATCTACACCGTCTACTAAGACAGTCACAAATCTGATCTATAGTGATACCTCACCACATAATCTGGTCAGCAGTGGCTCTTATAATGGGTCGGTCATCTTTGTGGGATTTCATAGGCTAGGAGTTGATGTTTTCCCACAGAATTTTGCGCTGCTGGGATGTTCGATCCCTGACGAGTTCGAAGAAGATACTCAAATATAAACTACATAAGCCTCTCTTCGTTTCAACCGAGGATCCTACAATTTTTCATGGCTCGCGTCGTCCAAGGGGGATAATTAGTCTTGCAGAAGGCTCAGGTCCTACAGCTGGACTTCTCTTTGGACTAGGTGCTGATTCTCGCGTACACACATACACCCGGTCATCGTTGTTACCAATGTCCAATAGCTACGCTCACGAGCGGATGCAGACGAACTCCTTTTATATCACTCTGGCTATGTCGCCGTGCGGACGCTGGCTTTCCTCTGGGAGTACGGGTCGAGGAAGTGCTTTTTTGTATGATGTTCATAGTGCCTGGCAACCTTTCGCCATGGAAGAGAAAGGTGTCGAGCTCCAAGGCCAACAAGGCGATATAGGAGGGGTAGCTTGGTGTAGTGATGGACTGGTAACTGGCGCTGATGATGGAACCGTTAGGGTGTGGAGACCTGATGTGGACGCGTATCATCATTGTCTGGAGCACCCCGATGAAAAGAGATGGCACTGGAGTTGGTCAGTGCAGAGTTAAACTAATAATGTATTTTGATTTGTAGACATCATTTGAGACGGCATTTAACTTCTGGATAATGTTCAAACAAAAATTTGGGGACGTTACTGGTTAACGATCTCCCAGCCTAACAATTTCCCAGCCAATCTCTTTCCCCGACCAGAACGGCACGACAGCCGCACCATCTAAGGTGTAACTTTCCAACACTTTGCTTGTGGTCCTTTCGATCGTTACTGTTGGCAGACCATCTACAGGTAGCCCATAGAAACTGCGACCGAATAAACTGGTGAATCCATCTATGTTGTTAAGTGCACCAAAAGATTCTAACTGATGGGCTACTAGCGGCAGCAAAATAGGAGAAGTATAGATGCCAGCGGCACATCCTTGAGTAGGAGTGCTCGTTGACTTGATGTGCGGTGGATGAGGGGCAGAATCCGAACCCAAGAAGAAGCGAGGGTGGCCTGTCATTCGTCAGCTGCAGCCCAACCTGAATATACGCAAATCGAACCTTCTTTGATTACTTCCTGCAGAGCCGCACGATCGTCAGGAAACTTTGCCACGGGTTTGCAATAGTTCCATGACTGCCCGGCCCAATCGTCTACAGTTAAGGACAGGTGGTGAGCTGTGATGGTGCAAGCTACGGTGGGACCGCATGCTTTCACGGCTTCGATTGCGGCTCGCGTGGTAGCATGTTCAAGGACGATGCGCAATCTCGGAAATTCCTTGTGAATCGAAGCGAGGTGGGGAAGAAAGTGAGGCTCCGCATTCAGGACATGAACATTCTATGGAACAGTCAGTACCAACCTACCAAATGATAGACTGAAGTTATACCGTAGCTGGATCAGAAGGAATTTCTCCGTGCAAGTTGAGAACCATGTCGACATCTTGCATTGCCTCAAAAATGGGATAATATAGTTCATATGACTCAATCCCTCCGTCTGAATTTGTTGTGACGCCCCTCGGATAGGATTTTACGCCAACGATACCAGCTTTTTTTGCTTTCCGGATTTCGTCTGGGGTGAGCCCTGGGGACAGATAAAGTGTCATAAGATATTCGACACGAGGATCAATTTTTTGGAGTTCGGTCTTATACTCCAACGCTTGATCTGTCGACGTGATAGGGGGCTTCAAGTTGGGCTATCCATAGGTGATCAAAGATAGTGATTTTTGAACACGGGGAACAGGAATACCATGACATAGGCCAGATTAAATCCACCTTTTCGTACATGGGGTGTTACAAGCTGGGAAAGCGAACCCTGGCGCAAATGGACGTGGAAATCTGCCGGGGATGGCACAGAAAGAGTTGCAGACATGATAGACTTGGGTAGATCGGACCGTGCACCGAAAGGGAAGTGATGAACGGTCATGTGACCTCACGTTGCCGTTTACTTTTCAACACCCGTGACCCAGGTTACTATTAACCACCGTACCTCATCCCCTCAACGACCGTCCTCACATTGCCTTGCCTTGCTCACAATGGTCGCCGCGGGCTCCATTATTGTTGCAGGTCGGTATCCATCGTGTCTCTTGAGCATTGAGTTCTAAGGTACTTGCAGTACGCGTACGGCCACCCACCTCATGGGAGGCTGGGCGCCTTCCAGAGCCCTGCTACGACACTACCATTCGGGGTGATGGCACGCTCTCTACACCTAAATCTGTCGCAAATACTTCAAGTCTACGCGAGGTCGTTCAAATCGTCGACGACCGCATACTCACTTTCGATCCCGATGAGAAGGACAGGGCGAAAGCATTCGTTGAACGAGGATTCACGCCACCCGGCACGAAACGATACAAAGACAGACGATTCATGTTTGACAAAGTGTTTGACCATGAGGCGCGTCAACAGCACGTCTACGAGGCAACTGCCCAGCCATTGTTGAAAGGCTTGCTTGATGGATACAATGCTACGGTGTTCGCGTACGGGGTGGGTGCCCCGCTTTCGTACCAAATGCCTAACTAACTGCCATGGGTACAAAGGCTACTGGCTGTGGCAAGACGCACACCATAAGCGGCACTGAATCAGATCCCGGCATCATCTACCTTACCATGGCAGACCTCTTCCAACGCATTGAAGATCGACGAGAGGAGTCAATTGTCGATGTCTCAGTCACCTTCCTCGAAATCTACAACGAGGAGATCCGTGACTTGCTCGCGGCTCCGGGTGCACATATGCCACGAGGCGGGCTGTCTATTCGGGAAGATAAAACAGTCAAAGTTGTAGGGTTAACGGAGCTAAAACCGACCTCAGCAGAGGAAGTGAAGGAAATCGTTCTATCGGGGAATTCGCGTCGAACTCAGAGTCCTACGCACGCCAACGAGACGTCCTCACGATCGCATGCCGTCCTTCAGATTCATATCACTCAATCTCCACGTACCGCCTCATTGTCAGAGCAGCGGACGGTTGGTACCCTCTCCATCATCGATCTCGCCGGGAGCGAGCGCGCAGCGGCCACGACTAACATGGGTCAGCGTATGGTAGAGGGAGCGAATATCAACAAATCCCTATTGGCGCTTGGTAACTGCATCAATGCGCTTTGCGAGAGTGGTGGTGGCGTACGCCATGTACCGTATCGCAACAGTAAACTCACGCGTCTTCTCAAGTTCTCTCTTGGCGGCAATTGCAAAACTGTCATGATTGTCTGCGTCGCTCCCACTTCGAATCATTTTGATGACACGCATAACACTCTTGTCTACGCCGAAAGGGCTACCAAAATCAAAACCAAGGTTGTTACTCGAAATGTTGTCAATGTCGATAGGCATGTCGGTCAATATGTTGAAGCTATTAACCGGCTTAACATCGAAATCGCGGAGCTCAAAGCCAAAGTTGCTGGCAAGAATATGCTCGAAAATGATATCGTTCGTCGGAAAAAATCAGAAGCAGCGGCTGAAGTGGAGAGAGCAAAAGAGGATATGAAAGTCAAATCCGAGCAGACGAAGGATTCAATTGTTGAAGGAGCTGCCTGTTCCGGGAAGATATCCGTAGCTAACATCAAGCTCGGCGCAATTCGTGCACGATTGTCGGAAATCGATACCAGCCACTCCTTGTCAGCCGATCTTCAAGCCGAGCGCGCACTGTTACAAATTCTGGCTAGTCCGGAGGAACAAGCTATCAAACCGGGCTCTGCGTTATCCATCATGGTGCAACGATCATCGAACTCTAGGGCCATGTTCGACGCTACCATGCGTGCCGTGTCCGAGAGAAAGTCGGAGAAGCTTGACGACGTCAGCATCGAGAACGTTAAACTTGACGCCATCCGGAGGAAGGCGGAGATGGAAATGATGAAAGCCCAGGAAGAGAAGGGTGCAATGCAGAATGCGGTTGAGGATATGGCACGAATGATGGTCGCACTGATTGGAATGCTGAGCCGTAGCACGGTCGCCATCGGTGGCGCTGCCAAAGCTTTGGATGATGCCTCTCAAGATGAATTGCCCGGCACTTCTTCCCAGATTGCCAATTTGCTGGCCAGCGTCAGGGAGAAAAACGATGATAATTTTACAAAGCTCATTGGTCAATCAACGCGTGGCTATAATATGGATTCGGGCAGCAATAGTGTCTTGGACACTTACAAATCTTACGAGGTGTCTTTCACGCGCAGGGTCAGCTCGGATCCCGGAAAGCAAAACTATTCCCGTTCCTCTTCCTATGGCGCAAATACTTCTATATCTGCGTACAGTTCCCTCTCTGCATCACCTCGGCGAAGTCATAGGTCACCGAGAAAGTCTTTGCGATCGAGCTTGGTATCGCAACCATATAGGCGTGTCTCGGACAAAGAAAAGAAGATCGTTAAAGCAGGAAAGAGTGTGCAATGGCGAGATGAAGTAGGTCGAGGAGACTTGGATGATGGTGGCGCTCGCTTGAACTCAGTCTCGGTCACGGTCATTCCCCCGAGCCCCCATCCTGTTGTGGACGTTAGCGTTGCTTCCGGTTCCGGTGTACAAGCATCCCCTTCAGTCAGACCTGCGTCACGTTGCGGTTCGGAAAGCGAATGGGAAGATGATGAGAAAACAGATGATAGTGTCCATCTTTCCATGTCACTTCCTGCTTCAACTCGTGACATCGCACCATCGAATCACTCATACGGTTCTATTGTCGGGAAGCGACCCCGCGCTAGTCGGCTGGATCCCGGCTTCCTGAAGTCAAGATCAAGAGGCCCCGCACTAGGAAGTCTAGCGGAGGGCGACGAGAGCGAAGCTGAACCTGAACGACGACTCTCACAACCTCTAGCTCCCAGGAGTCTGAATTCAGAAGAAAATATTTTGGCCGAGCGCAGGAGCTGGTCGGCTTCAAGGGAAAACCAGAAAGGGAGGGCAACGTCTGGACGGCGTATATCGTCAGCTTCCCGTTCTGTGGCATCCACACCAGGGAAGAGTCGACGACGTTCAAACATCGGTCCGCTACGTGGCGAGAAGGCACGAAGGCGATCAAGTATGATTCCTCAACTTTCGCCACCGAACGGCCATAGGATAAGCCATGGGGAGTCCAGTAAGCCGAGGAGGATCCTGCTGGCCAGTCCTTCGAAGCGAGCAAAGAGACTTTCTCTGACCTCCCGAGGCATGCCGGCGCTCAAACTGAGATCAGCAACAGGCTCTAGGTCCTCATTTTCGTCGAATTTATCAGTCATGGATGGCAACACGAGTGCAGATATCAGTATGAATAGATCTTTCCGACCTTCATGGCGGTGATGGCTTCTAGCTTCACCCATGACCTAGTATGTTTAACGTTATCTCATGTCTTCTCTATCCCCCACTGTAATCCCACCATGTTTTGTCAATGATTTCTCTCTCTGTTGTTGCCATGCCTTTCACACAAATCTCACTTTCATATGTGATACTAGATATTATACCCGGTGCATACTACTAGTACTGTTTATATTTGGGCAGTTACATTTATCATGATTTTGGCCGGACGTTACGCCTTTCGTTTGACTGCCTTCCGGCATTTGAAATTTATCTGCCACCGACTGCCACTTCCAATAAGACATCTTTTGTTACTGAAGCTGGTCTCTAACACTGGACTTGTGGTTTGTCCTTCCGAGCTTTGTCCAGCATTACCATCCCATCGTCTCCTTGTCAACATTCCTATGGCGTCTACGAGTCGAGGCCCAAAATCTTTCACTAGGAGGGTCTATCTCGTCTTGCGTTCTAATTATCCATGGTCTCGACGACGCCAATGGCTGTTTACAGTGTCGCAAAGGCTAAACCAGTTGACTTACTTCATGTCCCCTCTCAGACGCGTTGTTTGTATGTGAGAATGTAGTGGCGCCCCTTGTACTGTATTCGTCTCCGTACAGGGTCCGGCGTTCATGATGAACCAGTCGAGGCTTTGAGGACTTCAAATGGTGCCGATTTATGGATAAAAGGTCCCAAGGGCACATTCACGCCGCCGCCAGGCTAAGTGAGGCACGTATAAATCTCATGTCATAATACGCCATATCAAACACTGCTGCTGGTCATTTCTTGTACGAACTTTGTGGAAACGTCCTCAATCGAGCAAGTTACAGCCAATACCGGCACTGGTACACTACTGTATTTTCCCTGATGCTCCCTGATGCTCCACGGGCTCGGCCGTCGATGTCGGACGATTGGTGGAAGATGTAACCGTGGACGTCGGGTCCTGGATCAACCGTTCGTGGCAAAACCTCCCCACACTATCGGTCGGCATTTTTGCACCGCTATCCTCGTCACCATGTTTCCCGTCATCCCTTACGTGGAGATAGTGAGCACTTCTATTTGAAGCATATGAATGACAAGGGTGACCGTGTTCCATATTCTCGTTGATGGATATGAAAGTCACGGCAATCTGGACTTGAGGAATGTGAGCCCTGACATTGGGGGTGAAGTCGATGTCGGAGGTCATTTCCGTGGCGTTCTTCGCTTGGTCAACAGGTAAGGAACTTGAGCGGTGCTCGATAAGACGGCACGGTGAGACGAGAAGCGTAAAAAGATTGGCGCTTAAGAAGCATCGCTATCGCTCCGATGAAGCGCTTTGAGTGAAAGGTGCTAGGGAATAAGTATATTTTAACTAATGCCTGGGTCTATTATTTTGCCTTCAGCGACAATCCAGATACAAAACTTCTTCTAGTCGCCTTGCAGCCTTCTCGGAAATGACTTGCAGAACCCGCTGGCTTCGCTCCTTCTTGTACCTTCGGATTTCTTCTCCTTGTATAGATACTGTAGATGCCTTTCCGGACAAAAACCATAGGAGAGGTCAATGTCTGCAGAAATGAACTTCTGAACGGAGGACACGCCTTCCTTCTTTCTATCTGACGATGTACCAGCAGACATGCAGATAACCTATTTCGTCATACTGCGGTCTAACAAGTACCTCATGCTTTCTTTCACAAACATCCAATCGCAGAGGGACCGCACTCGGCCGCCTCGTGTTACCTGCAGACCAAGCATGGGAAAAGGGGTATGAGAGAGACGAATAGAGAATTCGTAGAAGCACCGTTTACAATCCAAATCTTTACCTATATTGACATAGCCAAACTTGGATTCTTGGCGATTAGATCATCCGGCGCTTTATTTTGATTCCTTGTAATTAGGTTTTCATCCAACTTTCTGTACCATTTCAGAGCCCGACAGTCAATGAGATTAACGACCAGTTCAATGAGGCAGATACACGTACACATTTTGTCCGTTTGGAAATTCCACTTTTAGTTGGACTCATAGACGGTGGGCCAATCATGAAAATTTGACAAAGCGCGAGTTATTGATAATGAAACTCACAACTCTTACGCGCCACACAAATATTTATTTGACGAAACTATCTGCCCGCTGATCGGAGCTGTCCGAAAGGGCCACAATGCAACCAGCTTGAATGGCTGGTTGATTTTTCCTTGCTTCTTCGACTACTTAGTATTCCTGAACGCCACCTTGAACAGCGAGAAACCCTAACTGCGGTCCCTCTAAATAACAAATCATAGATTGCTCTATGTTTCAGTTCTTTGAGGTCCGAGTCTGCTGAGACTGTTAGAATAGCCATGGTATTTATTTAAGCATGCAACGCAGAATGGTTGGCTTGACATCCAAAGCCGAGGTACGCAGCAGCATCCTCGTTATCTTTTCTCTTCGCGTCTAGTGACGGCTTCCGTACACTGAAAGTCTGAAGGTGTCGATGCCTTGCAATCGATGATCAATGGACAGCGGCTCTTCGATCAACTGGTACGGTCCATCGAATGATGATTCATATCTCGCACGGAACCTGTACTTTTTTTTTTAGCAACACAGCAGACATGTGACAGAGAACACTTGAGAGCGCTTGTCAGGGACGGATGGAAGACTAACCAACAGTCGGGGGCCATCAAGGGTGTCCCATGATCAGGCAACTCATGGGAAGACGACAAGTAATCGCCGAAGTCCTATCGTGAAAGCCCTCTCTACTGTTCCAGCCGGGCATCCACCTGACAATCGTATCTGTCGCGACACATATCAAGGAAGCTAGCCCTCATTAACCTTAACCTGGTTTGAGTGGCGTTGAGGGCTCTTCACTTGGAGAATCACTTCATTTTGTCCAGATATGCCTCGTTCAACCAAGAAGGCATAATTACGACCTGCAATTGAAAACCATGAGTAGAGAGCCTTGACCCTGAGGCAGTTCAACAGCGGGATCAAATGATAAGCAGGCATACGAATTATCCCGGTTTGGGTTTCCGGAAGACGCTTATCTGTGCCTTGGAAGGAAGGACTTCGTAGGTGGCGATCATTGTAAAACAAGTAGACCACTATTTCGCTATTGACAAATGTCAAGATCTACCGGTCCTGTGGGATGAGAACATTATCATGGGCTGAGACTTATTTTGGTATCCACTCTCAAGTTCAAGATCTGCTTTATGGCAGACTTAACGTTGCGGTCCCAATGTTTAGTCCATGCCGCCAATGTGATGAAAAGAACAGAAGGGTGGCGTTTGTTGGCTTTCAGTCAGATGGCATCTTTCCTTGAATCCTATAAATGCACCTTGGAAAGCTCCAGCCCCTAATGTGGAAAAGGATGAAAGATTCGCATTGCTCGAAGGCCTCAGTCCATCTGGTATGGCTAAAAACGTTCGTCGATAACTAAGGTGCTCCAAGAAAAGGTATCAATGAGTCTATAGATCAGCTGAAAATACCCGAAGAACACTGTCGCAGGCGAATTTAAATGAAAGTCATATGCATAATGGAGGCAAGGGAAGATGATCTGTTGAAGGATATTAGGGGGACGCTGAGAAGAGGGAATATATCACCATACGCACTGTAGTTTCAGAGGGTGCTGATACGCTCGAAAGTGGAAATGTAAGTTACCAGGTACAGGAAAAACCACCAATGCCCCTAAGTGCGGGCCGTCCATGGCAAACGAGTGAACAATGGTCCATGGCAGGTAGAATGGCGCCAGAAAAGAAGCGTAGGAACATACCCACGTATACTTCCAAGTCCTCTTTGTTCTGAGGGGGTTGAATTGCAGAATCCTTGCAGAGCTGCGGATCGGAGTAGCATAATCAAGAAATCGCCAGCGCTTACTTCGAAGTTGAGAAACCATGCTTCTCATATTCCTCAAGCGTTAGCTCGTCACTTGCGATAGGACGTACAATCATCGGGAAGGTGATTCTATTGACCAGAGCAAAGATAGAACCGCTACTCAGGTCAGAGCGTTATGATATATTGTCAAGAAGCACACCATCAGGTAGGTTCGTAAGGTTCAATTGAATGACGACAATGGCCGTGAGCCATATTCATGCCTGTAGGCAACGTTGCTTTACGAGTCGCTAGGCCACTCATCGTCCGCTTCTGGGCTGAGCCCGTTCGTTTGGACATCAGAATTCCGTGGCCGTAACAAAAGAATAGATGAGAACAGACCTTGACTCCTGACATGTTAAACCAGCCAGATCAAGTTCTTCTGCCCCTTGGGTTGCGACCTGTGAGAGCAAACGGCTGAAATAGATTGTCGCCGAGGTAACTGTATAAAAACGAAAAAAAAATTTTTTTTTGGGTAGAAATTTGAGGCGAGGCTTCTTCTCAAAATTGAGACTCCGTGCCGTAAACAACGGCCTACTTCCTGTTCGCTAAGACACTTTGTACATCGTCAAAATGATGATAGCATTCCGTTTGAGCTTAACCTTCCACATGATAGTCCAGAAAACACGGAAAATCCGTAGAAGGACACTCTGTGAAAAGCCGTTATAAGATACGTGACCAAGGGTATACCGGTAGAGAAGCTCGAGTGAAGCCGTATAGATTAGCCGTAACATCCTCCATTCTTCCTTGGCATTCAAAGTCACCCAGAGTTTCATAAGTGTGCAGTGAATCTCAGCCAGAAAATACCGGGCCACCATGGGCTAAGGACATTTCGTTACCCGACGTGAACGAGCACCTGAGAATACTAGTAGTGTTTGAAAAGACTGTCGAACAAATCGGAACGCTGGAAGTGTCGAAGAGCCTCAGTTCGAAGGCTAGAACAACGAGTCTCTGAGAATGAAATGGAGAAAGTAAGTCCTGAAGAGCGCCCCATCGTCGTCGACTGTGGCGGTCAACATACAATGGGTATAATCGGGAAAGGAATGAAGCTCAACCATGAGTCAGGCGCATCCGGCGACATCCGCCGGCTTCATGGTATTTTCCTACTTTGTTCCGGTAGAAGGATATATTTCTCGCAGCACCACGCTTGGCCATTAATTCTCCCAGGTACTAATCAATTTGTTTCTGCACGGAGCATACCCGAGGAAACTTTTGCAAATGCAAGTTATTATTATTGTTTCTTGGACTCGGGGCAGAACATATTCAGAGTCTGAAAGCCGATCTTCAAAGAATATGATAATAAGGCAAACAAGCAAATGACCGTTGTCGTCGATTTCAATTCGACGTCCGAATACTATAACTTTCGTATTACCCTTTATCGATGAGGTCGGAGTTAAGCAAGTCGTGTTTTGTTCTTCCAAAATCGTATCCTGCGTAATGGAAGATTACCGGCTACTCTTAAGACAGTAAGGAGGATACAACGTGAGCATCTGTGAGCAAACATCGATTTACTTCCAGTTATCGAATGGCCGTCTCAGTATGAGGCACGTATATTCGGTATTCGTGATGAATCCGCGACTCTCCGACCATGGAACGTCACTAAGGACAGAAGATCCGCAAGCTGATGCGGTAAAAGAACAAGAAACCGGAGGATCTTATAGAAAAAAGGCCAGAAAACACCGAGCTGGGAAAGTGGCGAGGACCTGCGGTTATCCCCGCGAATGGGACATGTTTCTGCTCAAGCCCCTGTTCAATTCAACCTCTTGTAAGAAAACATGGAATTTAATGAGAAAAAACCTTAAATTGTCCCTGGAGGAAGGAAGGGGTTTTTGTCAGAATGGCGGAAAGGCTCGACAGCTGGTCTACTGGCAGCTCATATGCTCTCTCTCTGGCGTCATTTTTACACGGCGCCAGGCGAAAGCAACGGACAAAGAGTACACATTTTTCATTTGGCTATCTGTCAATGCTGGGATTGAATTTGTGACCAGACTACGAATGCACCGGAAAACTGACCATGCTATCTGATATGAGCATTGGTGCCTTGAAGAAATGAGACCAGCAAATGAAACAACAAATTTGATGTTTTCAGTGCACAATTTGTCAGCCGTTCAAAAGGAAATTCGGGGTCATTGTCAACTCTCAAGAAATCGTTCGTTGAAAATGCATTGTTATGGGTATCGGCGGCATTAAAGACCCGGAAGTATGCGACACTTAGCTCGATTGGTCGTGAGCGAGTCAGAATGCATGATTTGCCAGGAAAAGAGGAGGTGACACGCTGAGGTTCCCTTCAGTGTTGCTACCGTTTGCTATTCGCACCTAACCAAGTTTGGCGCACAACTGGAAGGACTGACAAAATAATCCCTGCCCGACGAGCATTCTATGGAGGAGCAACGAGCACCCCAATGACACATAGCTCCGTATAGTAAGCTTGTATCTCTGTTGTCTTCCATGACCGAGGCCGAACAGTCCCAGCACGCATTACCGTCAGTCTAGACAGTGGAGATGTATTAGAATCACAAAAACTACGGTACAATGACAATATACCTGTGCATATGCTGGTCATCACGGGGATGGGTATCTTTCGAGGGATACCCAGACGAAATATGATGTGTTGAACAGGTGTTATTTCCGCCGAAAGCGAAAAGTCGGCTTCTATGAAATGCGATCGTCTTGGAGTCGAACACGCTTCCTTTGGGGCTGTGGTACTGTCTGCTGAATATCGACTTCCATAAGTTCGTCGTCGGAATCCTGGTCTGAATGCCTTGTTTGATCAGTCATGTTAGTAATCTAAGTAGGGTAGTCAGATCAGCAGTATCATCACACCGGAGACGTACATGGGATAGGAATTGTGTAGCAATGACATTGTCCGAATCGATGGCCATTGCACCTTGGAAATGCAACTGCGCGCTACGGAGTAGATTGTCATTTGATACATCTGGGAACGACATTAGATCATGCCTGGAGTAACTTTGAAAGACAGCATGCCGTCGTCGACGCCACTGATAGATGGCTGGGACAAGTATAGAGATAAGAGCCCGGCATAGTTATGCAACACAGGATCATCCTGGTAGGGGAATGATGGAAGGTACCTAAACATAAATGAACAAGCGGGAATCGTGCAAAGTCTTCGGAAGTTTGACATACAATTCCAGCTCGTCCAGGGCTTGCCTGAAATGCCCTGCCATGATCTGCCGAAGAATAATTTCTTTGAGGATCATCTCTCTCTGACGACGCGAGTAAGACACCAAAGATCCGTATACACTTACGGTTGGCCCACCTTGTCCGGCAACTGTTGCATCATCTCGTGAAGAAATGCAACCTTCTTGGTGGAATCATGCTCGTCGAAGGTTTCACCTCCCAGAATACGTACTGCAATCGTCCACATTGTCGTCCAATGCATTTCCTTACATCGCGCCAGGATGGCCCAGGCTTTCTTTGCCCGCGGGAGGTCATCTCTCAGTAGAGATAGCTTTAGGACATCATAGAGTCTGCATATATGCACCTTCCGTGCGCTCAATCGAGGCCCTACGTCGAGAGAGTGGAAGAGGAAGGGCGAGGACATCGAGGCCTTGGTGATGGAAGTCGTTGACAAGCCGCGCCAAACTAAATTAAAATATATTCCGTAACGTCACAACAGCCTATCCATGGACGACGATATCACCTTTGGCGTCTCCGTGTGGGGTTCCAGTGCTCCCGTTAGCATTCTCCAAGACAATCCTTTCGATGACCGGGTGCATTCAACGACAGACCCCTTCCACTCCCAATCGGCAGACGACCATTTTGACGATTTTGACGACTTCGGTCCACCTGCTCGGGACCTAACATTCTCCTCCCAAGACGATGACTTTGGAGATTTTGGAGACTTTGATACGACGGAAGGTATTCCGTCCGGTGACAGCTTTGGTGACGCACTGGGATTTGCAGTGGATGCATCATTAGCTGGGCCATCGTCTTACATCGACTGGGAACCATTAATATTGGAGCCCGTGCCGAGCAGGTCACGGCTGGTACAGGATATCGACAACATTCTGGGACCGCTATGGCCGAAAAGCATAGCGGAGGTTACCACGGATGATCCTATTCGAGAAATGGAGGGCATAAGTCAGATTCTTGTGACGTCAGAAAGGTCTGCATCGGCTTTCTGTATCACCATCGTCCACATATTAATCACAAACGTAGTCGCGATCTTTTCAATATGCTGGTGCAGCCACCCCCACCAACGAAACCACCAAATTGGATTCGTTCACGAATACGACGACAACATTTAATTGCCCTTGGCATTCCCGTCAATTTAGACGAGGTTCTTCCGCCCCATACAGGCGGCAAGGTCCTTCCTCCTTTGCACATAACCACTCGACCAATGTCTGCACCGCCAGGGCCCCGAGGTCCTCTCCGTCCCGGAAGCATTACCGCTTCTGCGAGTAACTCGAGAGCCGGGTCCCCACATTCTAAACACACTTCTTCTGTATCACACTTTGGCCCCAAACCGGAACTCGATGATGCCAAAATTCATCAGCTTCTTGCACTTGACTCTGGTGTGTATCTCATCTCTACTTAATATCCCACTAATCTTCTCCGCGTTGCTGACACCTGGTGTCATAGACACTTTGACACTCCAACCTCTTTCGACGCTTGAGCGGTATCTAACGGAACTACGTCAGCAGACGGCGAATACTTCAGCTCGCTTAACCCACTTACTGCAGAACCGAGACGCTCTACAGCAGGATGCCGAAACATACAATGGGTTGATCGCCGAACTGGTCGGAGAGGCGCAGAAAATAAAGACTGGCAAGGGGCGGGCGCCGAACAGACGGGGAAGTGGGATGATCTGACTGTCCGCCTGTGGCGAAGCGAAACATCGATTCTTCCAGTCGTCTGTGCGACGCGAACTTCCTTCCCCCTTATTGCGTGTGGCAACGTCTTGGTGCTTTCGGTTCACTTGAGCATTCTTAGCGCAAGTGACAGAAAACGATGAAAGGGTGTACCGTCCTTGGAAGATGTAAAACGCACCTGTAACATGGTACGTCGTGATAACTCGGACCTCGGCATCGGGATATAATGCATAGATCATGGTATAATGAAAACGGAGAAAAGGTTAATCATAGTCACTGCTATAGGACCCTTGCTCATAGTAGACCGGGGAGCAGAAAGGTGGCGTCCGGTGAACAACGCGGACTGCAAAACACGAACTTTTTTTTCTACAGTTATTGCAAATAAGGCCTTGCGAATACCGGGATGATAGTCTAAGGCGAGGTTACTGTCTGCAGCATCGCTCAATAATTATTGCCCGGATGTGAATACGATAGCCGGTTCAACGAGGACGCCGCAAGTCATGGTGACCGTGTGGCAAGGATGAAAATCGATTGTCGCGTGCCTATCGACGTGCACAGTTGAATGCGAGTTCCTGGAGGTCAGGACAACCTATATAGGTCAAACAGGATCAACTCGCCGAGATCCTGCTATATGCTGGGAAGCAATATATTCGAAGAGCTTCTGTTTGGTGTGATTTAGAAAGATCTGGGCTAAGATGGTATTGAATAGAGCCTCATTGGTCTGTACGAGAAATTGGAACTGAGGTACCGGAGGTTTTCCAAGCAAGGCTACGCGTGGTGTGGCGTCGATCGAAGTCGGAGGAGGAGCTGGCTTGAGTGACCCGAAAGATAGTCTCGGTATCAATGAGGATCAAGAGGTGTTACTATTTCGCAGGACGTCTGGCACCGAATGGAACGGTTGGAGCATCTCTCTTGATCGAAGCTGAAGGTCAAAGCCGTACAGGTCATTATGGGGTACATTCTGAGAGACAGAAATTAGGTAGAAATCCGGCAGGTCAAAGGCAAATCGCAAATACCGATGGATCTGCTGGAGAAGGGATGGGTTCTGCGCAGTAACCGCAACATGAATTAGGTTCTTAGCATATGACATTTAGGTTATAGGAATTCATACATTTTTATTTTTGGGATCTGATAAGGGGGCAAGTGACGATCGAAAACATACAGTCGCGGAGATCAATCTCAGTTGGCGCAAGCGAATCGACTACAGACAGGCCTTAGACCCATCTAGAGACTGTCGTCGCAGGTCCAAGTCCCTGCATCGAGGGCCGAAAGAGGATATGAAACAACAATTTATCTCGCAGAGGTATCGCTATCGAAGTTAAAATTATTGTCGAACGGCAGGGAACAACCAACCAGATTGCGTGTAGATGGTCGGGCCTCGGGAGGCGGAGGCATTACAGCCACCGCCAGATGATGCAATCGTATGGCATTTTTCGGGTTAGCCACTACCTCACTTACTTGTTCAAAATGCCATAAATCCCCTCGTGCGTTCGGAGAACTCGTGTCTTTAATATTCTCGCCAATCTACAGGAATCATCTGCTTTTTTGAATTAAACTTGATGCTGTTTTTACACGGATCTTTGGCCTGGAGTTCCGAATTCTTCTGTCGGCATGCCTGCCTTGATGACGTTCCAAGGGGAAATTCGAGGTCGTACATAGATGTACATTTACGAGAAGCGTGATTTGATTCTAGCAGACACCGGTAGACGGGGAACACTTGAGTTTTGCTAGGCACCACCGCCTGCATGGATACTCCTCAGAAACTTTCCTGGACAGACACGTTCACAAAATCATCAATGTCTTCGGCCAAGGCTGGATGGCTGCCGGTAGTGATCCTTACCAGAAATGGGGGCGCCATTCAGCGCGACAGGTATAAAAGCCTGCCATGTCAATACCCTACGAGTACCCCATCCTGTCCTACAAGATATTCCTTCTCTCTTCACTACAATGTGTTACTATCGACAGTGAGCCTTGTTATCTCGCCCCTTCCACTCCATTGCTGACCTCCATCCCTAGAGTCCGAAACATATACACAAGGTCAACGTCGCGTTGTGTTTCCTTCGTCGACTCTAATACTCATCTACTTTCAGATGCGGTCACGGCGTTACTGATGTATGCATCCTTCGCAAGCCGGTTTCATCTCTACTTTGACTGATAGCTTAACTCGTCGTGTCAGCCGGATGAGGAGGTATGACATTAATTAGACACTCGCAAGGATACACTCTAACCTCAGCGTATAGATACGATGCAATCTCGTCAATTGCAAATTTAGCACTACGCACCCTCGCCATTGCAGGCCACCGGCTTGCACCAAGACCTGTTGGCAATAGTGAGTGTCTGGATACCCGCTCGTGCGCCACCGTTTCTAACGCATCCGTATCCGTACAGCCGACAATATCCTCAACAATATTGTTTGTTTTCATACCTCAGCGGCGAGCTCATCTGACAGTTGTTTCTAGCACCTAACATTAACGGGTATTGCCCACAATGTCGCAGATAGGCAACGTGGACACCCTCAAAGTCCCGATGTACCCAACTGTCTGGCGCATTTGAGGCCAAATGATATGTTATACGCGTTTTTTCACGCTTACTAGTCACTTCTATCACTTTTAATAGTTTGGTCCATCAAAGAACGTATATGTAATACATCTTATCTCTTATCATACACGGAAGCCGGATCTCAGCAAAGGAGGAACACCACGAAGCATATGATCGAATAAACAGAGCGAAAGCAGCATATTTCATCGCACTCGGATAATCAATCATCCACAATGTTGTGTTTTTTCTTGAGCTGAGCTAGTTCCTCCTCTCTCCGAGCAAGGTCAGCCTTTGCCGCGGCGGCGTCTTGCTTGGCCGGCATGTGGTAGAGCACAACAATGTAACGTTCTTGGAGATGGAATCCGTTCAGATGATCAAGAGCATTCTTAGCCTTGCGTTCGACGGGTCAGCCGTGGTCATCGGGGAAGAAGAGAAACGCACGCACGTCCATAACATCATCAAATACGACGAACGCCGTGCCCTTCGTTTTTTGTTCATTCCCTATCCGTATTTGTCGAATTGTACCATAGCGTCCGAACAAATCATATAAATCCTCCCCGGTGATTTGGTAGTTGAGATTTTTTACGAATAGGATGCGATTAGCGCCTGGGGGGAGCTATAGGAACCGATTGTCAGCTGAGCCATGTTCTAATGGAATACATTTTCACTTACTGCTGGGCGTGGCACGGACATGATGATGACGGTACTAGAGGAACTGCTTTGTTTGCCAAGCGACAGAAACACAAATACCGGCGTCTTTCCTTACTGAGAGAGAGAAATCAAAGAGAAATTCACAAAAATTTCGGCCAGCAGTCCACCGATACGACGGACAACATCATGGCTCAGACTATATTCGGCTTTCGTTTCTTTGAATAAAATTTCTCATCCGAACAAGCTTGCGGCGGGAAGCAGCATGGCGACAGTCGTTACGCGGCCGATATCCTCCGAACGGGGTAATGGCGCCCGACACAGCATGACGGTGAGTGATGTCTGTGCCCATGGCTACTCATGTGCCTTTAATCTGTTTAAAGTGATATGGCCCGCCTTTTCCCTCTATTCCCTCGCAACAGTGCTGGTCACTTTTTAGCGCGTCAACTCCGGTGCTGGCCACCACAAATCGGTCCCATGCTAGAACTGCCGCCCTTACGATCTGTATTTTTCCATCTCAAGATACCTGATACGCCCAAACCCCCATTCCCTATACCACGAGTCATCTTTTACCTCACATGCATATCACTAATCAACACTCCACTCGTACTGGCATTTTCTTTGCTTGATTATGGCGTTCTGTCCTTGTGGATTAATCCCGCAGCTTGTGTTGTCACCATCATATTTCATTGCTCGGTCGTAGCCCTGTCCAGGCAAAAAAGAGATATCGAAGACCCCTCTTACTTCTCAACGATTGTCGTCTGCTCATACCTGTTGGCCTTCCTATGGTTTTCGGCTATGATTATAACCATCGTCGTACTGCTTTCTTACAAGGGAGACTTCACCGTGGACGGTCTTCGTCGCTATGGCCTCCCTGTATCTATCCACACGCAAAGATTGCAATGTGTCCTTGCGGCCATAGAATTTTTACTTATGACGGGGATAGGAGTGAATGGACATCTGTTAACTAGGAAAGAGGGCGATCCTGTGAGTTGGAGACCGTCTGCAGATACAAAAGTCGTACATCAGGTGCGTTGATCGGTTGGATTTGTGTAAAATTCGTTCCTCAAACTCCTTTTAGCCCGTTGAAATTCAGACGACATTTGCACCCACATACTAACGAACTTTACGACGAGCGCTTGGCGCTTAGCTGTCATTAACAGTCCTGGCAAGCCCGTTTACTAAGTTCCTTTTAAGTTCCTTTTAGTTCAGTAACTCTGCCGGACATATGCAACAGATAAATTAGGTATTTATCTCATAATACCAATCACATCCACTGTTTCTTGGAAAGCCGCTCCACATCTGCGCATTCATTTTCTCCCCGTACACACAGTACTGTCGCGCCGTCTCGGCTGCCTGCGTCGGGTATTATACACTTGACGTCTTCAACGTTTGGACAAGGACATTCTCTGGGCGCCTTGACACATTCTAGAGTTGCAGGGCATAAATAACGGTTGCAGGATACTTGCAACGGTTCCAATAAATCAATCTATTCAATTGAAACGGTAAAGAAATACGCACTGCTCTCAGAATGGGAGGCCCACTGCGAAGCGCCAGAAGGCTGATGTTGCTCTTGGTGGCGGAACATGCCATCGAAGAAGTTGAACTGGGCAGATATAAGACCCGCCAAGAATATCAATATGAAGGATAGAGATGGAAACATGGTGGCAAAGCGCAAGACGAAACTGACACGTTACTGTCTCGATCACGTGTCAAAGCCATTTACAAGCAGAAACAAATACCGCCTCGCAACTTCAAGTCAACTGCTTTGAAAGTTTCTTGCTGCTTTCAGCCTTTCACTCTCGTCTTCAATATTTCTTGATGTTAAATGTGGTTCTATTGGTGAGTCGACAGTGACAATCTTCGAAACGCTCTCAAAGTTTGCAGTTTCGACTCCGAAACTTCAATTGACCTCAGTTACGTCGATTATAAGGCTTGTGCTGCAGCCTCTGGCGCCACCTAGCCGACAACCTTGCCACCTCGACCTTCTCCTGTTTCAACTTCTCCTGTTTCAATCTACTATTTACAGACTAGGCCAAAGTATTGACACTTGTGCAATGACACCGAGTCTGGCGAGCCCGTTTCTCCGGTTATTACGCTCATATTCGCAGCGTGTACTCTTCTCCTCTGTTTCATGGCCTTCTCCAAATGATAACAAGGCCAAACGGAGTTGCTACAGCATGCTCCCATTCCGCCGCCGCCACCCAACTCTATCTGTGCAGGATCTATCAAGGATCAGGAACAATAATAGCGCTGCATCCAGGCTTTGCATAGGCCGTCTCGGTTCCTAACTTGAAGCCTCAGGCAGGCGGTGTCTCATCACACTTATTGTGTTCGTCTTACCCGGCCATGGCTTTAGTAACCGGAAACGGAACAATGCGTCTTATTGTTCTTGCTATGGTGACCTTGTTCTAGTTTGTTCTTCTAGCTGTCATTAGTTGAAACCGTCCCATCGTTTTATGATTCTATTTGACGTTGATTTCCGGCGAACATGCACTGGCAGGACTTGGGTGGTCATCGGATGAAGTGTTCTATCTACCGAGGTCTGTTCGTAACTTACGCTTTGAGGGTATGCTGACAACGATAAAGCCAGGGTGCGTGGCGTTCATAAATTTCCAGGACATCCGAGGCGAAATTACTATCCAATTGTGTACGGAGCCGACCAAAATAGATATACAAATAACCAAGACGAGTTGCTAGATGCTGGTAGCAATATGTATAGCTTATAGTATGTACGTATGATTGTTGCTAGAAGAGGATCGGTTTCGAAGAGGAAACGTTGATAGCGGACAGAAAAATAACGCAATAGATATGCTTGGTGATGAAATGAGTGAAGTGATGTGCGAGAAGGGGAATACGTGCCGGCTTATCACGCAAACTACAGATCTCCAGCCTTCTCATCCGCCTCTGCCTCCATGATATACCGCCTCCTCTTTTGCTCAGACGCCGTCAGTGTCGGCTCCCTGTCCGAAGATCGTGTGTGGTACCGACACGGCGTAGCAGTAACGTGAAGCACCTCGCTTGGAGTCTTCTTGGGTGTAACAGGCAGCGGAGGTGGTTGTACTAGCGTTGATTTCAGCATGTACTTCCTTTGGAGCTCCTGCGTCTTTGGGTCTGCAGACCATGCGATAGGCTCCCCTTGTTCCACAACGGCAGACGCTTTCTTTGTCCTCCTACGTGGCGGCAAATTCTCCTTATGAGATTCTTTGGAGAGATCTGGAGGTGGTGGAAGGATGGCAGAAGGCAGCATGTCAATATCCGCGTCTGGATACACGTCAAAGCCAGGGTAGTGGATAGAATGGTCTGTGGGTAGAATGATAGGGTCTCGTGAAGGTAGCAATGATGTTGACCAAGAGACAATGGATGAGGGAGCAGGACGAGGTGTCTCAGTTCCAGTCACTCCTTCTTTCTGCATCGAGGAGCTAGAAAGACGTGGGGAGGGCGCCAGTCTGTGGCGTGACGATGAAGGGCCATCTTCCTCAGATTCTGCCGAAGGGAAAAGCGAAGCACAGCTTAAAGGCCCTCTGACTGAGCCAAAATCAAGCTTCTTTGCCGGGCTTCCTGGTCCTTGGAGAATCTCTGTGAAGCGAGCAGGAGAGGCTAGACGTCGTCGTAAAGGGCTCTTTACAGTCTTCTCTGGCAAGAAAACGCCTTCACCAAAGAGAATTCGACGTTTTGTAGGACTGAAAGGCGTTGGGGTGGGAGAATGTGCCCGTTTCTGTGGCCTGTTTGGTTTGAAAAGGCTCGTAGGTGGTAAACTAGAGCCTGCTGGCAAGAAGCGTTCGAGCGGCCACTCTCTGAGAGGGCCAGGACGCGTAGACATGTTTACAACGCGATTGTTGGGATATTGAGCGCCGCAGTAGTGGTGGAAAGACGTCAAGAGCGGTTAGGAATGCGGGGGAAAATAGAAGAAAATAAGGGAGTATGCCATGCCTGGGCCACGCCTTGTCAACAAGACCCCGATCACTAGTTCGGGGTCCCAAGTGTGACAATAGGATCACCTGACCTGTGATGTCGCGTTTTTCCTTTTTCTGATTTCCTGCTTTTTGGTATCGAGCCATACGCCATCTAGCTCTGTAGCTCAGAACTACATCCCCATCTACCGTCAAACATGACCTCAATCTATGCTTTGATTATTTGGCATCTAGATTCCAGATTAGATCTAAAATAACTACATTTGCGTGTCTACAGGCATCACGACGTCGAAGACTCCCGTCCCGGTCAAGTTAGGTCGTCCTAAAACAATGTTTCCAGAAGGTGATGATAGATCATCGAAGTCCCCATACAGTGTTGCGTCGGACAAGAAAGCTGCGGTTGTCTCGTACGACGCCTTCAGCAGTGGCGATGGATTTGTGGATATGCCCTTCCGATTAAACGGCTTGTAGCCGCCTTCAAACGTCTAGAATATTGTGTCAGCGGAACTGCATTACGAATAAGTTTCAGCTGCACACCATATAATCTGCAATAAGCTCCAGATGACGTTGATCCACCTTGATACTATAAACGCCAAAGACACCACTCATCTCTCGTAAGATAGCAGCTCGGGCCATCTCGACACCATACGTCTTCAAAATGGCATAGATGTCATTCGAATACGTCTCATGGTCCTCTAGAATACCTTCAACATCGGGCACACAAAACTCCCACATACCCCTGAAGTTTGATCCGTTAGTTGTGAGCTTCGGAAATATCGTCAATGATGGTGTTAAATTAAAAATGGTTCACTTACCGTCGCCCTACTGTCACCGCTTTTGCCATCTGATTTGACCTGGAAGCAGTCGGTGATACCAGAAATCTGATGGATGATAGTTAAGCGACAAGTGCGCTCCACGATACCGATGAATAGCAGCTTAGGCATTTCAGAGGAGAACTACGAGAGTAATTGAACAGGATGTTGACAAGAACTGACGGCCTTCACGTACCTCAAGTGTGAATGTACACCGAGACTCGGAGAAGTTAAAGGACGCGCACTGGTGGAGATGTCCCATGAAGAGATCCGCCACGCGCTTTGCATCCTCCTGGAGCCCTTTTGACCGAGCCTTGTGCGCATCCTCAGACTCGGATTCTGTATCAGAGGCAAACTCGGCCTCTAGTTCTGCTTCCATGTCTTTTTCTTCCTCCTCCTCCTCCTCCTCATCATCACCATCATCATATGTAGCCTGCTGCTTCCGCTGGCGTGCTCGTTTGGTGTCATCGGCGTCACCGTCGCCAATTTCGCTACCCTCGTCATCACCTCTTTTCTTTGTGGGTTCACCTGCGTCGCCATCTCCTCCATCACCGACAGCCGTGCCTTCGTCCCTTACTTTCTTTCCGCGTCCTAGCTCTGCCATCTGACTCTTGACATCAGAATCTAGTCGCTTCATCTCGTTCACAATCTCCCTCTTGAGAGTTAGAGGGAACTTTGTGGCGAAACATGCAAGGATTTCGGAGGGTTCGACTTCATGTTCTGCGCTATACTCTGTTTCGGGGAAGAACGTAATGTCGAAAAGATACTCCAGCCGTCGGGCAGCACCCTGGGCTTTCAGTTGCTCCGTGACAGTAACCTTTTCGACAACTTGAGATAGCGTCAGTTTGCTAGCACGCTTACAAAACATGTCTATGTCCGCCTGGGGGATACCAGGGCGAACTGTCATGGTCATTGAAGGTGTTTTGGGTTTCTGAGATGCGGTCATAACGATCTCACGTAGCCGTGGAATACCGAGCGTGACGTTTGCAGCACCATGACCTAGTTAAATATATGACACTGCAAGATCAACAAGCTAGAATCCGCTCACCAGCAAAATGGAAGGTGTTCAAAGTCATCTGGGTGGATGGCTCTCCAACGCTGGTAGAAGATAGTGAGGCAAAGAAAGGGAGACATAATTATGACGATTACCCTTGAGAAGCTAGTAAACCCACAGCCTCTCCGGGCTCTACTAAACTGCGCATGTACTTGACATTCGCCAACATCCTGAAATGGCTGCTAGAAATCAAATTCGTCCGTCGTTTGAACCAAGTGTCTTCGCCCTTTTTCTTGATTAGATGGTGCGGGTTCTTTTTGATGTAATCGTCCCTCGCTTTAGCAAAACCCTCGGAGACACTTCCCATATGACGGCTAGGGCTGTATATAGACAACGCGGGATCATAGATATTTTGTTGGGGATCCTTCTTGAGCGCCTTAAGAGTCATTTTCATATACTCTAAAGCTGTCTTCTGGTCGACAACATCTTTAAGCTGCACAGGTTCCAGAAGACTAAGGAAAGATGTCTCATTGGCGGCAAGAAAGTCGAACTGCCGGAGATGTTTTTGTTTCGTAACATCAAGCGAATCTCCTCCATAATGGAATTGGTAGACAGAGGAATCGCTGCCCCGAACCGTGTAGTCATAATGAAGACGTATGCCTTCCAAGTGTTTGATGAGACACCGCTGCAGGTACCCAGAGCGGGACGTCTTAACAGCTGTGTCAATGAGACCCTCGCGACCCGCCATGCAATGGAAATAGAATTCTTGTGGTTTGATTCCTGTCAAGAACCGGCTTGCAACATATCCGCCGGAGATTGCTTTGGTCTCAAAAGGGGAGAAGGAGGGCAAGGTCTTTCCGCTGACCATAACGGGCACCCGGCGACCTTCGAGTTCTTGCTGGCCAAGACCGCATGATATTTGTCGGGCATTGACCTCTGATCCCTTTGCACCGGAACGAGTCATGGCCTGCATGTGATTATGAGGAAACTTTCGCAGAAGGTGATTGGGCATGCATGCTTCGGAGATGGATGAGGTGAGTTTCCCAAGCTTGGACTTGACTGTCATGTCCAATCCAGCCATCTTGCTATCGTCCCTCACTACCTCTTCCAGCAGCTGCTTCAGAGCCTGGGGGACGTCTTCTTTCGGTGTGTTCGCCAGAGAAGGGAAGTTTTCAATAGAACCCTCCGTACCAAGGTTCTTTCCGCGATCTAGGATGTCTCTCCGCTTGGCATCCCCAACGGGAGTGAGCGTCAAGTCGTCCATCCTACAGGTAAATGCCCGGTGTTGGAGGAATTTGGTGAACAAACGACTGAGAATTCCGAGTAGCTGCCCAGCGACGTCTGCCCCGTACAACTCGTAAACTGAGTGAACGAGACCGTATTCTGAGGCCCCAAAAGCAGCCTTATCAAGGACGCCACATAGGAGCTCGCCATCCCTGAAGATGACTATGTCCTCCTTTGACGAAGGACCCCATAGTTTTCCTGGCACTTTGGTCCCAGCAGTGAGATTTAGGCCCAATCGATTGTGCGGGGTTATGTTTTTCAAAATCGTGGAGATCTAGTCCGTTGTAAGTCAGTGAGTATATGAAGGCATTAACAGCTCACAATCTGTTTACCAGTCCACAGAGGCCGAGGTTTCCATATTGTGGGTGGTAGAGTAACCAGACGATCTTCGACAACCTCATCGGCTCGGAGGGCACCACACAGAAGCTGGAAATACTCTTCACGCTCAAAGAAAGCATCCTGGGTGGTCATCCAGACACCTGCGACTACATGATCTTGGATGAGTCCGCGCAGAGGATTTCCAGACGTTGGTACAAGATACTGATTGTCTGTGTTTGCGATCATTTGAGCCTCAGCTCTGGCCACCTGATTTTCTACACAGGACCAGGAAATTTTAAGACACAACTGTACGATCTGTTCGCCACAAAAAACCAACTTACGAGGGAAATGAATATTCATCTCTATAACAACATATTCAGACGGCAATGATTTTTATGACAAAGGCTGGATCTTACCATCACCATCGAAATCCGCTGTGGAAAAGATATATCAATTGAATAATTACTAGACAAACGGCCCTCACCGTTATAGGAATTACTAGAGCAGACAGGAAGATTGAGACCCTTTCGAAGAAAAGAACAAGGCCGACACACCAATTAGCATAATGCATCCGAATAGTTTTCTCTCCATGTAGGACACGGGCTTTGTGTGCCATCATACTTGGCTTGTGTAGTGTGGGTTGCCGGTTGAGTATCAACATATCGCCATCTCGAAGATGTCTATGGACCTTCTTGTTAATCGCTGGTGTCCGGGTGTACAGTCCACGTCTACCAGAACCAACATGCTCATCGGCTTGAGGTGTCATGAGTTGGTTAGCAACTGCCGTTCTTTGCTCTATTGAAAGTTTATCCTACAAAATGACCATTAGCGGAAACCCCAAACGATGGTACAAAGCGCCCTACCAGTGACACCTGGTGACCATCTTCGTACTCAACAATTGTTGCCCCCGGATGTTCCCGTGGACCCGCAATTACTCGCTGGCGCATCTCGACGACGTTCATTGCCGTAACTGGTTCGGGGAAAGTAAGCTTCGTGGCAAAGACCGGCGGAATCCCGATTTCATTGGGTTCAATGTTGACGTCGGGAGAAATAACAGATCGTGCGGCGTAGTTAACTCGTTTACCCTTCCAAGACAAATTCAGGAATCAGAGAAGATAGCGACATCTGGGAACATACCATCATATGCTTTCGGAACAACCCTTCCTTCTTCTCCAGACCTTGCTTCACACCTGCAGGAGGAAGCTTGCCTTGTCTCACGGGCGCGGGGTTTTTGGAGCTATCCATGAAACTGTTGACATTGACTTGCATCTGAAGAAGGGCATCCAAAAGGCTGCTCATCAGCTTTGTCTTCTCGGCCTCATTATAATCATGGCCCTTCTGAGAGACGTTTCGCAGACTGAGATTGAGATCTCTGAGGCGATATGATGTATTCAGTACTTTAGCCAGGAGCTCATTTTGAGGATGTTCGAAAAGAACGTCGTTCATGGAAGCAGGTGGACGGAATCGGGTAGGCGCTACGGGGATCACCTCGAGGAAAAACATATCAGCAGACGCAACTGCAAGTCCTTTAGAGTTTCGTTTAGCAAAGGCACCGTGTTTGCCGTAAAGCAAAGAGCACATTGTCTCTTCATTTCGGAACAGGCGACGAAGATGCGCCCTGCATTCTTCCGGAGCCAAGATTCGCTCATTTCGTCCTCGCATCGTCTTGATTTTCCCATTGGCGGCACGCGGAAGGGGCGCCCCAGATACTTCTTCATCCCCGTCGTCCTCGTCCTCGTCCTCGTCCTCGCCCTCTTCTTCCAGGTCATCACCTTCTCCTTCACTGTCTGTGTTGGCGGAGCCCATCTCAACATCAGAATCGTTGCGTGGAGATTTCTGGTGAGAAGTAAACCTATTCGCCTTTTCTAGAAGGAGAACATCCGGGCGTTTCTTCAGTTGTTGACGCTTTTGTTTTTCGGATAAATCATATTCGATAATTTTTGTGTGATTCTCCTTGCGGAATGTGTATGCGAATCTGGAAAAACGTCAAAACATATTTGAAGCCAATAAAATATACTTACGACGAACAATCCTTGTTGTGACATTTGTTCAGGATTGTGCTCTTCAGAAATTCGTTGATCAAGTCTTTCCGTGCTTGATAGACTAGCGCATCTTTATAATCGTCCCTCTTGCTACTAGAGGCACGGCTGAGCTGAAGATGAACATATGCCTCCACCCGGGATATAAATTCATCATCCGACTCAGCATCGAATGCTTCATCCTCTTCCTTGGGTAAGTCTTTGCCTTTCCTCTTCCCTTTCGGCGGCTCGGTAAGTGTACCAGCGAGGTGCAAATCGTCAACTCCTTGAGCCGCATTTAGCAGTCCATACTCAAGAAGTTTGAATTTCGCGGCGTATTTTGATAGCTGTGGACATTGTTACGAGGGAACTTGGATATAGCGCACGCGTAGTGGACTCACTACTGTCCTGGACATCTTGAATCTGTGACAGAATAGGCAGGTTCCACGAAGCAAATTATACATATTCGTCATAAATAACGGATGGAAAACTGGCGCTGGAAGTTCTATGTGCCCGAAATGTCCTGGACAGGTAAAATATGTTAAGCGACATGTTGCACATCTACGAAGGTCACGGTCAATAGACAGCCATAAGAGATGAAGACGAACGCACATGTCCTGTCGATCACTTGGCCCAAGAGCCGGATCGTAGAGTCCACCAGAATTGGGCCGGTTCAAATCGTCAAGAAGAATTGGATTGACGATTTGCTTGACCGAAATACGACGAACATCTTCGGCAGACAAGAATGAGAAGGATATTCCGGATACGGAGGAGGGCAAGGAGTGGCTGATATTCATGACCATCGAAGCTCCTGTTCAAGACTTTAAAATGCAGGGGAGCTGAATTCACCCTTAGAGGTGCAATCCAGCAACGCGGTACGAATTCAAGCCAAAAATTTGTCATCACGTGCAAGGCTCATCTCGGACCGATAGAGATAGGGGCTCAAGCGCTCACCTTTGTACTCTCAGAAATGAAGAGAATTTAGCGGTAACAATGTTGCCAGTTTGGAGCAAGAACTACCTACATCCCACGGATCGCATCCTTCCCGCGTTTCTCTTCAACAATGCGATGAACAAATGGTAGACGTTTAGTAGCTGTTAACGTCGTTCTGTAGCTGATGTAGTGATCTTGATTCGTATCCTCATGAACTGAATGGAAATTGGAGTTCATCCCGATAGTTATTGTACAAATGAGGTGAACCTCGAACTTTGATTTTACGGTGCTAGTGAGGGTTGCAAGGAACGCATCACCGTGTTCCCAGTATCTACCGTCCTGCAGTTGTAATTGTAGTGCACGTGGTCGTTGCGCTTGTAAACCACACCCTCCCCCGGCCGACGTCTGCCATATCAGCGGCAGCGTACTCGGCCCATGAGTACAACCACATTCAGGTCGCTGACCAGTACTGTACGATGGCCACGTTATCAACGTTCTCAGCCACATCCTTAAATCTTTGTAGACTCGAAGAATGTTTCACGCGACACGATATGGTCCGCATCCTCCCTTGAAAACGGAAAATCCAACGTCTGACCGAGAAGAGTGCGTTTCACCTCACCTTTTTTGCTCTGTTCCTTGATTTCTTTTCACGATCTGATCAGGTTCGTCGTGTTCAATCCTGCCAATGGGCAGGAGCTTTCCAGGTCAGTAGATTCTTCAGCTCCAATACTCAATGAGATACACATTGAATTGCTGCTGCAGGATCTGGTCGACGTCCCAAGATGAAGTAGAAACAGCAATCAATCGTGCCCATCAAGCATTTGACTCGGGGTTATGGTCAAGAGCTTCGACATTTGCCCGGGCCAAAGTCTTGACGAACCTTGCCCGTATTCTGGAATCCCGTCTTCCTGAGATGGCGACCATAGAATCTCTTCAGACAGGAAGGACGATAAGGGAAATGCGTGCTCAATTGGGACGCTTACCTGAATGGATGTGCGTTGACACTGCTGACCTTCAAAATTCGCCAATCAAATGCTTGTTTTAGCGATTATTATGCTGCTCTGCTTCGGACGACTCAAGGGTTTGTTGCACCGACACAGGGACCCCTTCTCAACTATGTACAACGCATCCCCCTCGGGGTAGTTGCCCAGATAACTCCTTTCAACCATCCTTTGTTGATCGCTATAAAGAAGATCGCCCCAGCGTTAGCCGCGGGTAACAGCGTCATAGTGAAGCCATCCGAGGTAATTGGACTGGAATTCACAGTAAGATATCCGCTGACAGAATCATGTAGTGGGCACCTATTACTGTTCTTGAGTTTGCCAAAATGGCCGAGGAGGCAGGCGGTAAGAAGCTACACTATGTATCGAGGTGTAACGTTAACGTTTATGACTGAAACGTCTAGTACCTGCCGGTGTATTAACGGTGCTTCCTGGCTTTGGACAAACAACTGGAAAAGCAATCATCAGCAGTCCTTTGATTCGCAAAGTAGACGTCACTGTAAGCCATATAAATTCTTTGGTGACTATAACCAATGAAGTCTTATAGGCTGGTACGCAAACTGGACGTGTAATGGGGAGCATTGTTGGCTCCAATCTCGCGTCTTTCACGGCCGAGCTCGGAGGCAAGGTAGATTTTGACCGGTCCCAGTCGTATGTGCGCTCACACATACTTATAGGCTCCAATCATCATCTTTGATGACGCGGATCTTGTCTCTGCAGTTAACGGTGCAGCCTTCGCCTCATTTGTTGCTTCAGGTCAGACATGTGTGTCCGGTACTCGACTGATAATACAAGACGGCATCTACGATACCTTCATGGATCTCTTCCTGAAAAAGGTAGAAAGCATTTATAGGCGTATGGGTGACCGTACGTTTTCGTTCACAGTCTAAAGGTGATATTATTGTTAATTTACCTCTAGCTATGAATCCCAAATCTAGCATGGGCACTGTTATATCTCCGCAAAGCCTTAAACGTATTGAAGGCATGATGTCGCGTACAACAGGCAAAGTCATATTTGGCGGTCAAAGAATGACTGGCAAGTCGGAGCTGGACAATTCCGACTTCTCTCAAGGAAGTTTCTTCCCACCTACAGTAGTCGTTGACATCGATACAAGTGATGAATTGTGGGAGGAAGAAGTCTTCGGTCCTGTAGTAGTTGTGAACCGATTCGCCGTGAGCATTGTCAACTCTTAAACTTTTTTTTTCATGTTTAATACTGATTTTATCCCCTTTCAGACTGAAGGAAATGGCGTTACGTTGGCCAATGCGTGCAAATACGGTCTTGGGGCCGGTATTTGGACCTCTAACCTTTCCAGAGCGCATCGCGTTGCCGCTGATATTCAGGCCGGGCTCTGCTGGGTCAATACTCACCATCGAAATGACCCGAGCTCACCCTGGTAGGCCTCGTATATTCATAATTCGATGAATTGTGGTTCATATCACGTGCGAACAGGGGAGGAATGAAAGAAAGCGGCATCGGGAGAGAAAATGGCTTTGAAGCTTTCGAATCATGTTGGTCCAATATCCATGTTTTTCTGAATATTTTATCTAAGCTTCGGTTTAGATTCTCAAAGCAAATCTACCATTGTGAATATTGCTACAGCAGAGACAACACGCTCGACAGACGACTGGTTCTCTGAAGGACCCGCAGGAAAGCGGTACGGTTGAGATTTGAAGCGCCCGCATATATTAGCCTAAGAGCCGGCTTTATATATATATAGCACTCGTACCTTTGGATAAGCGCACGATGAGTTATGAAGGAAAAATGTTTCACCCGTCGGGCCATCCGCTGACCCAGTAAGGAAACTTCATGTCTGACCATCAATGCACTTTTCGAAGATCTATACTCAGCTTTTGCTCGATCTACCGCCCCAGCTGCGCGAGAATGCCGTACAGTATCGCCAGGTATGCCTGTTGCACCTTCGTAGCCAATTCTGAACGTTTTCGCAGCTGAAGAAACTCATAAATCAAATCGTGCTTGAGCTCGCATCGCTAGGGCTGAGTCCAGATGTTCTCCACGAGCATCTGCTGCAGGGTGGTGATGAGAAGGGAAAAGGGAAGCAGATAGAGAAACTTGTTGATGGATATAAAGTTGTGTACGAGGCGAATGAGGAGTCTGGCCGTATTGAACCTCGACTACGGTTTTGGGTTACACTTCCTGATCCTACCACGAGCGATAGCCACGGAACCGACGAAGGAGAATCTATTGTCAGCCCGGCACTGGGAGAACCTGGTCCCAGTTTGCTGTGGGTGCTGCAACGAAAGACGAGTCAGGCATCAGACCTTTCCCTGACGAAGACAAGGTGCGGCTGATGGGAACTTTCTGCAGAATAAGTACTGATTATCACTGTCTAGTGGGGGGATATCACAGGAAGTCGTGATACCTCTCGTCTTCGACTCGGCTTTCTTCCAATTACTGTCTACCGCCCTCAAAGCCATGTCGGATCATCTCGCTACCGTTCAGCTCGAGTTCTCACAGACGCTTCACGACTTATCCCGAACCATATCCGATTCTGCTCGGCCCGCATCGGCGACAACCTCGGGGTTCCATCCGTATTCAATATTGACACACCCTGGGACTATCACTGTCGGCGCTGTTGCGTCGGCTAAGAAGGTCCGTCTCAAGTCCGCTCCTCACATTCTCAAACAAACAAATTTTCAGACGGACCTCAATGCATGGCGGGAAATATTTCAGCTGTACGTTGAGGTTGAAGTATTTGAGAGCGTCTGCGAAGCTTCACGCGGCGAACGCTCTGTCGAGGAAAGCGAGAACAGGCTGAAGCTATTTGCGGAACGTCTCACTCAACGAGGCTTTGGGGACGGGAGACATCTCAGGATGAAGAACAGCCGAGAGGCATTGGAATCTTTTCTAAAGCTCAACATGTTCATTCTAAACGTGAAAAAGGTATTTTATTTTCAACATTCTTCGACACAGTTACCAACCGTCCTTAGTTTCAATCCGCCAATTCTGAGGCTACGCGTAAAATCCTCAAGAAACATGCCAAACGAACCGCGTTACAGCTGCCGGACACGACCGATCACGACCTCATCATACAGTCTAAATCTCTGTCCCTCCCTCGCATCCTCATACAAGCCATCGGGGAGACACTCCTTCCTGTTATCCCCCATCTAGACGACTACGCGTGTCTAATATGCACCAACATTGCGTTCAAGCCTGTTCGTCTCGGCTGTGGGCATCTCTTCTGTGTACGGTGCCTTGTCAAGATGCAGAAACGAGGTCAAGGTGACTGCCCGATGTGTAGAGCGCCAACTGTTTTATGCGCCAATCGATGTGCGTATTTTCGTCCCTCATTCCTATTAGTACTCACTTGCATTCATTTGACAGCCAATGTGGATTGGGCTTTGCTCAATTTTATGCAGGACTGGTTCCCTATCGAGTCAAGACAGAAGCTGAAGGACAGCGAGAAGGAGGCAGCTCAGGAAGAAATGCAGGAACTGGGGATCGACCCCGAACAAGGATGCACGATCATGTAAAACATATCGCTTATTATTAACGTTATTTACGCGGGAAAAGGTCATGAAGAGGGTTATGAATATCTTATAGCAGCCTATTAGTACTGGTACAAAATTCTACGTATGTGTTTTATTTAATGCAATTCTCGTGCTAGGATAATCAATCCGACTTACGGGCAACTAGTGAGCGGAATACAATACTAATCATCCTCGAGCATTTGTTCCAGTGCCATCTGCTCGTAATTTTTATTCAGCGCCTCGATAAATTCTTCCAAGCCGTAGCTTTCCAAAACCGCCGATAGATTTGTCAGGCTAAGGCCTATCCGATGGTCCGTAACGCGCTCCTGCATACCAATCAGGCATGAAGACAGTAACTTTGCGCAAAAAGTGCTCACCTGTGCGTAGTTGTACGTTCGTATTTTGTCACTCCGATCTACACCAGACACTAGACTGTTCTTTGTAGCGCGTCGCTGGGCAATGTCACGAATGATCCTTTGGTCCATAAGACGAGCTTGAAGGACTTGGAAGGCACGACGTTTATTCTGGGTGCTATATTAAAACCAGGAGTCTAAAAAAAGGGAACGATGCGTTACTTGATGCTGGCTCCGCTCATCTTGCATGGAGACCGTGATACCCGAGGGTATATGTGTCAGGCGGACCGCTGATTCTGTTTTGTTGACGTGCTATAGTATGCTTAGCTGGATTCCTACCAAGGGATGGGCACATACCTGCCCTCCCGCACCTCGAGCACGCATAACTTCGATTTTGACGTCCTCTATTTTATATAGCGGTTCTTCCTGTGTATCCTTCTCTTCGGCCAGTGGAAGAACCTGAATCCATTTAGTTTCAAACAATAGCAACAAAATGAAAGAAAACGCACGATGACTGCTACTGTACTGGTGTGGACACGTCCACTAGCATCAGTAGATGGTACCCGCTGCACGCGATGCACACCACTCTCCCAACGTAACCTATCATACACCCCTGGTCCCTTCACCTCCATGATGGCGTCCCTCGTCCCTCCCTGCTCCAGCTCGTTGATTGCCATCATCGTCCACTTCCATTGCTGTGCAGTTGCGTATCGCTGGTACATCCGTAGCAAGTCTGCAAGAAAAAGGGATGACTCTACTCCTCCTACGCCAGATTTCAACTCCACGAGGGCAGAATAGTGGGCTGTAGAAGATGACGGTTTGAGGAGGGCGGGCAAAGTCGTGTTGACGATTTCTTCCACCTTCTCTTCAAGCAAGCGGTACTCTTCCTCCGCCATTGAGCGCATCGTTGGATCTGGGTCAGCCAGAAGAGACTTGGTATCCTCGAGAAGCTACTATAAAGTACTTTGGCGAGTTGACGAGAAAAAGCGGCGATGAGCACTAACCCGACGGGAGTTATTCAATTCATCCCACGTCTCTTGGAGTCTGTCGGATTCTTTGATTTTCTTTAACCGTGTTATATCCTCTGGCTTGGAAACGCCTTCAGATATCTAAGTCGATGGAAATGTCAGGAAAGTACTAGCTGGCTGAAGCAGAAAACGCGCCTGGGACAGTATGTGAGTCCGTTCATTGATTCTTTTCTCAACGACGCGTAAAAGCCTCGAGGTGTCGTTTGATTGTTGTAGTCGAATGCAACTCGTTGCGAATCTACGACAGTGACGGAACATGCAGAGCAAAAAAGCAAAGAAAAAAAAAAAAGAAAAGTGTCCGTTTCAGGCAAGAGGAGCTACGGCCCGATATCCCTCACCCTCATCCTGACTGTCACCATGTCCGACCTCTACCGTTCCGCCATGAGCGCACGTATAGCAAAACTGCGAGAATTCCCTCACGTCGAAGCTGATGAAGATGAAGAATCCGCTGATTCCCTTGGATCTCTTCCTGGAAGCGGGCTAGGACCTCCAGCATTGTAGGACCCTCCTACTCATGGTTATCTGCGACTTACACCCTTTGAAAGGCCAGCCCATACGCGAAGGAATAAACAGAAGCGTGCTCCAAATCCAGAATTCTCGCCTATATCAGCGTCTGCTTTCTTTGTCGATGCCGCCCAAGTGGAGGTGCCAACAAGAAATCTTGATTGTCGCGTATATTATACACCGCCAAAGTTCGCAGATGGGACGGTGATGGTGTGCCACCACGGTGCTGGCTACTCTGGCTTGAGTTTTGCGTGCTTTGCCAAAGAGATATCCGATATCACAAAAGGCGAATGTGGTGTCTTGGCTTTAGATGCTCGACGGCATGGTGTGTTGAGTATTTAATGTCGGAACAATTGTCTAATTGACTAGTTGGCAGGGAAGACGACTTCCTCCGAAACAGATGATGATCTATCCATAGATGTTCTTGTAGAAGACTTTATCCAGGTCATTAAGACCGTGTTCCCAGATCCCCAGAGGGCGCCTACGTTATTGGTGAGCAACTTGAGCTTCGCCAGAGCAGTCGCCGAGTTACAATGGCACAGTTAGTCGGCCATAGCATGGGCGGTTCCGTTGTCGTTCGCTCCTGCCCTGTATTCTTGGACCTGAAGTACAAGGTTGCTGGTGTTGCTGTAATCGACGTCGTTGAAGGTAAGTGGTATTGCAAGAAACTCTATGACTTATATTCTGGCAGGTTCTGCTCTCGATGCTCTTCCACATATGAACAGCCTCTTGAATGCGCGGCCTGATGGGTTCGACAGTCCGGAAGAAGCAATTGAGTGGCAGTGCGTTGTTGTCGTGGTCTGCATCGAAATGTCCACTCATCACCTTCATAGCGTTAATACAAAGGCCATACGAAATCCCAAATCGGCTAGGGTGTCGATACCCGTAATTCTCAGGCCCTCTGGGTCTGATTCACCCCTTGTGCCAAAGCACATTTGGCGCACTCCTCTACGGTCGACTGCGCCTTATTGGAGAAGTATAATTTTTATAACTCCCTCGTACCTTTCCTGATTCAATGTCTACAAGGCTGGTTTGAAGGTCTTTCCAGCAAATTCCTAGCGGCACGGACGGCGCGACTTCTCGTCCTCGCAGGAACAGACCGGTTAGACAAGGAGCTCATGATCGGCCAAATGCAAGGCAAATTCCAGCTCATGGTTGTACCAGGCGTTGGTCATATGCTACAGGAAGATGATCCTACAGGTACTGCCAAGATTTTGACTGATTTTTGGAGAAGAAATGAGCGGTTGGTTGCTGGCATCAAGAAGGTTGGTGAAATATAATACAAGTGCTCTGTTTGCTCTGTTTGCTCTGTACGTCTGCATTATAACGACCACCATGATAGATTAAATAAAGGTTACGCTCAATGTATCTCATCAGCCTGTTGCCTTTACAGCTTCGTGTTGGACTGGCGTCTGGGGGATACAATAAGCAAATGAACGTTCAGTCAAAGGAGACCCTACCTCTCCAATCTCCACTGGTGCTTCGTCAATGAAGTCGGGCACTTTACCCATGTCAGCAAGATATGAGGTGCCTTCTTCCTCTTCTTCCAGTGCCAAGGCATCGAGTTCTAGGGCCCACGCATCAGTGGGTGATACGATAACTGTAAGGCATACAGACCAGCTTCTAAATCTGCTTCGTCCAGTTCATCAGGCACTGCGTATGACCTCCCTAGCGACTCTTGAATTTCATTGGCCTGCTCCAGCAAGTCCTCCATTTCAAAATGCATATTCTAAAGAATAATCAGTGCAATCTTATGAAATGAGCGAAAAGGCAACCTCTATCTTGTCAATATCAATCTTGCCATATTGTTTCTTCATCTCCTTGTTTGCCAGTTGCATGGCATCAACCGTCGCCATCGTGTTCCGTAAATTCTCCGTGGTGAGAGCGGCTGATTCCATATTGAAAGTTTGCTGGGTAAGCTGGGCGAGTTGGCCTTCGTACATCTTCTTTTGCTTCAGTGTGCGGAGTGCCCGCTGTTGGATGGCTTGCTAAGCGCGATTGTAGATGAGAATATTCCTGATGGGCAGAAGAGCGTACCTTTCCTGGGCCGTTTCGTAGCTTACTCATTTGCTCTTTGTACCTCCCTAGCTCTCCGTCGAGCTTCTTTACCTTGACTTCGATGGACGCTATGCGACCATCAGTCTATCATAGATGAATTTTCCGCAGTAATTTATAGGAGGAAAGGCACTGCTGACCGATGCGATGGCGTCCTGGAGTGAAGGCTTGGGCTTCTTACTGCTCGATGAGCCAAAAATCCGATTCATGGTGTGTTCAAGTCGCGATGAAACGGCTGCGCGGTGGTATGTATAAGGTAGCGGTGACGTGATGAGGCGGTGATTGCCGCTTTGTACATATAAACCACTTCTGCAACCCAGACACACATCTCTCATCTTTACTTCCATCTACCATGTCAAACGTATTTGTATGTCTTTTTCTCTATCTTTCCAACCCATTTTTAAAAATTTTCTCTTACGTGATTACCACGATCTGACCACCGTATGGACAGTTCGACATCAGCGTTAACGGCAGCCCCGAGGGGCGTGTTGTCTTCAAGCTCTTCGACGACGTTGTCCCGAAGACTGCCAAGAACTTCCGTGAGCTCGCCACTGGCCAGCATGGATTTGGATACGAAGGCTCTGGCTTCCACCGTATCATCCCCCAGTTCATGCTTCAGGGCGGTGACTTTACCAAGGGCAACGGCACCGGTGGTAAATCCATCTACGGCGAAAAGTTTGCCGGTGAGTGTACCGCACTGATGATAAAGATGGATCTCATTTTCTTCCGATATAGACGAGAACTTCCAGCTCAAGCACACCAAGCCTGGTATTCTCTCCATGGCTAACGCCGGCAAGAACACCAACGGCTCGCAGTTCTTCATCACGACCGTTGTCACTTCTTGGCTTGATGGTGCTCACGTTGTCTTCGGTGCGCCCATTGCTACTATTTTGTAGCTGGTTCTGACCTACGTTCCTACAGGTGAGGTTGTTGAGGGATTCGACCTCGTCAAGAAGATTGAGAGTCTCGGTTCCTCCTCTGGCTCACCCAAGGCCAAGGTCGTCATTGCCAAGTCTGGTACTGTTTAGGGAATTTTTATTGGAGTAAGCTTAAAGAGAAGCGAAGAAGATAACTACATACACTGTACTACAGAGAATTGAACTACTGCTCTGATTTTTCGGTGGCGACGAGTGGAAGGTCTTTAAAAAATTATTATCGATGCGCATCGATATGACGTCATTGCAGGTGTTGTGCCCGGTCCGCGTACCGAAGTCTTGAACACATAACCCGTCTAACCCGTCGTCATGTCTCAGGTCTTCACTGCATGGCTCAAAGAGAAGGGTGGATCATTTCACAACTATGTCCAATACGTGCCAGGTCGCTTTTTTCACCTCTTTTTTTGTTGTATATGCTGCTCAAATCTCCTGCTAGTTCCATCTGGATACTCAATCCTTGCTAAAGAGAAATTGCCTGCAGATTCCACCATAGTGTCCTGCCCTTTTGACCTTGTAATCACTAAAACTGTCGCACTAAGAGCTCTCTCTGAACTTTTGCCATCTGAAAACCTATTGGATTGGTCTGGACGTCAATGCATCTCGTCGTACCTCTGTTTTCATCACATACTGGACGAGTCAAGGTAAGGTCCTTCCGGCTATTGGCCTTAGCTGAGAAAGATTACAGTTACATCCCAGATTTGGCTCATGGACCATATGTGAATACGCTGCCATCGCGTGAAAAGTTGCGCACTGGACTGCACTTTACTCCATTGGAGCTCGAGATGTTCAAAGGAACAAACATGCACGGTGCGATTGTGGATCGCGAGAAGGAATGGCGACACGAGTGGGAAACATGCCGTTCAGTCGTCTCGAAAGTGGATCGCACCTGGGGCGACTTGTTCACCTGGTCAGTCGCCTGTTTATGTTAAATTCAATCGTTAAACCATTGGTGCAAGGGAACTGTTTTTGGAGTCAGCGACCCATGTGTCCTCTCGCGCCTTCCCGTCTTCACTATTGGACCCTAATCCTACCTTGCAATCATCACCGTCCACAGAACCGGTCTTGCTGCCAGGTATTGACGCCCTCAACCATGCTCGCGCGCACCCTGTCTCGTGGGTAGTAACATATCACGATAATGCAGCGAGCATATCCCTCATCATACATAAATATGCCAGCTCCGGCAAGGAACTCTTCAACAATTATGGTGCCAAGCCCAATTCAGAGTTCATCCTTGGCTACGGGTTCAGTCTCCCAAACAACCCGGATGATACCATCGTGCTTAAAATTGGTGACAAAAAGTGGGAAGTAGGCCGTGAGGCAAAAGGAGCCGATGAAGTCTGGAACGCTTTCCTGTCATTCGTTTCTCAAAACGAGGAGCCCGACTACGAGGACTGTCTCGAAGCAGCAGCAGTTCTCGATGAGGCGGTGCAACAGTTAATTGAAAGACTGCCTACAGACAAAGACCCTTCAGACCGGCTTGGAATGCGCCCTGAAGTGATGGCTATGTTACATGACTACGTTGAAGGTATGGGAAGGCGATATTACGGCCAACATGAATGTTATTTACTTTTTGACAGGCCAGCGAGATATTCTGTGCTCCCTCGCTGAATTTTGTGAGGCAAAAAAGCGACTCGCGGTAGAAATGGCTGAGGTTCAAGGCATTGACCTAGTTTTTGACGACGATCATTGAATTTTGTGCAGCGTGTACTCCCCATGTTGCCAGTTCTTCTACTGCCCTAGTGTCCCATCCTTGAAACTATTACCACTCCCCGTCGTCTTGTATCTAGTAGATAGGAATCCTAGGATGTACATGGACAGCTTCTTTCATTCATCTTTTCATGGCACCTGATGTATCTCCATATCATGGGTTTGACTATCTTTATTCAGCTAGCATGAAGTACACGTAACGAAGATGACCAGTAAGCCTATGGGAGACCGCATACACAAGTACGAGCTTTACGAGTATCAATCAAGCAGGCTTATGCTTGGCTTGGCAGTAAAGGTTCTCTTCATCGTATGAGTGCTACTTTTACTAATCTCGCTCAAGCAGATATCCGTTGTCTTCACACGCGACGTAGTAGCTAGTCCACGTCGATTCAATTCATTGGGTGTAATTAGTTACCTGACCAACATTGCAACGAAAACACATGACTAGCGTCACTTACACAGAGTGAAGAGCGGGCGTGATGATGCGAAATTGAGAAGAAACATTTTCGACTGAATAATGGATATACAGAGGACACCTTCACTCCTGGTGCAAGCCATTTGCATTCCCGATCGATGAACTAGAGGTTTTTCTGATCCCCAACCCTACGTGTTCTCCAGTGGTAGCACGTCTCTGTGGCGGCGTGCCCAATCTGAAACGCGGCGAGGGGATGCTACCATCTACATCGAGTGAAGGTCGTCCTGGAGATCGTGGTGGTGACAGAGTGCTGTATGCAGAGAAACGTGGTGAAGGTGGCGGGAACGTAGGAGACTGAACTGGATAAGGTGAGCGAGGACGAGGCGCAATAATTCCTTCATCCTTTCGGGGTTTTGATAGTATGGCAAATATGGAACGGAATAGAGACATTCGTTGCTGTGGAACTGCGTGACTGGTCGTGGGAGAACCAATGCCTATGACGAGATAATGCACATTAGAAAACACAGAGAGCGCTCAGAGAAAGCTCACCGCTTGATGTAGGTAGTGCGTTATCATTTGCGCTGAGACTTAAAAATAGGAACAAGGGCACTAGCCAGACGCATATTCCAAAGAAGGTGGCAATATCCTTGAAACCATAATAAATTGGCGTGGGGCCACCCCGATACGTTCTAAGATGATCCCGATATGCAACAGTGACTTTGGAGAAGTGAAAGAACCAAAGGAAGTGGTCTGCAACCACAAGAATGCAAGACGAAATGAATGATGGCGATGAGAGGGAGATAAGCGGCCAGGTTTTTGAGAAGTTTTGCAGATATACAACGTGGCAAATGATGGAGAATGCTGTCAGCATGATGGGGAGCGAGTCCGAAACGCATAGTACGACATGCAGACATATTATGGCCTAAATGAAAGGAGGTTCAACGTCGCAAGAAATTGGCAAGTATGAACTGAATCCTAACGTATATTCCCCGCTGACCGATAGTTTTGGCTAGACGAGAATGTTCCTCGATTAATTCGGATATGTATAGCAAGCCGCTGGCTAGCAAAAGGAACGGTGAGTCTTTACGGAGGTATACTTGCAGTCGGGGACGTACCAAGTGCTAATATAACAAAAGCAAATGAGGCCAAAACAGCCGCATAACTTGCATCTTTCAGTTAACGTTGTTGCAACAAGGCTGTTTGCCTACCTGATATAGTGCAGAAGACCCATGATGCCCGGCTCTTAGCGCTACTAGAAACGAGATATAAACAAGTCCTCCAGAAAATCTCGATAAAACGCACAGTTTGGGCAATAAATCGCTATGAAAATTCGTCCAGCAGTCGTAACGTGGAGTTCATGTCCAAGTTTTCGCGTGGAATGATCTTCGCGACGTGTTAGGCAATCCACGTGGAATTCCTTTTTCGGACTCTACAATCCTTGACTCTTACCTTCGTGATACCCTCCTTTCTAATGAGCAATCTTGAGAGTAAGGACTCTGCATTTTGTTCGGTTCTCTTATTGAATTTTTTATAGAGACTCTATTCCAGCTCAAGGTTGTTGGCCACCTTTTTCCTTCATACAAGCTCATTAATGAATCCTCACAGTTCACAGCCAAGACCCTGAATCGCCAGGCTAAGAAGGCACAGAAGGACGAGAATACTGAAAAGTCTCGCCTGAAAAAAGTTCGTTCCGCTCTTTGGTCATCTATTCGTTAAATATCAATATCATCTCCCACAGGCCCTTCAACAAGGAAACAACGATGGCGCCCGGATATATGCATCCAATGCTATTCGCAAGAAGAGCGAATCTCTTAATCTTTTACGGCTGTCGAGCCGCATAGATGCAGTTGCCAGTCGCGTAGAGACTGCCGTAACGATGCGACAAGTGACTGGAAATATGACCTCTGTGGTGAAGGGCATGGACAGGGCTATGGAGAGTATGAATCTTGAAAGGGTGCGTCACTATGTTATCGATTCCATTTTATTTATTCAATGTGATTCTCTGCAGATTTCTCTTGTGATGGACAAGTTTGAGTCGCAATTCTCGGACCTTGATGTGCAAACGTCGTACATGGAAGACACCATGGCTGCCACCAGTGCAGTGTCTACGCCACAAGATCAAATCGATCAGCTGCTGCGCCAGACTGCAGAGGAGGCCAACATAGAGCTACAACATGATCTTGCCTCAAAGGATCTTGCCGCAGTGCCAGATCTATCGCCTCGAGAAAAGATTAGAGAAGAGGATGATAAGCTAGCAGAGAGGCTGAGGGCACTGAGGCCTGCTACGTAGTCTGACAATTCAGTTGACATGTTGTAGGATATAGCGGGGTGGACGCTTCTAAGTGTACGGTCGTGTACCACGTTTGTATGTATGAAATCCATTAATTATGAACCAGGAGTCATAAGACGGCCGTACTTAAGAACATAAACGTGCAGTAATCAATAACATGCATCTGAAAGCATTGCAGAATGACGAGCGTAAGACAAATATGTAACCCGAAATCATTAAGGATAGGCATGGAGAAGAGATAGTACATGAATAGATGCAAGAATACACGTAAATGATTCTAAATGTGGCGTAGTGAATTGAAATGGAGAATAAGATATGTCGTAAAATATGTACAGAACGAAAAAGAGTATGACACGCACAGCAATGAGGAGGGCATGTTGTTTTCAGAAGGGACTACAGATTCCGCGTGGCTCAAGCATTTTGTAGGATTACCCGGACAAGGTTGTCCAACAGATGTTTCTTCCCGTCGTCGCCGAGATTTCGCGAGTTGTCCAACAACTGCCCGGCGCGCGCGATGATACCCGTAGGACCGTCAAAGGGAATATCATGAGCGTCGAAGCGATGGACATCTACGTGGTAGCGTCAACTCTAACCCACAGCGACTATGAAATTTGACTCACATTGCTTAAACGTAGCATATTGTTCAATGCCCAGTGCGTTCTTGAACATCTCTGCAATCTCCTTGCCTACTTTCGATCGCTCTTCGGCAAATTTGGCAGCTGCAGACTTCAACCCATTCCGTGAAGAGGTGCTGCGACTTAACGCAAAGGTACTGGAAGGTATGAGTGCCTCTTCCCTCACTTTTGTTGGGGCCCATGCCAAGCCCAGTCCCAGATCCAGTGACCTCCCTTTTGTGGCAGAACGATACCCGACGGTTGTACTTGGTGTGGGCTCGGATTTGATATCAACGTGGGCAGTCCGCCACGATTGCTTGATCGCTGTCAATTCATGGTCCCCTTGCCTGCGTCTTTCCACCACCTCCCGTTCCCGTTCCTCTGCCTCCCGATCACCCATCCCGCTTCCTCTTGTACTTTCACTCATATTGCTAACTGTAGGAGAAGGAACAGGAGGTTCGAAGGAGAATGGCCCATGAGGTATACTGACGAGTCGTGCGACACCAGACCCAAGCATCCGCTTCCCAGCGTTCCTACCTAAACTTGACGATAGACCATTGGTTCCGGTTGTCGATTTGCTATGATTGGTCGAAGAGGATGCACCCGTGTAATCGGGTTCTAACGGCGCAATGGGAGGTGTAGCACGGTGCGATCGTCGTCGCTTTGGCGGCTGTAGCGGGATATCTTTCTGTGCTACACCGGATCTCGACGACCCGAGCCCCGAAGGCTCACCACTGCGGCTTGCATTGCTTAAACTGTCGCCGCTTCTGTTGTAACTGTACGCGCCGGTCATATTGGTACTCACAGAATTACCACTGGCGGTCCTCGAGATCATCCCAGGCCGCTCAAAATCAAAAGAACCATGTCTTGTCGATCGGACCATGGAGCCCTTCGCATTCTTCACGCCAGAGCGATGCCCGGGTTTAACACTGTCGTTTCTCTTTTTCCCTTTGTCCGAGACTGGATCCGACTCCGTTCGTTCCTTTTCTTCATCCACAACGGACATAACCCGATAGAGATGAGTCGAGTCTAGTGAATCTTTTCTTTGGCTAAGCCTGGGAGGTGACGTGCCTGGTCGTGAGGGCGTCGCAGGTGTATGAGTTATTCTCGGTATCGTAACGTCGTTGTCACTGGTTAAAGTTGTCGCACGCCGAGGTTGAGGTGCCACAGGTTGTGTCGCCCGCTGCACGGGCGTTGCAGGTGTTGTTGGCGAAGGTTGAGCGTCAATTTGAGTCTGCGTTCTTCGGTGCTTGATCGGAAAAGAGACGACAGGCGGAGGCGGTGAAGAGGGACAAGGGCGGTCATCAAAAGTAGACGGGGTTGGTGACGTTACGAGAGGGTTACGAACTAGTACCAAGTCAGTGAGTGAAACCCACACGTCTGTCTCAGAATGTTGACAAGTACCTGAAAATAGCTTGGGTGCCTTGAAAAAGGTATCCCTCTTGCATGACGCAGTGGTGGACGTTGACGATTCTAAAGGGTCGACGGGTGTACGGTTCACATTGGAATCCCCAGGGCGCATGTGAAGAGAAAGGGGAGCTCCAGGCATGTGAGGGGGTATTGGATCATGGCTATTGGCATGTATATAGTAATTTGGAGCCTCGGGCTGAAGAGGAAGCGGGGGTGCGTCGGCAGAACTCTGCAGATCAGGTGTGGTGGGACGTGTGCTACTTATGGATGATTTCCGCGAACCGGAACGGCGAGCGCCACTGAGAGGAATTCCAAAAAGGCTATGAAGCTTTTTACGTGTAGATAGCTTGGGAGTGCCAGGTCTCGATCCAGCGGCATTGGATGGATTTTCATTCTCTTGAGCTAAAATATTGGGCTTGGGGATGGGAACGGCTGCCCTCCTCTTGGCCTTGGGCGTCGGAGGCTTGATAGTAGTATTAGTAGCAGTTGTTGTGGAAGAAAGAGGTCGAGATGGGTGTAGGGCGGATGATTTAGAGCTGGGTGTGTGGCACCTTTGTTCCAATTGTGCCCGACTAGACACGCTGGATTGTTGGGAATGCGTCGAAAGATCAGCCACATAATCTTGGGAAAGGTCGGGAAGGACGGGCTCTATATCCACAGACGCCTCAGCTTTCGTCCGAGAACGCGAACGTGAACGGGTGATGAAGTTGTAGAACTGGCTGGGTGTTGGTTAGGTCAACAGTGCGACAGATTCCATACTCACCCTGTTCCCCGACTTCGACTTTCTCGATGGCCGTTCATTGTCTTGTGAGGCATACATGTCTTTGGATGTAGGCCGCTGGGTGGAAGGATGCGAGTCGGCATAATCCGACAAACGGACCTTAGTGGCTTGATTAGACTGTTCGAGTAATTATATGTGAATCAAAGGAGTATAGCGGACGAAGAAAGGCCTACCTGGAATATGGCACTATATCGACGGGAGGTGCTGTGAGAGCGTAGCAATGAAGAAAACTACGAGCAACACGTGTTAGGCACACTCGCTATATTGGTAGCAGGATCAATGAAGTACTGACTTCTGTCGGTATCTTGTCTAGGAGACTGAGGCTCCGCCTGGTACGCCTCTGGTGCGTTGACGAGGTCGTGGCCGTCGATAGAGTCAAGACCGAGTCTAGACGGGGGCTGACATCGGCAGTGGAAGGCACATTTGTTGATGGTGCGAAGGACGAGACACTGGGCGCGTATTCCAGGCTTTGGCGACCAGCCATCGTCTGCCAGTGTCCCGTACGACGAGGAAAGCACTCAAGTGGTCGAACCAGTTGACGTTGAGGAGCTGTCCAGCAATAATATAGCTTGAATTGGTATATAATTACGTCTTTGACAAATAAAAATTATCCAAATTTCAAAAACGGAAAATTTGAAAATATAAATTATTCTGCAAATCTGGACGCCCACGTGACTGCGCACGCCATCCTTCCCTCATGCCGATCTTATACATCTACGACGGTTAGAACACAATGACGCCAATTCTCTCTTGCCATGTCTTTCGCTAGGGTAGTTGCTCCCCGGATCGCCCATATATCCAGCAAAAATCGCATCACTCGTCGCATATCGACAGCACGCCCTCATTTTCCGTGTGTTGAAGCTCACGCCCTTCGGGAGTCTCAGATTCGTCGACAAATTTCCGGGACATCGGTAGTTACCCAGGAGGAAGAGCAAGAAACCGGCCCAGAGCCGCCGTACGCTCGTCCCAATCCAAAGTCTTATAACGTCTATCATCATTTGACTTCTCTGCCACTGGCATATGGCGCATCTCTTCCCGAGTTCGACATTGCGTATGAAACATGGGGCACACTATCTCCGGCAAGGGATAATGTTATTTTGTTGCATACGGGACTCTCCGCATCCTCGCATGCTGCATCAACCTCGCTGAACCCTGCAGAAGGCTGGTGGGAAAAATTTATAGGTCCCGGAAAAGCCTTGGATACTAATCAGTTCTACATAATATGTACGAATGTATTGGGCGGATGTTACGGCTCAACAGGACCATCATCTATGGATCCTTCGACAGGACAGCATTATGCGACAAATTTTCCCATTCTATCGGTATTCGACATGGTGCGAGCGCAGTTTTATCTTCTCGATCACCTAGGCATCGACCGGCTGTATGCTAGCGTGGGCTGTTCCATGGGTGCCATGCAGAGCTTGGCTGCGGGATGGCTACACCCCGAGCGGGTGGGAAAAGTTGTTAGCATTAGTGGTACTGCCCGAAGTTCGCCTTCCGCCGTTGCAATGAGGTATGCCCAACGGAGTGGTACGCAGACCCCCCCCAGACAGGTAGATACCATCGCTAACGTTGAACAGTCCTCATGGCAGATCCAAACTGGAACAATGGTTTTTACTACGATGGCCTTCCCCCGCACACTGGCATGAAGTTGGCGCGGCGTATGTCAACTTGAGAACAATACTATGACGCGGACTTAGTTTTTCCTAGAAATTGCTACAATAACGTACCGCTCAGGTCCAGAATGGGACCTCCGGTTTGGGCGCCAACTTCGTCCTATTTCTGAGTTCCTGGTTTCAGAGGAGAAGCCGCGCGCACCTGCCCTATGTCCAGATTTCCTCATCGAAACTTACCTTGATCATCAGGTATGGCTCTATATTATCTGTAACCAATGTTAACGCCTGCATAGGGTGAACAATTTTGCCTGAAATATGATGCCAACTCTCTCATTTACATCTCCAAAGCGATGGATCTTTTTGACATGACAAGCGAAGTACTTGCCGATCTTCGGTTGGAGCCTATTTACAAAGAAAATGGCACCTTGTCACCGCATCAGCCGCACAAAACATCGCACTCAAAATCGCACCCACCTCCTTCGAATCCGCCCCGGTATCTGCCTTCGCTTGCAAAAGGGATGAAACCATTAGCCAAAATTCCAGTGATGGTACTAGGTGTTCAAAGTGATATTCTTTTCACAATTGAGCAGCAGAGGGAAGTTGTCGATGCTTTGCGCATGGCTGGAAACGATCAGGTCGTGTATTATGAATTGGGCGGCGTTTGGGGACATGACACATTCTTGTAAGTCCAGACTGATCTTTGGCTGGATGTAGCTCAACGTGTCCTTCAGGTTGGACGTTTTGAACGTTGGGGGGGCGATCCGAGGCTTTCTATCATAACAGTGAAGGCGTACATTCATATCTAGCTGTAGCGAGCTCGGAGACGACATTCTCGGACCTCAATTTTGGACCTCTTGGTATTAGACAAAATGTATTGTGACTACCCCTTGGAACGCCGCCAAATAGAGGCGAGAAGCTCAGTGCAGAAATGTACAAGTTAACCACCGATATGTTCGTTTATCACTGGCCTGGTGTACAATAACTCTATAATAATGTTAAACCTGGTGAACCAATCTTTCAAGCTTCTGAGTCGTCTCAGTAGTCTCTAAGACTAAGTGCCTTTCAAATATTTTCTGCTGCAGTTTCCAGAGGGACATGTTAACTACTGGATTCATATGATAGCTTCTAATGCGCCCCATCCATTTTTTCCATGCGCTATCAAGCAGTATTCGAATGCACGAGAAATTAGCAACTTTTTCACGTCATGTAAAGCCTTGCAACCGACCTATAGTTTGTCCCCTAGGGCCCTAGTACTGACCGTTCTAAGTTTTGGTCAAAAATTTTACTACAAGGAATTTGAGATAACGGGGGCAAATCTCAAGTATACAATTTTTTTGTATGTAAGTCGACATACAGAACAGCAGCGATCTGTTGTGGATGGCGGAATCACATGCGTCTGTGGGGTCCGGACCGGAGTAGCCGACGACTTCCCCCCCCCCACGATGGCCAACGACGACACCCCCGACAATGTACCACAGACTCCTGCACCAGCACCACCAGCAGAACCATCTCCAGATGTTCCGAACAGTACTACGGCCCCATCTTCTGTTCAGATTCCTCCCGCGACAGACACGACGCCTGCGATGAGCAGTGTTGATGAGAGGGCACAGCTCGTCTCGAGAGCACGTTCATTCTTGAGATCTCCTTCCACACAACAACAAGACATATTTTCCAAACGAAAATTTCTCCTTGACAAGGGTCTCAATGAGGTTGAGATAGAAGGCTTGTTACGGGAATTGGTACGTCTCTTGAGGCCTCGCAGAAAGCATCTTGGGACTTATCGTTTACCGGCAGCCACCCCAACTTCCCGTAGTACCACCACGGGCGTACCCGCAGCCACCACCATCTAATCTCCCCAATCTCCTTCTTGGAATATTCAGAATATTTTCTTGGCTATTAGGTGGTTCTGCAGCGCTTGTTCTTATATATTACGTGGGTCAGATATGCCAAAGCTGGGTTTTTGTTTTCTAAATGTCCTTTAGCGCTTTCTCCTGCCACGAATCACGCGTACCACAACCGCTCGCCACTCCCTTCGGGACCATCATAGCACCCTCTTTCGGAATCTTACTGCTTCGCTCGCCTCTCTTAAAGAATCTCAAGCTGAAAATCTGACGCTCCTTCCGAAGCCCTACAAGTTCAGAGAGCCCTCTGGGTTTTCAGACTGTCGCTCTCTGAAGGATATACTTCGCGAATGCGAGGAAAAGAAGTTCGAACCTTTCGAAATTCCGCCTCTGACACTACTGCGATGCGGTATTCAGGAATTTGGTGTTGGTAAGGAGGAGGCTGAGGCCAATCCCACAACAGAGGATCTCTTCAGGCTCATGGAGAGTCACATTCCCTGGCTTCTTAGTGATGAAGGCGTCCAGTATGAGGTGCGATTGTTTTCTCTCAACGATTATAGACTGTAATTTATATCTTATATAGCATAAGCTCTGGGAAACTCTGACCACTTTGACAGTATTCAGGTCACTGCCTGAAGATACTCACCCGTCAGATAATGTGCGTTGGACATTTGATCCTCCGACTCCGCCTGTTCCATCACCGCTTCTTAATTCCTTAAATGAGCTCTCTGCTGCTCTTCCACGAGACTCGAAAACCAAGACCACTGCGTTGCAACATACTCTTCAGTCTCTGTCTGACTTGACTGGGTATATCAGTGCTCAAGTATACGTTCCTTTCCGTCCTTATTCGGCTAGTGGGCAGTCGAATAATAACAATACTTCACCAACGCCTGCTGATGAACTGAAACGTGAAATAAGGGCATTGAAAGGCCTGGTTTTGAATAGGTGCGTTTCCTCTGTAACCTTCCAGACCTCGCTGACCAGTTTGTGCAGGCGTTCCTTTATGCCGATGATACCAAGAGCCGGCAGTTCTTCAACGCTGTCACAATCTGTTTCGTAGAAACCTTTATATAAAACGCTCATAGCATGCGGTGACATATGTAATGCCCAAAGCCACACCCGAACAGTGCCTCGGCTGCGCACAGTTGAGGAAGGAAGTTGAGAGTCAGACGTTTGAGAAATTAGAGCCGGAAATATAACATAATTGCAACTGACTGATCCTGAACCTGAACGCGAAATCTCACGTTCATCCAAGCATTCAATGTTCATCTTCAACAATTTTCTCCGGCTTATGAGTGGCCACTTTGCGTATTTATATCAAATCCTTGGTATGTTCGGATGATAGTTGGTGCCTATTATTTCTCCTGTGCGCTGACACTGCTCTCTGGAATGGGCTGTAATGAAGATATCCTAAGCGGTAATTCTTTCTCTGCTAGACCAGCGTGACTTAAAAAACGTCTCGCTTGTCTGTCATAACATCTGGTCCATAGTGGCATATGAATTTGCCCTACATCTATGTCGAGTTCAACTTTTCTATCATAATGAGATAGTTCCATCGATGCTGATAGCTATCCTTAGTACCACAGATGTGTTTTTCTTCATTTCAGTTCTTTCTAGCAGTCGACCGTCTGCCACTACACTAACCAGTCATATGGCCGTGATCGGCATGGGGTGTACAACATCCGAAAAAAATCTTTTCACATATCGGCCGTATTCATGCCCGTACCGTACCGTCAAGGCTCTTAGAGCCAGGTTGGCGGTACGATATACAGACCGACCGTCGCCCATCACTGTACCGTGGCTATACGACCGTATACTGTATACGGTACGGTGCGAAGCCCTAGGACTCCGTGATAAGGCAAGGTGAGAGGATGGGGGTTCTCGGACCCATCTCCAATAGCTCATTATTCACTTAAATCTCCCGCCGCACATCCCTCCTGTGATGACATATCACGACATTACCGGGTACTCAACCTGTGTGCCTCTATTACGGTCATAGGTCATTTTCGGCTGCTATGTTTTCAGCTTTACTACAATCATTGGAGCACCTTGCCGCAGCCGTAGAGTTCTTCACACGGAATGCAGTTCAGCAATTCCTCCGTGACTGTCGAAATGCGTGATGCAGGAAGTCATCAGGACTAACGCGAACAATAGCCGACATCGCATTCGTTCTACGATGAAGAGTAAAAATAGCTATAATATAATCAAGTTGTGATTTAAGCATGCGGGCGTGATTCATCATTATTTAATCATGTTTCCCCTTGCCGACACTGTTCTCGACCGTCGCTTCTGCTGCGAGACCCTCAGCCTCCACCTGAGCCATTACTTTGCGCTCATATGCCAACCGCTCCTCTTTGGTGGCGTTCTTGTTCGCATACTTGGCAGCACGCAGACGGGCTTTCACCTTAATGTAGTTGGTGTCGGTACCAAAAATCCTGTCCCACCAGCGGAACGAGGAAGAGAAGTTGTTTGTGAAGGTCATATGATGGAAATCGTGGTGCTCGGCTCCCGCCCAGAATGGCAGGATGTGCTGGAGAGACCAAGGGAAGTCTGAAGGTGGCATGAGGTTGTAACAAGTACAAGGAGCTGTAAGCGCAACGCACCATAACCGCTGTGAGAATCTACAGCTTGGAAGAGGCGAAGGGTGATCCAGATGTACATCGTCATGATGTGGAAATCACGAGTATAAGCGCAATAGAGAAGGGGGCCAGCAAGCGTCCCCATACCCAAAGCCATAACCTCCGCGGGGTGCGCGTACTCTGCGGCAAGACCGAAGGGCGCAGCATAACGGTGATGTATCTTATGGATATACTTGTAAAAGACACCCTGGTGGAAGAGGGTGTGCGCTACAACCTATCAGACACGATAAACGAGAATACGAGAGGAATCGTACCACCAAAGTGCCAGAAATCTTCAAAGAAGAAGAAGAATAGAATTTGAGGCACCATTGTCTTCGGGGGAGGGAAAGGGACTTGATAGGTGGACATTCCAATCGACTCAGCCAAAGGATGGAATAACCAGATCTGGGGAAGCTCGATGGTGAAGTGAGAGAAGAGAACCAGCTTTGTGCATTCCCACTGATCCTGAACCGAAGGTATCTTTGTAGGCTGCAGCTTCCACTGACGGAAGTAGGGTATGGCGTCAATGATTATCCATGGTATGCAGCGTCCAAAGTAGACGATCTACAGATATTTACAGTCAAGAACAAAATAAATTTCTAACTCAGACGAACCTCATGCATCAAAAAGCTCATTAAGCCTGTCGCGATGACTGGATTGCCAATCCAGATGTACCACGCGATCCATTGCTGTTCAACCCAATTTAATGACTGGAGGTCTGTACCGGCGTAGAGGGACTCGGCAGCCACTGTAGCATTGAAAGACATGACAGAGCGGGTGAAAAGGGCTTCTTCGTCTTGGTCCCTTTATACAGTTGGAAACCGTACCACTTTAAATTTTACACCAATGGCGTGAGGTCATGTTGATACATATTCTACCGACGTATAACGGTCTCGAACGGCCTAGTCTGGACAAATATTGTGACTGCATGTGAGAGTCAGCCGTCAACGCTAGCGCTCAAAGTTAAACAGTGAACTCTCGTTCATTTCCTCTGGCTAAGAAGATTCTCGTGATGTACATGTATTGCGACCTGGAAACGAGGACCGTGACTGTGTTCATCGGAACTGCCATTCGAATGAGACAGGAATAACAGAAAAGTCACTTTGCGCCCTCGAGCCCCTAGATAGATATCTGCAAAGTATTTGTCCGTTACTAGCATTGACATGTTGACAGTGGTATTGGGGTTGAACGAAGCAAGACCGCATTTGTGGCGTAAGAACTTTGTTCTCCATCTCTATCTCTACCACGTCGTTTCGATTCTGAACCCGCTTGTATGCGCCGCTGTAGGATTGACTACCCGATGACCTCTATTGAAATGTGCCGCGTATTTTTTTAACCGGCTTTTGAGCAACGCATGGCAGGGATCTGCGCTTCAGGGCTATTGTGCCTTTTCTTCTTGCCACCATCTCCTTAATTCCCATTTTTACTTAAAATGACTGCTATACCCAGCCCCGAAGAAGGTCTTGCAGAATGGAGCAAGGGAAAGCACACATACGGACTGAGCACCCGTGCCTTTGGACCCAACAATCGCTCTGTCCTACGCAAAAAGAACGTCCCTCTTTGGAGCTCAATCACGTCGGAAATGTACCTAGGCAAATTGTTCCATTAACGCTAGAGAACATTGTCTAGTAAGTTATTTGATATTTGCCGTCGGTAACGTGATTGATCCTTCATAGCTCTGTCACTATTATGGTACAGACAGACAAGGAAAACAGACTTGGTCTATCTGGCGTATGCAAGCCTTGCTCCGTGTCCTATAAATGCTGACTCTGTGTTCTCCCAGGTTTTTCCAGATGCCAAATGAAGATCTTCTGTGCTCCCCACGTGTCCTGAACGTTTTCTTGAAAACCATAGGTACGCTTGCGACGTTTGAGTGTCGAAACCCAGAATGATAAGCTAAAGATGGCCAGTTCAACTACCAAATAAACATTAGTCCAGGTACTTTTCCCTACTAAGTTTCTACAAGTACGACTAGCTACCTAGACGTCACGGCTCTCCATTATCATGATAGCTTCTACCAGACTTCTGTATAAACTATAAATATGCACCATAAATTTGAGTCCGAGTATGCGTATGACTGAGATACAGGTACCAGTAGCTGGAACCCTTCTCATAAGATATTCCCAGACATTTATATTACCTGCTGGCCCCCGATGTCCAAGCAGGGTTGTAACCGGGAGGAAGAATGTCATACTGAGATTCATGATCTTGTATCAAGACAGGACCTGCGTCGGTTTCCTGTCTAGCAGGTCGATTTCTTCGTTCAGTTGGCTGTGCCGTGGTTGTCCCTTTCGACCCGAACACCGTCATTCCATCTTCTGTGAGATGGTACGTCAGCCGACTTGTGGAAGGGAGTTGGTTGAGTGAAGGTGAACGGGCTGCATTGGTAAACACGGAAGATCCGGTACCAGTGGTCGTATTATTTTTTGGATGGTATCCAATTGTTGTGTTCGACGCCGGCGGCATCACGAAGGGTTCAACATATCCTGAGAGCAATGGCTGAAATTCTGCGTTAAGGTTAGATCTCGCTCAAACCACAACAAAGGATCTTACATTGAGGATTTTGATACTGGGGGGATTCGGCAGGATCGCGCAAATCAGTCAAACACGTCGCATTATATCGGGCTTTATTCCCCCTCCAGTGAAATATCATGTACTTGTTTACACGGGAGGAGGAGAGCACCATACCTTTGCCGACAACATAGGAATAGGAAGTAACATGCTGCCACAACAACAGCAATTACACCCACCTTTTAAAATAGTCAGCAGGCATCCAAGCATTTTTTGAATGAATTTGCATACTGTGACGCCAATGACAGCTCCGGTCGATAGTGTATGGTCAGAGGAAGGAGCTGAAGAACCCGAGGATCCGGTTACTGACGCCGCAGAACTCAATGAAGAACTCGTCCTAGTACGCGAAATTGGTACTTCACAGTCCCGACGAAGGGATAGACTCACGATACCGGTACTCCATCCTTTAAGAGCACCTACGCGGAAGTTAGAGCCGGGAAAGGTCTTCTATGTTAGAATAGACACACCTGATGAATATCCATATATTTACCATCTGCCAGGTTCTCGAAGGTGACTTGATACGTTTTGTCTCGATCGAGGTTTGTCTCCCAGTACGTTAAGGCGTCATAAGCGAACCACTTTGAAGTTGAATTGAAAGTTCGCGTAGATGTCGACACCCCGGCTGCGGGGCTTAGCGTAACGCTGTAAGCACCGTGGTCATAATTCGTCGAACCATAAACAAAGACAGCAGAGCTACGCAGATAAGGAAAATCATGGAAGAGAACAGCGAAAGATCTACTCACGCGCTACTGAAAGAAAATAAAATTTTTGATCCCTTGCCTGTCGTGTCTATTCGTGAATACCCTTGTGCATCGTGGTTGGTGTTAAATGGTCCATTGCCATTAGTTGTAAAGAACGAGTCCAATGACGTCGAGCCATCACTAGCCACATCAATTGCAAGATGTTTCGTGTCCGTTATTGTAGCACTATGTTCCAGAGGATGGTTTAAACCATGGATCTGCTCGGCACTGGCAAGAGACATACGCACCCCTCATCACCAACGCCTACGGTCATTAACGCTGACGTTACATTCAACTGCAATGTGGAAGTCGTATTCAAAACCAGCGTGTGGGCTTCATAGTCCAAGCCGTCGTGACTAACGAGGTAGCCATTGGCTGGGTTGCCATCAACGGCATCACCGCCATCAAGTGTCGTGGAGTAGCTGCCAGCAGTACCCGAACCAGAGAGGTAAATCGCGGTGCCCACGAAAGATATTTGGAGGCTCGCGCCCTGCAGAGTTGTACTGTGAAGGGACGTGCCGGAAGCCAGGTTATCTGAGTTGTGCGTGGAATCATAAGAGCTGTCTGGACTATTTGAATAGAAGACTTTCCAAGATGAGTTGAGGTCCCCTTCGCGATACGGAGAGTAAATGAAAGTGGGGGACTGATCCAAAACGGTGAGATTATAGAGATTGGGCGCCATAGAGAAAACTCCAAGCCCAGGGTATGTATGGACCGATAGAAATCAAGACAAGAGTCGCATGGGCGGTTATGTCCCTGGGTTACATTGAGATGACCAGCGTTAGTTATCAAATAGGATTTCATAAGTGTTACAGCCTCCCGATATATTCCTTCATCCAGATCAGCAACACATACTGACTAGCCGACTGAGACTGATATGAAGATGGAAGCCAGAAGGAATTCCAGGAGAAACGAATGTACTTTAGGAATTGATATTGTTCTTCACATGAGTAATTGAATTGCACGAGGCGATTGCCAAGTCGGAAAGAAATTTGCCTGCACTAGTTCACCACCGAAAACGTGGTGCTGAAACCTTTTGTGCCTTTTGTCGTCGGCTGTTACGGTTAGCGTACATAGCAACATGTCAGGGTTGTGAATCAGAACATATCGGTATTGGGGTCATCTCTGCCGCACTTCAGTTTACGGCTTTCGGTAGGCAGTGTAACAATATGTATTGCTGAACGTTGGCCAAACCGTGTCCCGAAGAGGCAGCAAATTTGAAATTGACGCGAAATCGCGTGGGCATTATTTGCACTGCAAGCTTTTGACAAGCTCCCCGCCCAAATTGGTGTTGCCACAACTCAGTCACTGCGTCGACGTTCTTGATGCCATGTATCTCTACCTCGCAAGCAACCCCAGGGCGTTGTATCTTGCTACGAGCTCACAAGATGAACAACTAGGTCGTCCCAAGCGCATTCTTGTCTTTCGTGCCGGCGAGAATTACAACCAGACAGTGGTAGAATTCCTTTCCAAGGACGAAGTAGATCTGTCTAGTGCGGTCAGGTTGACGAATAGGGTTGTGAAGGGATGTCTTGGTCTCATTTCGATAGATAATGGTGTGTTCGGTCCTCCTTCGACATTGTTACCAATATTAATAACCGTATTCCAGACATCTTCCTCGTTCTTGTGACCAGTGCCTCGGAAGTGGGGAATACACGTCCATCTGCACCTTCGTCGGAAGCCGTCGCCCGAATACATGAAGTCGGCTTTTATAGCTTGACATCCTCGGCCTGGGATGATCTCTCTCTCAGTAGAGATCTGCCTAGTCCTGATATTAGTGACTACTCATCGCGCGACAATTATGCTCAGGCCATGCCCTCTTCTCAAGTCTTCGAGCATCCTTGTATGCCATTGACGAAGATATTATCCTCAGGTTCCTTCTACTATACCATAAACTCTCAGTGGGATCTCTCCTCGCGACTTTCTCAGCGACTTGCTCGAGATCCAACCCTTTCCCGGGACCCAGGTAGCTTTGATGAACGATTTGTATGGAACGAATATGTTGCGAGGAGTTTGCTGGAATTTAGGGAGCGGTTGGACCCCCAAGAACGCGAAGACTTGGATCGTTGCCATTTCATTGTGAGTAAGAGAATCTTTCTTAAGAATCTGCTCTATACCGTATACAGATTCTAGCGATCCAAGGATACGTAGGTATCTCATCCATGGCTCTCCCGATGCCCCCAACCGATGGCAAACCGACCATTGCAACTCTATCGTTGATATCCCGACTCGGTTCCAAACGAGCAGGCACCCGTTTTAACACGCGTGGAGTCGATGATGACGGCAATTGTGCGAATTTTGTCGAGGTTTGCTTTTCTCTTGATTTCTGCATTGCTCCTCTAAGCTCCCACCAGACTGAAATCCTGTTTACTACTGATCAGCACACTGTTAGTTATGTACAAGTTCGCGGAAGCGTTCCATGTGTGTACTTCATCTTTTTAACAGAGCATTTTCCCTCAATGTATGTGTCCAATTTTACAGTATTTTGGGAACAGCAAGGTCTTCAAACGTTTGGTCAACGAATTCAGATTACTCGTCCACATGCCTCGCAACCAGCCTTTGAAAGGCATTTTTCTCATCTGACGGAGGAGTATGGCGGCGTCCATGTTATCAATTTACTAGGAACAAAGGAAAATGAAGCAATTCTGACTAGTGCATACGGTCGCCATTTGCGTATAGCTCGTGGAGTGTTTGGTGAATCTCTAGGCATAACGCATTTTGATTTCCACAACGCGGTCAGGATTGGCGGACACGACAGCGTCGTCAGAGAATTAAGGTGCTGTCTTCATCTGTTGCAATCAAATAGGCTTACCTCTTGTGGTTTAGACGAACGGAACCTATCACCGATCATGTTGATCAATATGGATTTACTATGTGTGACACGAACACCGACGAAGTAGTGACGCAGCAAAAGGGTGTATTCAGAAGTAACTGTCTGGACTGGTAAGAGAACCATCAATGCTCTCGTCTCGTCTCATGTGACTTGTAGCCTTGACCGGACTAATTTTGTCCAAGATATCCTGTCTCGATTGACTTTAGAGCAGTACATATTGCTGGTCCGAAGAGAGTGGATCCACTCTCATCCCCTCTGGTCCGTCCATCGAGAACTCTGGGCAGAAAATGGTGACGCTTTATCGAGAATCTACGCTGGTACTGGTGCCTTGAATACAAGTTTCACCCGTAGCGGAAAGCGCACATTGGCAGGTGAGTGACAGGTGCGATACACATGCATTGGTTAACTCTCTAGTAGGTGTACTTTCTGACGCAACTAAGAGCGTTTCGCGTGCATACATCAATAATTTCCAGGATAAGGCCAAACAGACCGCTATTGACATGTTCTTGGTATGTACCAAGTATCCCATCTTGTATGGTTTTTGACGTCTTCTAGGGGAACATGAATTCCCAGAAGATGGTGACTATATTTGATCCTGTTCATGATTCGGTGCGGCAAGCATTAGAACAACGGTATGTGCATGGTTCGGACTTTACTTTCATTGTCTTCATGTGAAGGGCGTAGTCTAGGAGAATACTCCACGACGAAGAAATGCACTATCTTCACTGGTACCTGGAACTTGAATGGCCGCGTGAGTCCCCTTTCCTTCGCTTGACGCTGCAGCTTACCGTAATTATCTCACAGCCGCCTTCTGAGTCTCTAATACCGTGGCTGTTTCCTCGTGAGAGTGAGCATCACGTCGAATATTGACTTCACTATTTATTATGTTGACTTTTTTTTTCACAGGTGCCGGGGAGTGTGTGCTTCCTATAAGTGCACTTGACGATTTCCTAACGCAGGGTGAAGACCCGACATGTTTATTCTAGGATTTCAGGAAATAGTCCCTTTAACTGCACAGCAAATCGTACAGACAGATCCAGAGAAACGGTGAGGCAATATATCGTGGACGCCGTTAGATCTAACACCAACTCAGGCGGATATGGGAGGCTCGAATACTGGATACTCTAGAGCGTCGTCCTCACAAGAAGTCCTCTTACGTTCTTTTGAGGAGTGAACAGGTTAGTTCTTATATCAGTCTATGTATTCAAAATTTGACCACGACAAAGCTGGTCGGTACGGCTTTGTTCGTTCTTGTGAAGGCTGAATTGGCGCCAGTGATTCGGAATGTTGAAGCTACGTCACGGAAGGTGTGTTTCTTGCCGGCCTATAGAGCACAACTTCATTTTGATATTAGACCGGTTTGAGAGGGATGTCGGGCAATAAAGGTGCTGTAGGGATACGCCTACAATACCATGATACCAATTTCTGTTTCCTTACGGCCCATCTTGCCGCTGGTCATTCTAACGTTGATGAACGGAATGCCGACTACAGAACCATTGTCAACGACTTACATTTCCTGAAAGGAAAGACCATATCAAGCCATGAGTACGTGTCTGGCTGGCATTCCCCACTACTTTGTTGATCGTTCTTTGCAGGAATATTATATGGCTTGCAGATACAAACTACCGAATAGATTTGGATAATGAAATCGTTCGGACTTTAGCACAGTCTGATGACTTTGATAGCCTGGTGTCAGCCGATCAAGTAAGAGTCCTACTTTTATACGTTTCCTCACTAATTGTTACATTGCCTCCGTAGCTCAAACAAGTCATGGATGCGGGACTAGCATTCACTGGATACGAGGAGGGTCCACTATTGTTCAGACCGACGTACCGGTACGACGTTGGTACTGATAACTATGATACCAGTGAAAAAGCCCGTGTACCCGCTTGGACCGGTATGATTTCCTTCTTTCTAACATTTGCTTGTATCCTAACCATGTACATAGACCGTATTCTTTACCGTGGAAATCAACTCGATCTCTCTGTTTACTCCCGAGCAGATTTGAGAGGATCGGATCATAGACCTGGTACGTGCATGCATGTATCTTCCATTGTGACCCCTTCCCTTATGATGCTATTCTAGTTTTTGCAATCTTCAGAGCAAATATTCGCATAATAGATACAGCCAAACGCACAGCCCTGCAAAAGGTCCTTCTGGATAGCGTTATTTCCACGGCGCCGGGTGAAAAGTTGGACGAGAAGCTGGCTTCGCTCGTTGTGTCATTGGATCATCAAGATCGTAAGCTCCTCGGTCCTTTCAAGACTTCTATTAACCCGACGTGTGCAGTTCCCTTACCTAGTACCGATGAGAAGGCATGGTGGGATACTCCGGGTGAGCCTCTTCATTTCGATGTCCTCAGTATTCCTGACGTGTGCATCAAGACCTTCCCCAGGGTATGGTGCCAATTTCCGAGTTCAATGACACTCCTAGTCGGCATAGTGCCAGAAGAAATCCATTCGATGAGGAGTCGCCTTCGTCTTCTTCCCCCTCATCATCCGATGAAGAGCTGTTCACGCACGCACTCACTCTCCAAACTCCCTTGGAACCTGCGCCCGCACCGAGAAAGCCACCGCCACCTCCCCCACCATTGCGCATAAAGAGATCAAATGGGTCCGTCTCATAATCACATCCTTGCCTCTCAATCATCATGAACAGTTCCGGACATACTGAACAAACCCAACTAATTACAGTATTAAAATATACCATACAAAAATTCATAATTTTAGATCAGGCCTTGTTTCTTGAGGTCCTCGTACGTCTTTCTGTTATAGACATTGCCTTCCTCGTCCTCCAGCTCTTCCATCGTTTCCTGCTCAAAAATTTCATGGCGTCCCTCTTGCTTCAGTTTTTCAGCAACTGTAATATTATTCAGTGAATCAAAAGGAAAAGCGCAAAGATATAAACTGACGAGACAGAGCATCCTCTATCCTTGTAATCTCATGGAAATGTTTCGTGTTGGGAAGTCCCAAAGCACGCATACCAAAGGCATGTCGGGATTCCTAGCATTCTGTCAGCCCCTTCTATCATTAAAAGGGAGCTGTGCTTACCTGGAAATGACGGTCAAAGTTTTTCCTAGTATCGTGTCATCAGCATGGTCACATAATGATTCAGAAACGACGTGTAACATACCTTCCCATATAAACATGGTCAGAACATATCTCGCATCGGTATTCAACCCCCAGACCATGAAGCTTGTACAACCAATATGGAATGGGTTTTCCATCCCAGCCAAGTGGCAGTTTCAACGGATTATAAATCCGCTCTTCCTCCTCCTCCTCCTGCTGTTCATTTTCGCCCGCAGCTGTTGGTACAGGCGCTGGTGGCTTGGCTTGATCCAGAAGCTCTTGCTCACGTTCACGAGCCGTTAGCGAGAACCGACGCTCAACATTAGACTTGGTGTCGTTCAGTAAGGGAATAAGTGTGACAAGAAGTGCTGTGGAAAGGTGCGTATATAGAGCAGAGTTCCGAAGACGAGACTTTGCAGAAGAATTGGAAGTGTGAGCTGTCTTAGTTTGGGATGGGGTGTGGGTTCCGTTTGGGTTTGCGGGTGCTTCACCAGTTTCGACCTGCCTTGCAGAGGCTTTGATGTGTTTTTTTGAAGTAAGATGAGCATCGTATACAGTCTGCTTGCTGTAATGCTTTTGGCCTTGAAAGGAACTTGGCGTGAATGGCATTTCGTAATAAGGAGTGACACGTACAAGCACTACACCAAATTCCACCAGATTCGCCATTTGCCTGTGACTTTGAGCTGGGCTCTTCCCAAGCCTTCAACTCCCCTGCGTCCCAAAGTTTGGTGAACTCTGTCTCTGCTTCTTGTTGCTGAACATTGATATCAACCAAAGGCTGTGTGCGCCTTGCAAAAGACAAGAGGTATGTGTAAAGATTGGTTATATAGCTGAGAGAAGGATTAATGCAAAGAGAAATACGAAGTGAGATACGAGGATATACTTTTCATAGTCCTTTGTAAAACGTGCCTCCTTCGACAACTCTTGGTGAATAAGACCGCTTTGGGCCGTCATCAGCAAGTCTAGATACTGGAGGTATCCTGGTCGCTTGCCAACATTCTTGATATTGCAGTATGCAGTATGGTTGACATACAAATCGAGATATTTCCCATATGCCTCTTCCCCAGAGAATAACAGGGAAACGGCTGCATGAAGACGCGTTCATCATTCGCGTCGGAAGAAAGAGAGAGTCACGTACGGTCTTCCTCCTCGTAATCATCGTCCCCGTCTTGATTTGGCTCTTCCAACAGCGTCGCCAGTTCAAGACCGAACCCCCCTGGGACAGAATCAGGATACTTGCTGTGGTGCTCTTGTATTTTAACCAACCGCGCATAGAACTCTGACAGGTCGTTGGGTTGCGAAGACACTGACAAGACATCTATCTCAGCCTTGCGTGCTGCCTCGTCCACGTATAGGTTGTTCAACGTCGTCGCCCGTGATGAAATGCGTTCTAGCATCTGTGACGCTCTGTGCTCATTTTGCAGCCTAGTTTCCTGGGTAGAATGCGGCCGCGAGAGTATGGTGTACAATGCGCGCTCAAAGCGTTCGATTTCTTCGTGCGTCTGTCGTTGCACTTCGATGATGGAGTCCATGCCTGACCTTGAAAGGACTTGAGGAGGGAGAAGCAAATTAGAACAAATTTCGAACTCCGAAACCCGCTTCGAAGTCCTTCCGCAAGTAGCATCTCTAGGTGAATCCAAACAAAATTCTCTGCATCTCCGGTGCGAACTACTGTTACAATATGATACTACTTACTGTACATATATACCGGAAAATATCCACGTAGTGAACATGGCCGATCGCGACGCTCTCCTTGTGATAGTATGTTTAAGGTGGCGGAGAGTTCAGCTTGTACAGCCTGACATCCGGTAAATCGACTTCGTCAGAGGGTTCTCGCCATTGGATAGACGATTCCACCGCTGAATGATCTCGAATGGGTAGGTGGTATACATGTTGAAGATTCAGGATAAGCCTGGACACAACCAAGACCGTTATTGAAATAGAGACCCCTTGGGGAATTTGCAGCCAAGGAACCTGTAGAACCATATTCAAACCAAAATTAAGCAGGAACGAGAGGTTGATCCTACGTGAAGTATTCCTTTCTTGTACATGTCATGCCTGGTAACGTAAAATGCTGTTGCTGCATTAGCGCTGAAAGCACACTCGATGCTGAGAAGATGTGTTAAAAATCGTCGAGTTATGATAAAAGAGAAAAGTCTCACATGACGAAGTAGGATATGCTATCGCGGAAAAGAACGTCCAAAACTGACTGTCCGGTTAACAGTCCCTTTTCCCGGATGTGTTTGAAGGCAACTGAAAGCGCCAGACCGAAGAGGACGGTTTCAAGAACCATGGGGAAAAGGTAAAATGTCCAATAATAATGTGGGACACCGGTAGTGATACAAGAATGTATACTGGATTGCGATAGAACTACGGCGGCAATGAGTATCCTTCTATATGAATATGAAGAACCAACCTGTAGTTGTCTTAAATGAGAGGCTGAGGACAGTCACCATTGAAATGAGCTCCCCCAAGAGAAGGGCACAGACAAAGACGAGGATTTTCTTCGACCCTTCATGCATCGCTACCACTCGAAGACTCATCACTGCTCCCCCGATACAGATAAGGAGTATGTTGAAGTACCCCTGAAAACGAAAGAAAATATTGCCTGGAAGACCGTCACTAGTGGTACGGATGGTATAAGAAGTTCCTTCTCACATCTAAATAGAAAGCTGACACCAAGAAGTGCTTTGACAACGTAGGACTCACGTCTGAATAAAGTCAGACCACATCTAAGGAGAAGCCAAACAACAACACTCACGATGTTCGATTGATAACTTGTGATGAACACTGCATTTGGATTCAACGAAAGCCCGTTGTATGAGACACAAAGGTACTGACAAATGCCTTCAACACTGTTACCAGCAATTAGGAAACGAAAACATCCGGCGAAAGATAATACGCACATCAACAAAAACACCCCCAAGTAGCGATTCTGCGCGGCTTGCTGTTAGGACAAAAGGGGAATTGAGAGGATTCGTGCTGACCAGGATGAACAAAGTTTTTGAAGCCGACCACTGTTTTCTCTGACAACTGTGAGCCTTAAAGTCCGATTTTGGGACACCTACCCAGATGTACTCTACCTGTCCCGCTTATCAGAGTATGCAGAAAAGAATGATGAATCAACATACCTCCTGGCCAACAGTAATAACTAAGAAAGAGTTATCAGTGAACTGGGAGTATAACGAATTTTGTCGCAAAGCACCATGATCATACAAAACGACTGTGGTAGCCACCACTAAAGAACTCGGTCAGTTTTTTTGGCGCTGAATGCGACACCGGAGGGGAGACTTACATTGGCACATCCGAACCACATCCAGACCTCTAAGTATCTCCTCGTCGGCCATGACGGTAGGGGTAATGCATGAAAACGGACCCTACATCACAAACCGTGTCTCGTATCTCCTATGGCTGCCTCCTTTAGCCTGATGGCAGTGATCAACAGGAGAATTGATCGGTATGCCAAAGCGGTCAATAATAGTTAGTAACACCACAAATTATTTAATCACAAGTCTGAATATGCGCGAAAGCTGGAACATGATGGGTAAGCCACCTCCACTCAAGGCCCAACCCTCCTCCCAAGACAGGCTGAGGATGACCCCTTTGGAGTTAAGATGTCCCCAACAGTTCTATGCAAAGTCACGGAGACGCGATCATTCGGGCGCAGCTAGGAGCGCTTCAACCAAATAGTGTATGCCTGCAGATCTATATTGGCGTTAAACCTTGTAAAACATTGTGAGATAGACTTTCCCCTAAATAGCATGAATACATGTATTGGGTTCCTGGCAATGGTGCCTTGATATGGACGGCCAAGGGTCTCCAAGGCTGAACATTACTGAGATGTTGAGGATAGGTACGACAAAAACCATTTTTCTGTAAAAGGGCAGTAAGAACTGGCAAATCAATTTACCTTGCTCAAGAAGTGTGACACGTATGCAGATAATTTGAAGCAGTTTTTATGATTCATTCTTCGTATTAAATATGTAGAACAATCTGGAGGACGCATGAGGATGAATGACGCTGGTTAACAAGACCCACTCACACCACGTAGAGACGTGACAACGATACATAGTGCTAAAGGTAGTATAAAGTGTATCGTCGATTGCCGTAAGCTCTCGTTTGGCCCCGGTAGATAGCTAGAGGCTCAGGATTCTCTACGACGACCAAGCCAGTTTGCCATTGGGTATTGATGGTACAAATATCAAAGCTTGTACCAAGCCGGTTAGGAAATAATGAGTCGAGGACAGTAAACAGTCAGAAGGAGGGCCGAAAACATTGCATTTGTTTGCTTGGTTGGGCTTGATGAATTTGTCGCTGCGTGCGCTGTCGGGGCATGTTGAACCCAGTGGCTACTGGGCAACTCAATAACATCCACCTAAAATCGATATTGCCGGGCATGCTGACGACGTTGCTTCGTCGTCGTGTAAGACGATGGTGTCTGCTACCGCTCGTCGAGGGTCCGTGCGCGACCTAGATTTCCCACGTCTGCGTCTGACATAATAACCCACCGCCCACGTTCTCCTCCGCCCGTGCTCTCCTCGTTGCTCCGAAAGCTTCAGTCCACTCCCTGGTATTTTGTTTACGATGGACATGGAATCTCAGCAACAGCTCATGCAGCAGCCTATGATGGGTGACCAACAGCAGGAAGGCGCCATGGACGAGGCCTACTACACAAGCACTGACGATTCGACGCTGACGGGCGGGCTGCCCATCAACTTGGATTCCCTTCGAGACGGCCCGCCTGGCACGAAACCATTCTACCCGTATTCGACGCTCATTCGGTGGGTGCGGTGCTCTCTTAGAATCCAGCCTGCTCAGTCTTCACTCTATTGCCTGTAGCTATGCCATCAAAGGTTCACCCAATCAAAAGCTTCTGCTCGAAGACATTTACTATGCTATTGAGTCTCGGGTACGTGGCATGCAATCTAGTCCAGTCGCAAGGTCTAACAGCCTGTTCAGTTCCCCTATTTTCGAACGGCACCGGCTGGGTGGAAGGTGAGCTTACCATGATTTACCCTACATTTGTTACGTTTAGGACAATTATATGTATTCGTATTTGATGGTGCGAGACGCGTCGCGCTGTTGATGCTTGACTGGCCCTATTTGTTGTTTTCGACAGGCGTGCGATACACACCGATTGCTGACACACCTTTTTTCGTCTTGCAGAATTCTGTTCGCCACAACCTATCCTTGAATCCCTGTTTTGAGAAGCTTCCCCGTCCGCTCACCGACCGAGGCAAAGGCTCCTATTGGGTGGTAAATGACAGTGTCGACCCCCGGACAGGTGTGCATCGTGTTCGCAAGAAGAAGACGAAGGGAGCGAAGGCAGGGAGCGGAAACAAGTCAGATGGCGGTGACGGAGACTACCAGCCACCTTCAGGCTTCGAAGATCCGAATGCATATGGTACCCCTCCTATGCCAGGGCCCGACAATGATGGCAGTCCCAACAGGGTTCCACCAGCGCCCTTTCCACCGTACCCTGCCCCGTAGGTGCCACTCATTCGATCTGTGTTTACCCATGCTGACATCCGAATAGTTTTGATCCCAATTTCCCTATGATGGCTGGCATGCGATTTCCTATGCCTATGCCTATCTCACCAGACGAGGGTCTTGAGATGGATGAGCATGGTAACATCAATTGGCATCATGCTTGGTTGAAGGAGATCGGTCACCTACAGCAAGTTACACAAGAGCAAGAGAAAGCTGGGGCTGACCAGGAATGGTTCCGGATGATGCTCTTCAAGGTTCGGTCCGCGCTGATGCCTCCCATGCCTTTGGGGCCGGATGGAACGCTTCAAATGCCTCCCCACATGATCCCGGCTCATGCTCCGGAGGACCAAAGTCAGATTCAGGTAGCGCAACAGGTGCAGTAGGAAGGGAAAGCTCTTCATTAACATTTATTCGTGTTCTCTGTCGCTGTGGATATGCTTTCTTTTTTTTTTTTCGCTATTGTACGCCTAATTGTTGCGGTTTCTATGGTACTATGGATAGTGGATTTTATTGAACTCAATCGGTAGAGAGACTGAAATGCCATGATTGTGAAGGACTGACGTTGCTGTTTATTTGCTTGGTCGGGTTTTCCTGTCTTTGATAAATATTATCGGCAAATGTTGAACCCAGTGGCTGTAGACACACTACGTCCTCTTGCTCCCTCTTCCCCTTTCTCCTCTTGGTTCGATGCTCTTTCAAGTTCTCCATCTCTCGCTCAATAGCCCGTTATGTCCTGCACGGTCCGTGCGCTGTGTCCAGCCTTTCCCACGGCGAGTCTGACATAAGCCCCACTTGGCCTCGTTGATTCACCTTCCATCATCGACGCCCCAGCTCTCACTAAACGCCCGTCAAATTCAGGATTTACTACTGTATTCTTGGTTATTTTTCGAAACAATCTAATGGCACAAACAATGACGATCTTGGGAGACTTGGGGGAACAGCCGCAGGAAGATATGTCTGTATATTATCAGCCACCTCCGGAACCAGAGAACGATGTGCAGATTACTGGAGGCTTGCCGATTAACCTTGATTCATTGAGGGATGGGCCGCCGGGAACAAAGCCGTTCTATCCATATTCAACATTGATTCGGTGCGTCGTGCTGCGTCGTAGGAAGCTTTCGCAGATCTTGATTGAATTGTATAGGTACGCTATCAAAGGGTCACCTAACCAGCGGTTGCTCTTGGAAGATATTTACTACGCTATCGAATCCAGGGTACGTCGATCCTCTGCTTGTGCCACAATTCTGACTGTTCTTAGTTTCCCTATTTCCGTTCCGCGCCAAATGGCTGGAAAGTAAGTATTTCAAACATTTCCTCTCGTCAGAAGGGTCCAGTCGCCGGTAATTGTGTGATCGACGGTTGGCATCAAATATGGCGACCCGCGCCTGACCGCGATGCCTTGTTGATGTTTGGCTGGCCATATTTACACCTATCATCACAAATTCTTCATGCTGACATTCTTTTACGTAGAACTCAGTCCGACACAACCTCTCACTGAATCCGTGCTTTGAGAAGGTGCCTCGTCCGCTCACTGACCGGGGCAAAGGCTCCTATTGGACGGTCAACGAGAATGTCGACCCACGTACTGGCGTGCATCGTGTGAGGAAGAAGTATAACAAGAAGGGAGGCAAAGGGCGCAGTTCGGAGGAGGTTCAAGAAATGGAGAACCATGCGACCGATAGCTATGAGGATCCTCATGCCCAATACGTTTCGCCCGAGGGAGATGCCAGTCAACAATCCCAATCGTCTTTTCCTCAGACTTATCCTCCTCCTCCGTGCGTAGTGTCATTACCATGTTGACGCTTGATCTCAGTTTTTTTTGGCAGGTTTGATCCCAGCTTTATGTTCGGTATCCCACCACCCGTCCCAGGACCCATGCCAATATTACCCGACGAAAATATGGAACTTGATGAACATGGCAACGTGAACTGGTATCATGCTTGGGTCAAGGAGATTGGCCATCTACAGGCGGTTACGACGGAGCAAGAGAAGGCTGGTGCTGACCAAGAATGGTACAGGATGATGCTGATCCGAATAAGGACGGCTCTTATGCCTCCACCTATGCTAACAGAGCTCCCCCCGCACATGGTTCCTCATCCTCCTACCGATGGGCAGTAAGTGTCGGCGTCCGAAGGACTCTGGCTTTCCCTTCTTGTCGAGATGTATAATACTGGACATTGTATTCGTGATACTGACTACAATACTTCCTTAATGCTGAGTGATGTCGATGACAAGAATGTTAATAAGCGCTTGAGCCCAGTGCGAATGGAATTGTCAGCAATGGAAATAAGAATAATGAAAAGGAGAAAAAGAATTCGGAATTTTCAGACTCCACAGTGTCTCGGCCGATCTTCGTTTTCGGACTTGCTTTCCGCTTCATTTCTTCATCCCTCTCTTCCTTTCCACCGTCCAGCATGTCTCCTACTGCTGTGTATTCAGCGTATGTGCCTCCGGCACCAACACCAGTAAAGGGCCCAGCTCTCGCCGTCGGATCTCCAGCGACGGCTCTTGATGGACAGTATCAGTCGATGGTAATGGAGCTGGAAGCGTCGAGGAAGGTCGACCGGCAGATGCTTGACAGAATAGTCGATGGAGGTTCGTTTTGTGTGCTAGGGTTATATAGAGCACTGATAATCTAACAGCTACCTCACTGGTGGCCTCAACGTACTCATCGATTCACGTTGCTCTCTCATCCACCGACTACGATGGTCTCCTACCCAACATTTCTTCCCTGCTATCTCAGTTGCTCTCGTCCCTGATACCATTGGGTACGTTGCACCTACACAACATCTCTCTCGACTCCAAGGTCCCGTCGGAGGTGACCCTAAGCGGTTTCACGATCCTCTCAGTAACTTCTCCATCCACTCTCATTGCCCAAAAGCCAGTGCATGCGCTTGCTGCGACTGTTCCACTCAAAAAAGCCGACTCTGTGAATCCACCATTATTACTTCCCCTACGAAAAAAGACAAATTCTGGTGCAAAGAAAGCACTGTGGACGCTGAGCACACCGGGGACCCCGCCGATTGACGCAGAGGCACTCTTGACGGATTCAGACAAGGCGCGGCCATGCGAGCCTGTCACAGCTTCGACGGGGCCACGGAGAAAGAAAGCGTGTAAGAATTGTACTTGTGGACTGGCTGAGCTGGAGGCAGAGGAGCTCAAGCAGAGCCAAGTCGTTGTCGTTGACGGCTCGGAGGATGGCGGGGCACGGGCCATGTCGCGGGAGGAAAGGGAGAAGCTGATTAACAGCACACCAAAGGCGACTAGCAGCTGTGGGAACTGTTACCTCGGTGATGCGTTTAGGTGCGCAAGTTGCCCTTACCTTGGTACGCCTATTTTATTTTTCTCTTTCTTATGGTTTGCTCACATTTTATCAGGACTTCCTGCATTCAAGCCAGGTGAAAAGGTTGAGATTGACTTCGGAATGGACGACATTTGAGTGCTGGGAAGGATATACGATACTTGTAGACATGTACTTTCGTGTAAATTTCATTTGCTGACTAAATGTAATTGCTGTTCTGTTACCTTGATGCATTCATGCCCTTCATTTCGTTGTTACTTCGCAGCCAGCTCCGTCTGCTCATATATGCGCCTATTCCATTCTTAATTGCACGTTTCTACCCCATAACCAAGATTACAGGGAGAAGCATGCAGGTTAGTCCGGCTTACTCCCATTCGACGCGCATTAATGCTTTGCTTCCAGCCTACAATCAATCCAGACGAGAATCAGCTCTGGCATGACTTTGCATTACTCGACAGGGTTTCAATGCAGGCTAGAGCCAATTTTAAACGAGGAGATATCGTTACCCTGTTGTGTGTTCAGTCTTCATTCCGTGTGTAGACGTTTTGAGCGCGATCTAGCTCTCCGATAGACCCAAAACGCTTCATGGTGAAGCGAGTCATTGCTAAGGAAGGTGATATAGTGGAAACACTGCCGCCGTATCCTCATCCTCAAGTATGTGTTCCAGAGGGACATGTCTGGGTGGAAGGTGTGCTCTCATTTTCATATTAGTCGCGTTAATCGTTCATCTGTTCTAGGTGACGACCCATACCATAGCGACGATAGTAACACCTTTGGCCCAGTGTGTGGATTCTCGCTCTCTCTTGCTGATTCTCATTAAAATGCGTAGATACCAGCTGCGTTGATCGAGGCCAAGGTGCTGTTCATCGTCTGGCCCTTAAGCCGTATCGGTTCGCTACAGACACCTTCAGTGCGACATCTCGGTCGCTTGACTAGAGGTAGTCCGGAACACAGAGCTGCTGTGGCTGCCGTTGAAAGGGAAAAATGGCGCGAATCGAGAGTTATCCCGGCACGCTGGTAGTGTGACGATTTATCTCGTTTTCAGTGCTTTTTCGCTGTGCCCATTTGGCCACCCTGTCCTTACGAAGTTGAAGAGCCAGGCGTGTTCAGTAGACTAAGATGTGCGAACAGAAAAATTACAGGTGGTTGAAATTTTCGGAAGAGAAGCTAATGATGTCGTTATCCAGCGACCGTTGTAATGGCATTGATAGACATGTCGTTGAGGGCATACAATAGATTCATCCTCGGAAGCATTTCTGTCCAAAGAGTATCGTGCTAACATCCTTGATGAGGAGATCCGTATAGGTATGTTTTAGCAGATGATACAAACTGTCCGCTATGAGGTAAATAACTAGAAACAACGTATCGATCCCGGGTATGTGTAGACATATGAATGCATATGTAAAGTCCAACAGTCCAGTGTGTAAAGGCGTAGGTATAGGCTGGTCATACACTCTAACGAAAGGCGTAAAGCAGGGATCATGAAAAACTAGAAGAAAAGCTGAGATTCAAACCACTATCTCGATTTTGGGTATAAAAGTCACGTAGATCAGGAGATAACGCGGCTATGGGTGGTGGGGTATCCCTGGGAAGTGGCGGTTTCAGCGTCATCGTGAATTTCATCCATCGCCCAAAGTGGTCTATGGGATAGCATATCGAAGTGGCATCCGATAGCTGCACTAAGGACCTAAGGTGCAGGTAGCTGAGAGACTGGGTCAAGTCATGAAATCGTTTAACCACCTCGTCGATAGTAGGGCGTTGAGTGGGATCATCCTGCACCATTTCTTGCATTAGAGGACGTAAAAATTCTAGACCTAGTCTTCTGTCGTGACCGTACTTGGTGGTCTGAGGGGTAAGACATTCAGCAGGCGAATCGTGAACATGGCTTAGAACACGCACATCGATGAAGTACTCTCTGAGAATATTTCCAAGGTAGTAGATGTCTGTGGGAAAAGGATTACAACTGTCCCGGCTTTCATCGTGGTGTTCGGGCGCTGTCTTGTCTTCACCACATACCACGGGCTCATCTGGGATCCCTGCAGGAGAGTCATAGCGCCTAGACTGGCCGAAGTCGATGAGGTAGTATCTGGGCCAGCATTGAGCCCGGGTAAGCCTAGGGGACACAAACTCGCTGTAGTCCGCTGCCATCCAAGGCCTCCCCGGATGAAAACCTTTGGGGTACATCTTTGTAGGATCCATCATAATGTTCCGCAGAGTGCAATCACTATAAGTTGAACATCAGTGGCTTTCGTTTTGGGTGAACGGAGAGCTGTATACCGATGGGCAACATGATGCTGATGCATGAATTGAACACCCTGTTGGGATAGTTACATTTTAGAACCTGTGTCAGTAAGGGCAATTGTATCACTGACCTCGAATATCTGACGAAAACACTCGAGTACTTCTCCCACTGTATCAAAGGGAGCATCGTTGAATAGTCTCAGTTGCGGCATCACAATAATGCCGTATTTGCCAAATTGTAGAACGTCATAAATCGGAACGCAGTGGTTTCGAGGATCAGTCGATAGAGGTGGACTGGAAAAGAATACCGCCAACTCGAATTCTGAAGTGTTTATCTCGATTTGCTTCAAGATTACAGGCTCATTGTTTTTCAAGCGTACAGCAGAGGCAAGGGTAAAACGCTTCCAAACGCCTTGAGCAAACAAAGATGACTGTAAGTAGAGGGTAACGTACTGGGAGAAGGACATCTGCTTCTTTCTCCTCGAGTTCCGTTGTGGGCGTCCATGTTGGGTCATACTTGGGGTGGATCTTGTAACCAGACTGCTCGAGAAATTCTCTCGCATCGATCCAAAATCCATCAACGACTTTCTTCAGCTGGCGTTCCAGCTCGAGATCCGGCACAATTTCTATCATGGTTCTCGCGGCATGCCAGGGTTTGGTAGGGGATCCCCCTACCGTCGACGCGGACGTAGAAATTAGGGAGACACGGCGCATTGCGCAGGGATGAGCTGGTAACTGGAATGTTGTGGACGAGCATTATACGTAATCAGTATTCGAGGTGAGGTGGTGGGGGGGAGGAAATGCGCCTCAAGCCGTGAAGCTTTGTATATCAGCTCTGTATCACCCTCGTCGAGACGACCAACAACGGTGGACAGCCGACGTCGTACAGACCCGGGGCCGAGTCCCGACGGCTATCACATGACTTGAAATGCAATTTCAAATTACACAGCTCTCTCCTTGACCTCGTTTAGTACAGCAACGTCTGCAGCTTGGCGGCTAGCCAGCGCTGCAAGTATTCTAAGGCCACCTTGTCTCTGTATACCGGAATTAACTCTCTTAACTGCACCAGCATACTCTTGTCACAGAATATTTCCGACCTACTGCCGCCGAAGTTGTGTTTGCAATGCGTTACTGTGCCACTATGCTTTTCTTACAGCCAACCGTGAATGCTGGACCTTTCTTGAGTTTTTTTGGGGGGATCAAGATGTGCACCTTGTCTCGTCACCACGCCCAGTTCAAGGAACAATCTGTAGCTACGAATACATCACGTCCGTGTATCGGTGGCGTTGGTTGGGCCGCTGTTAACTTTCCCAGCAGCTGTCCGAAGCGTGCAGCGGACACAGTCAGGCCCTTTGCGTGACCGACGTGAAATGGTGAGTCCATTCTTCTCTCTGATCACACCACCCACCTGTGATGAACCAGAATGTTCCTTTTTAATTATTTTTTCTGTGACTGAAGGTTCTGCTGTGGCAGAACGCTTCTGAATGTGCATTTATATAATCTTCTCTCTGACTATCTCCTACCTTTGCCCTGTGGATGGGTGACTACTGAGTTGCACCCTTCTTCCTTTAGATTGTCTGACCACCTGACGATGCAGCCAAGCCGGCATACATAATTCACAGTTACGAGCACCTCAAATATCTATAAAGCCGGCGCATTGTAAATTTGCTATCATCATTGGCAAATGCACCTGCTAATCTATCGACATATATTGTGTGTCTGGATCGACACTTAGACGTCGTGCGGAAGTCAGTTTTCGGCGAAGACCAAGCGTGCTACGATTTACGACAAGAAACGACACTCATACGGAGCAATATCTTTGCCGGTGTCAGTCATGAACATGAGGGTGAAGGGTTGTTAATCCAATCTTGGTCCATTCTCATACATATCGTGACAGAAGTGTCTTGATTTACTATTTCACAGTTGCGAATTCTTTGTCAATCTCCACATGGTGCTTTGCTACTCTCGACAATTGGCCTGGTCGTGGTGAGAGCGATTCAAGGATGGACCGCAAGATTATTCTACTCTATCTGCTTGCACCCCCCCACAACGCTGTCGACCAATATCCGTGCGAGAGCCGCATGCGAATGAGAGCATGCCAGGAACAGAACCCAACGAACCACTTGGTTACACTGACGTAGATGTCGAGGTGACGTATCGTTTTGATACGAAGACGCTGCAATAACGCTCTCCTCTCTTAGCAATGATTTACATTCTCTACAAGTGTTCGGCTTTCCCTCTCGGGTGGGTGATTACGACATAGTCACCCTGACTCTTAACGCCATATATTATTCTTTTCGAATTCTCGATCATACCATGCGACTTCTTCCTCTCAACACCCAACTTTTGGTTCACTATGACAGGTGATTTCGGTAGGTTTTTCAAGCCTCTGCGGGCCACATCTATATGGTTGTTCGATGCCAAGTCATGGAAGCACCACTCGACATCGTCCTCCTTTGATGTTATTAAACAAGATCGTTTCAATAAAGAGCAAGACTGGAGTCAATGCACCAGCACATCTGATCTGCGTGACATAATAATAGAGATAAGCCTTGTCGAGTCTACCGGATCTGTGAATCTTCTCTGATCCTTCCTTGAGGCAAAAGCGCCTTCAACGTCGATCTGCTGTTCATATCAACAGTTGTCTTCGTCTTACGTTCTCGGTTCCACATGTTGGGGATTTGATATCCTGATTCCACCTCGCGGCGACCATCTTGTCGAGTAACGTTTAAAAGGCACGAATCTATAGGATTAGAACTTTTACATCGTCCCCCCTTGTCCATCTCTTGAACGATGTACGGTCTTCTTGCCGTCGCCGTCCTCAGTGCTTCTAGTGCAGTTGCAACTCGCCTTGCTCTCAACGGAACTGGCAGGTAAGTATTGCGCTCTTTCATTCGTCTTATATGATTGAGCCTTTATCACAGAGCATGTGGAACGTATATCTCCGATGAACGACGAGCTGCTGCTGAGGGGCATTTTCTCGAGAACAAAATTTCAGCGTCGGCCCAGCCTACCAGCATCAACCTGTACTGGCACGTTATCGCCCAAGACAGCACTATAAGTGGTGGATATCTTCCGTATGTCAGACCTGCTACATGTTTAAGTGCGTCCACTAAGTATCTGTGTTTAAAACTTACAGGGCATCCCAGATCGCGGATTCAATTAGTGTTATGAATGCGGACTATGCCAATACTAGCATTTCTTGGGTTCTCGCTGGTACTGACTACACGATCAACTCGGATTGGTTTGCGAACGTCGGCCCTGACAGTTCTCAGCAAACTGCGATGAAACAAGCCTTGAGAGTCGGGGGCGGAAATGACCTCAACGTTTACACTGTCGGGTACGTCCGAAGATAAAACTGTAGGTATGTACTGCGTCTCACTGCAATGCCTCTACAGTTTCACCTCTGGCACTGGTGTTGGTCTTCTCGGGTACTCCACCTTCCCATACAGCTACAGCGGCGCACCTCAGGATGACGGGGTCGTCATTCTCTTCTCTTCTGTTCCCGGTGGAAGCACTACCAAGTACAATAAGGGCCGGACTTTAACGCACGAGGCTGGTCACTGGGTTGGTCTGTACCATACGTTCCAAGATGGCTGCATTGGCGCTGGAGACTTGGTTGACGACACCCCCCCTGAGGCTTCACCTGCCTTCGGTACGCAGAGTTTTGATTATGTCTGATGATTGGGGACTGACTTGTCTTCCAGGTTGCCCAACCGGGCGAGACACCTGTTCTGGTGGAGGTGTTGACCCCATCCGTGAGTCTCGTATGCTCGTCCATGTGGAATGTCGCTAAAATTTTTGTTTGGTTTCAGACAACTACATGGACTACACTTACGACAGCTGCATGAATCAGTTCACATCTGGGCAGGCAAAGCGTATGGCTGACCAGGTCCTCACCTACCGTGGTATCACAATATGAACAGAGAATGTATATGAACCCATCTTAAGCATATTACTTTCATTTACGCTTGTCACTGGATCACGCATAGATCTGAAATCAATAACCACTAGCGTCTTAAGAACATCAGTTACTTGTGCAGGGATACGCGCCTGGCTCACTCACTAGTTTTAGGTTTAGCCTTTTTCGTGGGCTTGGTATTTAGATTTTCGTAGTCCCATATGCCCTCTGAGCGACCCTCGTTCCATGAGTACTTCAGACTACCTCTTATCCGTTCCGGCTGTTCGCTGACCTGTTTTCCTGGACCAAAGCTTGAGCGTCTCGTCATAAAAGCAAGGATAGGGAAGCAGCGCACCCTTCCAGAAGAGCAACCCCCATGCTTTGCCATGCTTTCCCTCGCACTTGAACTGTGTCTTGGTGACCTTCCAGTAGCAATCTGGTATCTTCTTGCTCGTCCACCGTGTCTGGTATACATGCCTGCCCACACCGCCTAGTGGTGTCCGGGAGAGGACCTCGTATAAGTTACCGGGATTCTTCGACAATGAGGGAGGCGTATTCGAAGCGGGTATCGCCCGCTTGATTAGGCTTGCTAGGTCACGTCGCGCTAGCGTCCATAGCATGGCTGGCGGTAGAAAGAATGAAAATTTCAAAGTCCGATCCGACCTTATGCTCAGACTCGGACTGCAACCTATTCGTCACTATAGTTGCCGTCCTCGACGATGGAAATCTACTGCTACTCGAACAGAAACAGATGAATTTGGCATCCCTCTGAAACCGACGTGGTCAGTCAATGAATTGCTCTCGTCGTACCCGACACCGACGATATCCCCTGCGACACTCATTCACCTCCACGACCTTGCCGCTCTCATACCTCCCGAAGAAGGGTCCAAAAAGTTTGACAAGGTTAAAGGCGAGCTGGAAGAACTTGTACGGCTAGTTGAGGCTGTCAAGCTGGTCGATACGAAGGGTGTTGATTTGGACGCAGCAACAGAGAGGATGGATAACCGGCAGCTCAATGCACCACCATTGGATGCTTCAGGACGTTCACTTCTGAAGCACGCAGCACGTACAGTGGATGGTTTCTACGTTGTTGATGCAGACAAGAGACATTAGGTGCGTTTTCTCGTACATTCAGAACATCCTATTCTAAATTTCCCTCTATCAGGTCGAATGTGACGGCGAAGCAATTCTATTGTTGTTCCTCCTTGTTGTTGATAAAGTCAAGGGAGCAACATGGAAGCAGTACATCAGGAGTCATACAAGTCATCGATACAATCCATAATCAAAGAGAACCATGGCCTCCGGTTGACCCGAACCCGTTAGCCCCGCGAAGTGTCTCATCAAGATCCTGCAAACATTTAAGTGTTCGTGGCAGGGTACATTACGCCAATAAACTAACCTGGACTTCCAATACTTCGGGCGTCATGATTTTTTCCAGCACCAACTGTGCTATACGATCTCCTTCCTCAACTACACCGTGTGTTCATAAGCTCAATGTTCAACAATTCTATGGCGTAGTCACCTTCGAAATCCTTCTCAGAGTGGTTGAAAAGCAAGACAAAGAGTGGTCCTCGATAGTCAGCATCCACCACCCCAGCGCCCGTGGCAATCATATGCTTGGAAGCTTTCATAACTTTAGAGAAGGGTACGTGAGGAAGAAAAGAGCGCGTACCAAGGCCGCTCCTCGGTGCGACGCGACCATATGTTCCAATAGGAACAGCTAGCGACAGTTGTGTGTTGACTGCGGCCGAGCCACGAGCAGGAATAGTTTTCTTTTCAGCACTACAGCACACGTTAGTTGTCTGCACGATCAAGCCGCGTAGAGCGCGCATACCTGTACAAGTCGTAGCCCGCAGCGAGAGCGGATCCTCTTGTAGGGAGTTTTGCCTTGTCTGAAAGCCGCTTGATGAGAAGTGAAGCAGCGGGTGCAAGGGACTGAGCGGATGGAGACATTTTTCTTTTTTTGTTAGCTTGCTCTTCGATGTCGGACATGGAAGTAAAAACGAAAGAAAGAAAGAAAGTCGCGTCGCCAGAAAAGTAGATGGTCGGAGCTTGTAACCGTGGAAACTCCGATTCGGTATCGCGGTCAAGCCATTCCGGGTTCGTTGCCTGCCTCATCCACACTCTTCAACTTCTCTCCCCCCATGCGCGACCCAAAAAATAACACGAAAAGGAAGATAACAGACCATTTTAAACCGGCAGATAAGGGAAAGAAGGAGAATGCTCGCCCCGCGGCGTCAAAGAAGAGAAAGCAGGTCGATGGGCACGAACCTTGTACAAAGAAGGTCAAGGGCAATGGCGGGGACACAGCCTGCGATAGTCATCTCACCGCCCTCAACGGTCGTTTCAACGCGTCAGGTCGAGGGAGAAACGCGTCCACATCCAAATCACATTCTCCCACCTTGCCTGCTGAACGATATGCCACGCCGAAATCGATGGTAAAGGGAAAACGGAACGTCGCTCTTTATAGGAATGGGCCTGTTATTGACCTCACCCTTGACGATGCCGACAATCGTGCATCGATCCCGGGGCCCACCCATACTATTGCTCCGCCAACTCCTGCTTCTATCCCTGAGCACCGTCCAAGGCATTCTTTCAGTTCTTTTTTTTCTCACCAAGAAAATAGCGGGCAAGTTCTAAATACCCCCAGAACACCTATACGACATCACTTCACTTATTCAGCTGTATCTTTTATCCCGAATTCTGCCCCGACTCACGATTCTCCCCTGAATCGCTTGTCACGGCGTCATACTATACATATTCCTCGCTCTCCATCTGTGATACCTTCCTCTCAGCAAAGCCAGGACGACGAGTGGTTAGCCCTAAGCATCGCTCGGGTCGTAACGCCCCCAAAGGCGCCCTCTGTTGCTTCTCAGAATCTCGCCATAATCCCCCCTCTCGCATTTGACAGAAATCTTCCCAAAATTTCCTCTCCTCAGCCTGTGGACCCTCTCAAAGATAACCATGGTTTGCCAGAGGACAGCGTCGTCCCCACATCTCAGTCGCAGGAAATTTGCTTAAGCCAACTTTCTCCTCGAAAAATTCGCGCCGGCCTTCTGTTCAGCTCATATATACCCAAGCCCTGTCCCCTAGACATCGTCCCCACATCACAGAGCCAGAGCGAAGTAGAGATCACCAGTACTGAGGACATATCGTGGATCACGTCTCGATCTCTCGACAGGAAGTAAGTTACGCTGCAAACGTATGTGCTACTTTTTAGCGCTGATGATAATTTTCTGTAGCTTCGTTCGATCCGTTTCATCTAAAACCTTGCATGCACTGGGACCGTCCCAGTCTGATCCAGGCTTGGACATCACCCATTTTTTCGAAGACGATGATAACACCAACAAAGGAGTTAACCTACCTGCTACGCAGTGTACTTCCTCGACGGATTCAGACCCTGAATATGATGACAACCCTTTCTCCACGAATCCCGCAGACCGGCCACCCATAAATCTTACACAGAACTCGTCTGCAACAGAGTCGGACCCAGATTACGATGCCTACCCCTTTTCCACGAATCCTGCGGACCGACCAACTGTAGAAGAAGATGGAGACACTACCATCGTTGTGACCGGGAGCAGGACATGTCCTACGCAAAGCGAGGGAAGTCTTCCTAATATCGTCAAGGATTTCCGGGATATGTTCGGTGTTGGAGATGGAAGCTATCCTGACGATTTTCCGATGTCGCTGCGATAGTAATAGCAACATACTAGCCGATTCAGACATATGTTTTCTTGCATTAGGATAATCTCTATCATTGGCTTATTCAGATTCACGCTGTGCATTTCGAATCATAATTATGACGCATGGGTCATCCGCTTTTTTATATTAGTATACTTTCCTGCCAAGTAGTGCCATGCGCCTTTGTTTAGCGCTATGAAAAGAATCACGTAGCTGTATGATACGAAGTATTGGACCGAGACCTGCCGAGACATAACTCTCTGTTGTCGCTCACTAGATTGTATCACTTGGAGCAATATACAAAGCTATTATTTGCAAAGGTCATATATAAGGGATAAAACCTGTAATATATTGATTGAAAACGAAGTCTACATGTAACGAAAAGACTAAATTTTGATAGATGCACAACCATGATCAGTTGTCATTTGCCAGGCGTCGAATTTTCGGTCAATTAGACATCTTGGAACATTTCTGTATCCTCTTTATGCGTATCGGTACTGGAATGCTCGGTATCACAGCGGTCTGTGAGACGGCCGATCCGAATATGAACCGGCGGAGAACGCATCTCGAGTGAGCTTCTCTCCCGTGGAGAAAAGGTAGACAAAGTGGCCGTCCCCCCTCCGTATTGTGAATCAGCTATGCCTTTCCTTGGTCGCAAATTTTGCATCCAAGCAATACGAAGAAGAACTGTGAAGAACACAATAGAAATGATTGAAGGCAGCTGGTACGAAAATGGACACATGAGCTGGCGTAGGATCAGGCAAGGGGAAAACACCTTACGGAGTTGTCGAAAACGTATTCGAACCTGGAACCCAATATATCGGTGATGAAGGCGACAAAAACCCAGACGCTGTACAGCAACCCGGTGTCCAACATGACAACCAGGAGAGGTTTCAACATGGTTATACTCATCCGTGATCCCCCCGACTCGTTCTCCAATTTCCAGAGACGATAGGCCAGGAGGACTTCCAAGATTTATTAGTAGGGGTCTATATAAGCCCACTGCGTTGTGCTTACAAGTCGACAGTATATTGCAAGACATAGTCAATGATAATGCTGCCGTGGACCATGCTTGTACGCTTGGAGCAAAGAGACCCTCAAGAGATGGCTCGGTGTCTCTCATAGAAAGAAGCTCCCCAACGGCTGCGACTAGAAATGCAAGTTAACGGGGTATTCCGAACGGGTTTATAGATAATGGCTTCACCTATGAATCCAATCCAAATTACAATTGGAGGAACGACAATCCAGGGCGTTTGCCAAAAAACATAGGCACGCCATATCTAGAAGGTGTTGAGCAATTGGATTTCAGCCGGGTGACAACAGCTCCATACCACGATGGCATCACCGAGAGCAACTTGAAGATCCCATGCAATGTTCCTCAGTAAGACGGCCGTTGTGGTGACGTTTTCAAAGAATGCGCTGGGACCGCCAGGGTACGAATCTGTAAGTCTAACAAAACCATCATACCTGCGCCGGATGCCGACGACAGTGTACTGCATTCGGGACCATTCAGTGAAGAAAAGAACAGTGCAAGATAGAAAGAACAGACCATGGTTTGGAAAGCGAAAAGAAACACAGCAAAGAAGAGGACAAGCTTGTTGACCTGAGACCATGGTTTTCCTCGGAGCAGAGTCCAAATTGTGATCATAAATCCAAGCACGGAGAAACCTGTGCGTGTCCCGCAATGTAAGCAGTGGAATTGCGGTGGGAAGATGAGTAGATACCGTATAGAAACACTTCGAAGACTGCAAGAACATATTGTGCATTTTCGGGCGACAGAGAGTCAACCATGGGTGGAATGAGCCTCAAGAAAAGAAACGCCTTGAGAGTGAGCCTACTGCATGCACGGGTCTTATGTTAGCCTATTAACGCAGTTTTCCACGCTAACAAGAATCACCGAGGAAAGTTTTGGCTGATACACAATCTAATGTATTCTGCAGAGTCCGATGACAGAGGTGCGTTCAAAGATAGCGGTTGGGCAGTGGTTTAGATATCGATGCTCCAATGAAAATACGAGAAACATGATTGCCGTTGGAATGCAGAGACTGAAAGCTAGCGGTGCCGTGAAACATGTGAACTAGATCCCATGGATCTTGAATATCAACATGAAAAAATGATTGAGACGAATGATAGTGACAGGATACTCCCGATACTCCCGACTGCGGTCGTGCTTGAGAGAGAGGAACCAAAAGAGGCGAAGTCCAAAATATCCAGGGCTACTTATTATCACATGAGTTGACAGCAGTGTGAATGCCTGGCAGACTTTCTGTGGCCATGATTTATCATGAAGTGACGGCATGAGAATACTGTGCTTGCACAGAGTCAATCGTAGCAGTTCCTGTTGCCTCAGATATTCGTAAAGTTTCCAAGCTGAAATGCGCAGTCTCAAACCTAGTTATGCCGACCAGCCGTAGGTGTGAATGACTGATGGCATTCAGTTGGCAATACATCAAAGCCAAGCTGACGACCGAGATGTCTACCAAACCCTAAGTCGTCTCAAGGTAAATAGGTTCTCGCGCGCGACTTTACGATAACGGTAGACGAATGTAGAGCGCATAGATACCAACAGTCCGCGAGCGAGCCGTTGTGGGTATACTATTAAACGTGCTGTGACGATCAGGATATAATAACAAAAGTCTGCTTCATATAATCCAATATATAGACCAGCTAACTCACTGTGTGTACTACAAGTTTGTCTTGCCCAAGGCAAGGGGTATCGAACTGATGCTGGTGGGAGGTATCATGCCGACTTCGGTCACAACTGCCGTGATACTCGCAGGAGGGGTCACATCATAGAGTGGATTCAATATTTCTAACGTCGGATTTGGCTTTGGTTCCGAAGGCGAGAACTTTGCCGGGGCTGATCGAATACAATGTTGGTAGGCATCCGATCAAAATGTAGCCCACGTACCTAACTCATTCTTTCCGAATCCATCCAGCATGACAGTCTCGCTAAACTTGTACGTCTCACAACAGACTACAACAGGCACTCCATGGGCCTTGGCCATCATTGCGACCAACGCGGTCCCAGCTCTTGAATACACTGCGCCATTAGAGTGAAGCGAATGCGCACCAACCAGAACGGTTGTTGCTTCGGAAACGACAGAAGGAAGAGCGGAAAGAAATGCGTATGTACAAGGTATTGGAGGTTCTGTCGATGTGAGTGCGTGCAGAAGCTTTTTCCCTTCCAGAAGTGGCCTCGAGTCGACTACGATGACAGAAAATCGTTTCCCTTCAGAGTGCGCGTGCAAAAGGATCTTTTGAACTAATGAGGACCTTTAATAAGAAGATTTAGAACTGGGAATGAGGCGAGAAAAAAGGTCTGAACCTGGCATGTGTAAGAATAATATCGCCATCCTTGATCTTCCTGCCAGCTAAGTCTTGAATGACTTCGTCCGCAATTATTATTCGGTCACGAATGTAATTGTCGATTTTCTGACAAAGTGAGTCCTTGGCCTACAAGGCATCAATGAAAAGTTCCAGAACAGCAGAAGGCGCATACATCTTGTTCGGGTAAGTCGATGTCAGACCCGCTAATTTCCAGCTTCAGCTGTCGGATGGCGTTTCCCATGGTGACGGACATAGGTCTGGCAGATACAAGGTATGTTATCTGAGGTGAGATATGTGTCATTAGATGTCGTGACAGCGTGTTATTAGGAGGTGTCGTATAGTCTTGGATGACCTGGAGGTCCCTAAGTGGAAAATAGAATAGAGGTAAAATTTTGCGCACCGATTTGAACGCAGAAAGAGTGGAAATACAACGTGCGTTGGCACCACATATTTTGAATTCTGAGAACAGTAAACCAAGCCTGACAATTGCCGGATGTATGTCTCCCTTCACCCCAGCTCCCAGCGGTTTCGGTGCGCCAAAGTGGGAAAATATCCGTAATCCACGCGATTTTTGGGCTTCAACACTATCCGCAGCAGCAACGGCTATGGACAAAGCAGCATCCTTGGCCGCTAGCGATGCGTCTTTTCCTATCGATGCAGCAGGCTTGTTCGCGTCCACGGCCTGAGATTTCTTTTGTGGTGTCGATGTTTGCTTAGATTTTGAGGATGATGCGGCAGCATTCGTGGAGCCTTGTGGTTGTTGCTTTTGGGCCAATTTTGCAGCTCGTTGTCGTTCCTGCAGCTCGCGACGTTCAGCCTTGGTCATCGATTTCTGAGACGGCTGGGAAGCTGATTTGAAACTAGGCGTTATGGTACCATCCTTGGATGCAGATGCGGCAGTAGTTGCAGGCATAACAAATAGACGTGAAAAACTAGGCAAAGGAAGTGATAATGCAGGAGATGAGCAAACGTACTGCAACGAGTCAGAACTGTTTTGTTGTCAGTGATATTTATTTACTTATTTAGTTTTTAATATTTGCTTACGTGTGCAACACTACCCAGTGAAAATGAAAGCTTACACAGTGACGACAACCATCGTTCTTTCGCAAGCCACGGATTCTTTCACTCTGGCGACATAAACTCGAGGATTATCTTTATTTCTACTTCTCCTCTTTCTAAGGTCGAGCAATGGTGAAAAAACCCGCTCCTGAGACTTGATGAACTCGCTAACTGTCATCCTAGGGTGTCCCTGCTCTGTTCCGTTGGCTCAGCAAAAAGTACCCTAAAATCAGTTAGTGGGGCAACAAAATGCAGAGGAAAAGGCTTTCTGACACTCCATCTTCTTAGTCTATGAGGTTGCCGAAGACGAAGTCACTATTCGAACGGGGGATCCAGGTGATCCAGAGGCCGAGTCTATTGATATTCCTGTCAACATGGCGGACCCTAATCCCAATGGGACGGAATTCGACAATCTGTATCTCGACATGAACGGCATTGTGCGTCCGCTGTCTCTTGCACCTTACCTCTCTCACTTCTAGAACTAGGTTCATCCATGTACTCACCCCGAAGGAAAGGTATGTGGACAAAATGCCTGTTATATTTCTGATTATAAGATGTCGAATTCTAGCCTGCACCGGAGACCGAAGAGGACATGATGATAGAGATATTCAAGTATACCGAGAGAGTTGTAAACATGATTCGCCCTCGAAAGCTATTGTTTATGGCGATCGGTGAGTCAATAATGAGCTACGTGACTCTTGGCTCTTTCTTACTGCTGACTCAGATGGCGTTGCACCTCGAGCAAAGATGAATCAGCAAAGGTCTCGGCGTTTTCGTGCCGCCCAGGAAGCCAAAGATAAAGAAGAAGCACGGAAGGAATCTGTAGCTCTGTGGGAATGTGCGTTTTTTTAAATTATTGCATGTTAAGTATTCCTGACATATGAGGCAGCAATGGGCAAGGTAATCAATGCAGACGAAAAGAACAAAAAGGCCTGGGATTCCAACGCTATCACTCCAGGCACCCCGTTTATGGATCTATTAGCGAGTTCCCTCCGGTACTGGGTTGTCCAAAAGATGAATTCAGACGCCGGTTGGAAGAATGTACGTTTGCTGCATAGCTCGACTTCTTGTGCTAATTATTATTTTGCAAAGATCCAAGTTATTATCTCTGATGCGAACGTTCCTGGTGAAGGAGAGCACAAAATCATGGATTTCATAAGACGCCAAAGGGTCAACCCAGGACATGACCCGAACACACGGCATGTGATATATGGACTGGTACGTGCCACTTTGTGTAATAGAATCGAAGTCTCACATACTCTTTCCCTCCCAGGATGCTGATCTTATTATGCTTGCACTAGCTACACACGAACCTCATTTCCGAGTACTACGAGAGGATGTGTTTTCCGACGCCAATTCGACCAGCTGCCGAAAGTGTGGCCAAGAGGGCCACTATGCTGCTCATTGTACAGTGCCTGAAGACGAAATACAAAAGAAAGCATCTGCTGTTGTACAGAAACCCAAACCATTTATTTTCCTCGATGTCGCTGTTCTTCGCGAGTATCTCGAAGTCGAGCTCGATGCACCCCAAGCAGCCTTCCCTTTTGATCTGGAAAGAGCAATTGATGACTGGGTGCTTCTCATCTTCTTTGTCGGAAACGATTTTTTACCCCATCTCCCATCACTTGAGATTCGCGAAGGCGCCATTGATACCCTACTGAGGATATGGAAGCAAGAACTACCTAGGATGGGTGGCTATCTTGCAAATCACGGCCAACTTGAGCTGTCTCGTGTACAGATCATTCTTGAAGGTCTCGCAAGGAGAGAAGATGAGATTTTTAAACGTCGACGTGAAGGTCTGTGCTGCGGCCCTAACTAAACCCCCTTTTTCTTGCTTTGAAAAAGACATTAAATAACCATCTATCTGATTATAGCTGAAGATCGCCAAGACGCAAACGCCAAACGTCGTAAGTTGGAGATGCAAAACGGAAAAACTGTCACTGTTGGACTTCCCTCCTCTGTTTCCCAGACAGGTGGTCCGACACCTTCGAATAACTCTGGCTCTCATCCAGTGCACCCTTCCCTTCCCCAGCGTCCTGATTTCGCTGCGAATGCCGATTCCATTGGCCTGGGTGGTCCCCGAACAACACAGTCTCAACTAAACCTGTCTGCTGCGACACAGGCTTTGGCCGGTTCCAACCGTGACGTTGTCGCTAACATCCGTGCCATTCGAATGGCAAACATGAGCGCCGCTGAAATGCTCAAAGCTGAGCTTTCCGGAAAACCTGATCTATCACTTCCCGCGAAACCGCCAGCAACGGCTGATGTACCTTCGGCAACTCTAGATGCTTCTCGCATGAGGTCACCTTCTTCCCGGCCCACTGCTACTATTATGCAGGTGGATCCTTCGCTTAGCCAGGATATTTCCATGGAATCTATCACGGATGTTCCGCAAACAGACGATGATAGCGTTGTAGCTGGAACCAAACGCAAAGTGGAGGAAGGTCCTGATGCTGATGATGACACTCTGCCTGATGAGGAAGAGGAAGATCCAGCGAATGACAACATCTCCTCATTATCCTTTAAGGTCAATGCCGACGGAAGCGTAGATCAAGAAGATACTGTGAAGTATGTCAGGGCCTAGATTTCATCAATCGCAGTGCTAAGCATTTTATTGTAGGTTGTGGGAGCCCGGTCATAAGGAACGGTATTACCGCCAAAAGTTTGGGGTGGAACTATCCGATATGGAGTTCAAGAAAGCGTACGTTTCGTGTTACGAAAGTATTCAATCAATTCACACTCTATTCCAGCCTAGTCAAAAATTACGTTGAAGGGATGGCATGGGTGCTTAGGTATTATTATCAAGGGGTGGGTTATCGTTACCTTGTTTGACACGTTGAAACTCATAGTATGGTATAGGCGCCGTCGTGGCAGTGGTATTACCCGCATCATTTTGCTCCCTTTGCCTCAGATTTCGTTGAGATCGATGCCTTGGACATTAAATTCGATCTCGGCGAACCCTTCAAACCCTTTGAACAGTTGATGGGCGTGTTCCCTGCTGCAAGGTTCGTATCTGTTTACAGTTCAATTTAGAGCACTGATGCGATAAATTTACAGTCGAGTACACATACCAGCTGTATTCCACAGCCTTATGATTGCTGATGACTCGCCCATCATTGACTACTATCCCGAGTCATTTCAAATCGACATGAACGGGAAGAAAATGTCGTGGCAAGGTGTTGCTTTGCTTCCATTCATAGATGAGAAGCGTCTTTTGTCAGCCATGGCAAAGCACTATGGTGGTCTCACCGAAGATGAAGTTCGCCGTAACTCCTGGGGCAATTCGATTATTTTTGCATCTGATGATCATCCCATATATCCCTTTTACGAGCAATTGTATGGGAAACGCAAGTCGAATAAGGTCAGAACTGAATACGACCGAAGGCTCATCTACTGACATCGTTCACAGGCTGTGACCATTGATACGTCTCTCAGTAAAGGAATCAGTGGGAGTGTTCTTCCCAACCCTGACTGTCTACCTGGTTCAACGTATTACAACCCTCTCACGAATCAAGATCTTCCAGACATCAGGAATGATCGTTCTTTGTCAGTAATCTATTTCTTCCCCAAGCAAATAAGCCCCCACCGGTCAGTAATGTTACCGGGAGTAAAGAAGTCTCCTCGTGTCCTTCAGGCCCATGATCTCGAAATGACTCGCAGCGGCGGAAGAGGTCGAGGTCGTGGTGGCTGGGATCGTGGTGGTGGCAGGGGTGGGGGGAGAAGCAATGGAAATGATCGGCCAAGGGCAGGTGACCCGTTCCACTCGCGGCCTAGCTTGTACAGCCCTCCGTCTCGAGGCAATGATAGAGGGTATGAGGGACGAGGTGGTGGTAGTAACACTTATTACCCAAGCTCGTATCCACCACGACCACCGCCGCCTCCACCGCAGCAGTACGGAGGAGGTGGATATGGTGGATATGGTGGCGATGCAGGTGCCTATGGTGGATATGGTAGCGGCACTTATGGAGGCGGTCGCTCTGCATACGGAGTAGACTCTGGTGCACCTCGAGGTGGTCCACCGCCCAACTCTTA